TCTTACTTAATATTTTAGTTTACATCCGCTGATATATTGTATTCATTAGTCTTTACAGCAGTTGGCTATATTCACATACATGGTATACTGCATGTTTAACACTGAAGCCACAAGCCTTCCATCAGGGAAACACTCCTGTTCACATGGAAAGTTATGATTCAGACCATAACAGACAAAGACACACCACCCCCAGGACACAATATAGATTATATTTTACACATACCCCATATTTACTCTAATCTAATGCTCACCTTTTTTTTGGCTAACTTATACAGCTAAAACTGAAGTGCACATTAGATTCGATGACACATTTGAATCACAAACCTAAACTCGTCTGCGCTGTTGGGCAAGAAATGCCAGCTGGGGACAGAGGACGGAGAGGCAGCTGTGAGAAGCTGATGGTGGCTGTGAAAAGGCTGGTGGGAAGGTCAGGCGGAGTGGCCACTACCAGCTTCCTACCAGCCTTTTTGCAACCACCATTGTTTCGCATTACATTCGACGGCAAATTCTTTTAATGTAATGCATACCTTTAAAATTCTATCTGATGGTGCATTATACTTGAGTAAACACAGTATTTCACTTTTCTCTTCTCTTGTCCTGCATGGAGCAGAGTAATTCCCCTCTGGGCAGAGCAGCAGGAAAGAAGTTATGTTGCCCAAGAAAGGAGTCTAGCACAATCTTCAGTTTACACTGGTTGTGAAGAACCGCTTCCAAAGAGGCCATCAGACAAACTGGCCAAGATATACAAAGCAGAGTGAGTACTCAAAACCGAGCTTCTTAGCTGGCTCCTGAAAATGGGGGAGGCCTTCCAACATGATCCATCCCAGTGGAGGAATGTAACTAAAGCTCCAGGATCATCCAGCAGTCTTATTTGATTTTGCAAGTAGGTGGTACCTTCAGCTCAGATCACACATTCCTCACTGACAAAGGCAGAGGTACCAGCCAGCCAGGCAGAGGCTGGTACCTCTGCCTCTATTGTGGCTATCATTTCTGTCCTGTGTGATTAATGTGTATTTTATAGAAATGCTTTGTTTAATGAAACTGCATTTTAATATGTGTTCATAGAATTTTTATAGTATTTGTGTTTTTGACTGCTATGATCCACCTCGAGTCATAAGGAAAGGTGGGTAAGAAAATAAAATTATTCTATTATTATTACTATTATTATTATATTATTGGCACAAAACACAGTATGTCACAACAAACGAGATATATATGCTGGATTTCGTATCACAAAATCACAAGTCGAACACTTCCCAAGCGTTTAGGACTGTGTGATGTATTTTTGAATAATGCACGCAGATCCAAGTCAGGTGGCCTTTTGCAGTTGGCAGATTATGATTTTGTCAATGTTTATTGTTTCCAAATGCTGGCTGAGGTCTTTTGGCATGGCACCCAGTGTGCCAATGACCACTGGGACTACCTGGACTAGTTTATGCCAGAGCCTTTGCAGTTCAAAAAGGGAAAGAACAAGGCAAGAGGAAGAAAAGGTTGAGGACAGACAGAAGGAATTGGGAAGAAAGGGAGGAAGTGAAAGAGGGAAAACAGAATAAGAAGAGAAGAGAAAAAGAGAGAAGTAAAGGAAAGGAAAAAGGTAAGGGGGAAAAAAGACAAAGACAGGAAGAAGAGTAGAGACAGAAAGAGACAGGAACGGAAAAGGAGAAGCTACTGAAACTTAGACAAACCGGAAGTAAACCACTCAGAATTGAAGAAATAAAACTAAACAAGAGAAAGTCTGTGAATGGGTATGGGTATATGTATATGTATTGAATGCACAAGAGTGTATGAATATATGTATGTGTGTGCATATAGATATTTACAGATTTACAGACTACAGAAGGAAGGAAATATAAAGAGTTAGTAAAGCTAGCAGGGAAAAGCTATCAAGAGACATATCAGGAGAAGCAGTAACTGAACAGAATAGGAAATGTATATTTATAGACGTATATATATCTTCCATACCAAATCATAGAAAGTAAAACAAAAACAGGAATAAATACTATACTATAGCTAGTTAGCTACCATAATGGCAACAACAAAAAATAAGACAGAAAAAGAAAAAAAGAAAAAAGAGGAAGAGGAAGGAAAGACTCATTACCAGAAGTATTAAATATTAAAGATGTTATGAGAGAAATATTAAAATTACAAACTGAAGTGCAGAAGATACAAGATAATCGGGATAAAACAGAATAGTATAATGAAAGAGGAAATGGATGAGTTGAAAAAGGAAATAAAAGCAGAATTACAAACATTAAAGAGAGAATTGGGAGAAATTAGAGAAGATATTGAAATATTAAAACAAGAAAATAAAAAAATAGTAAAAGAAAATAAAGAGTCTAAAGCACAGCAAGAAGGGATGAAGAAAAAGATAAAAACCCTGGAAGAACAAATCAATTCTGTGAAAATACATCAAGAAATCTTAGAAATTAGAGAATGTTGAGGTCTTCATAACGGCTGAGTTTTACTTGTTGTTTTTCATCAATTCGGCGACATCAATAATCCATTTTTTTTTCTTTTCCACAATCGTGGTGTCTGGTGTATTGTGTTCCAAAACCTTTGTCAGTCTGGATTCGAAAGTCCCACAGTATTTTTGCGTGTTCATTTTGTTTGTATTTATTATTATTATTATTATTATTATTATTATTATTATTATTAAACTTTACTTGTACCCCGCTAGCATCTCCCGAAGGACTTGATGCGGCTTACAGAGGCCAAGGCCTCAACACAGGAACAACAAACAATAACAATGCAAGCAAATTGAAAACATAAGCAATAACGCAACAAAACATTACACTATTACACAATAAAATCAGGGCCGGGCCAATGATGGGTACAGGTTAAAAGTGCTGGGTGTGTGAGGTGGTATGTTGGAGTTCTGGGCAAGTGCAATGTGCAGAGAGTATTAAACTCTAATAAAGTGCTTCTGGGACAGTGCTGGAGATTATCCTATTCTGGGAAGGCACATCGGAATAACCAAGTCTTCAAGTTCTTCCTAAAGACTGCCAACGTGGGTGCTAGTCTAATGTCTTTGGGGAGGGTGTTCCAAAGTCGGGGGGCAACCACAGAGAAGGCCCTGTCCCTCGTCCCCACCAAACGCGCCTGCGACGCAGGTGGGATCGCGAGCAGGGCCTCTCCGGATGAACGAAGTGAACGCGTGGGTTCGTAGACAGAGATGCGGTCACGAAGGTAGGGTGGTCCCAAACCGTTTAGGGCTTTGTAGGTAAGTACCTGTACCTTGAATTGGTCTCAGTAGGTAAATGGCAGCCAATGGAGCTCCTTAAACAGGAGGGTTGACCTCTCACTGTAAGGAGCGCCAGTTAACATCCTGGCCGCCGCCCGTTGAACCAGTTGGAATTTCCGAGCCGTTTTCAAGGGCAGCCCCACGTAGAGCGCATTACAGTAATCCAATCGAGAGGTGACCAAGGCATGGACCACCCCGGCCAAATCAACCTTTGCGAGGTACGGTCGCAGCTGGCGCACAAGTCTTAGCTGTGCAAAAGCCCTCCTGGACACCGCCGACACCTGAGCCTCAAGCGTAAGCGATGAATCCAAGAGGACTCCCAAACTGCGGACCTGTGACTTCAGGGGGAGTGTAACCCCGTCCAACACAGGTTGCCACCCTATACCCCGATCCGGTTTACGATCGACCAGGAGGACCTCTGTCTTGTCGGGATTGATTTTCAGCTTGTTCCTCCTCATCCAGATAGACACAGCAGCCAGGCACTCGTCCAGCACCCGAGAGGCCTCCTTGGAATTGGGTGGAAAAGAGTAGTAGAGTTGTGTGTCATCTGCGTAGAGATGGCACCTAACTCCGGATGATCTCTCCCAGCGGTTTCATGTAGATGTTAAAAAGAGACAGAATAGAGCCTTGCGGGACCCCACAGGTCAAAGGCCAGGGGTCTGAGCAGGCGTCTCCCAGCTTCACCATCTGGGATCGACCCTCCAGGAAGGACCAAAGCCACGACAGAACCGTGCCCCCGAGACCCATCCCAGAGAGTCGTCCCAGGATACCTGAGATATCCAAGAGGACCAGCAGGGTCACCCCCCTGTCCAGCTCTCTGCGGAGGTCATCCACCAAGGCGACCAAGGCCATCTCGGTGCCGTGGCCAGGCCTGAAGCCAGACTGTGACTGATCTAGGTAGTTGATGTCATCTAGAAAACCCTGGAGCTGGGAGGCGACCACCCGCTCCAGCACCTTATTATTATTACTATTATGAAGTGTCTCCCTTGTTGGGCATCAAAAACATACCATGCTTTCATATAACATACTATACATGATAACTCAGTGAGAATTTTCTGTGCTCAAGGATGGAAAGAACCCTCTCATCCCAACACAAGAAGATTGGCTGACGAAGATCTGCAAACTAGCTGAGATGGGCAACCTGATAATACTGATCAAGAAGAAATCTTCGACCAATTTTAAGAAAGACTGGGACTTGCTTACCACTTTTTCACAGCAAATATGGGGGCAAATTTTGATTATAAATGAGAAGATTCTTATTAAAAGTAGAAGTGCGGTTATGTAGTATAATCTAAAGGGATAATACTATACAGAATAATAAAGAGTAATAAGCAATAAAAAGCAGCAGACAATGTGTGTGAGGGTTGCAGAATAGCTTCTGTAGTTGTGTGTTTAATAAGTGTCAATTACTGCAGGTTTGAGCAAGGTTAGTGTGTTTGTTACAGAATAGATCTAGTTTTGTAAGATGTAGTTGTTATGTGTTATATAGTATGGAAATTTACTTCTAAATAAAAATTAGAATTAAAAAATATTTATTGCCACTCTTTTTACATTATATAGTAGATTACCCATCACACATATGAAGATATTTACTTGCAAGCCACTTTGAGTCCTCTCTGGGGTGAGAAGGGCAGGATACAAATAGAGTAAATAAATAAATAAATTTATGGCAACAGTGAGTTCTTTGATTACCATTCTCCTAGAAATGACAGCAGATGTTTTCCATGTTCCAATCAGCAGGTGAAAAAACAGGGACACATTTTTTTTAATCTGAAAATATTTTAATCACATTTGCTAGCCCAGTATAAATGTGATATGATAAAAATACATGTGCTTTAATACATTTAAAAATCCAATTTAAAATTAAATTGTTTCAAAAAAATCTGACCCATATGAGATGACAATAATTAATATTTGGTAACAAGCATTCAGTGAGTCAAGTATACTATTAATTTCCATAACCACCAAGGCATATAATACAACAATTTTTTCAGAGCATATACAGAGAATCAAACCGCCTCCCAACCTCTTGTTTTTTTTACTTATATATGATCTACTGACCTGAACACTAAAAACTAGAGATTTTCTTATCCAGTCTGTAAAAGAATCAAAGCATATATTTACAAATATTTTATTTAGAGGAGGAGAATCATTAAAAAAAAGCAACTCAGCTACAGGATAACTTCTGCAGATTTTTTTCACATGGTTATCTCTTAATATAGCAAATTAAAATATACAACTTCTTCTGCAATAAGCATTTTATTTGTTCATCAAGTTTTGTCACTCCTCTCCAAAGAGATATCCAAAGAAGCAGCCCACAAGAGACTGTTTGTAATGAGATGATAATAATAAGGATATCAGAGACATGAAAAAAATAATGCAATACTGCACTACTAAACAGTACAATTTGTCATTTTTGAAACTTGGGTGTGTGTGTGTCACGGACAGAAAAGATCTCTGGACCCTCCGATGCGGTCTGTCCCTGTATTGCACCAAAGACTGTCCTAAGTTTATACAAATGAGGTTAAAGGTAGAATCCTAGGAAACAAAAGCCAGAAGTTAGGTTTTAAAATCCATGTCCAGAACTTTTCTGTCAATTCTGCAATATAGAAACAATCAAATACTTTAATTTAAATCGATGACAAAAAGCTATATTATCAGCAGTGAGAATACTTTAACTCTTGCTGACAGGGCTAAATGCAACCTATAATAGGTCTATACCAGTGGTTCTCAACCTGTGTGTCCCCAGATGTTTTGGCCTTCAACTCCCAGAAATCCTAACAGCTGGTAAACTGGCTGGGATCTCTTGGAGTTGTAGGCCAAAACATTTGGGGACCCACAGGTTGAGATCCAGTGGCCTATACCTATTTGGCCATGATAAGTACACAATAAATATTCATTTTCTCTTATATTTCTATACTTTATCAAATTAAATATATAACCGTCAAAGTATGTATGTATGTAAGTATGTTGGTTGGTACCCCAAATGCTCCTACATGGCTTGATGAATATGGACCATATTTAGCACAAATACTCTACATTAATCAACTTAAAATAATTGACGGGTTTGAAAGAAAAGGAACAAAGCTGATTGGCTGTGGCTTGGCTCTCTGTCATGTGATGGGGAGATAAATAAAGTGAAAATGCAGTAAGGGGAAGGAAGGAAAAAAGGGGGAAGGAAGGAAAGAAGAAAAGAAAGAAGAGAAAGGAAAGAGGGAAAGGTAAGAGAAAGAGGAGGGAGGGAGGGAGGGAGGGAGGGAGGGAGGGAGGGAGGGAGGGAGGGAGGGAGGGAGGGAAGGAAGGAAGGAAGGAAGGAAGGAAGGAAGGAAGGAAGGAAGGAAGGAAAGAAGGAAGGAAGGAAGGAAGGAAGAGAAAGGAAGGCAGACAAAAGGGGGGCGGGAGAGAAAAAAGGAGGAAAGGAAAGAAAACCAAGAAACCAACCAACCAACAAAAATACATGCATACATATTTAAATGCTAAAGGTGCTTTGAGACAAAAGGTTTGAAGCAGAAAATTAGGGGAAACAGATGAGGATTGTGATTTTAAGATCTATTTATAAAGACCAATTTTCACATAATCAAGTGCAGTCTGAATGTACGAAGGCATAATTTTTGGAAAACAGGTTAACAAGGAAATCCTTAACTTAGAATGACCAGGGGTTTATGCATACACAGGGAGAATATCAGCCACTTTTAAAAGTTTCCTCTAATTAATGGGCTAGATACAGATCTGACAAATATTTGTTTTGTGCATCAAGAAAGCAAGCATTGATTGCTAGTTTCACATTCAAAGGTGGATGAGGAAAGGGGAGTGGAGTCCAAAACACCCTTTCCTTCATCGCTTTGTAACTTGGATGTTTTCAGAGAGGCTTTAGGTGTATGGCACATTAAGCTTTTGGTGTATGGCACATTGGGGTATGCTCAATAGAAGAAATGCTAATCACAGCATTAGATTTTTTAAACGTTAATTGTGCACCAACAATATAGCCATCTGGTAAATATCATACCTTGATCTCTGCACCATGTGTTTGAATGTATGATTTTATTGGTGTTTTTGTTGCATGTATTTTGTTGTATGTATTTTATGTTGATGTGTTTTGACTATGTTGTACCCTGCCTTAAGCCATTAGGAAAGGTGGAGAACAAATAAATATTTTTGTTGTTGTTATTGGAAAAGAAAGCCTTCTTCAATTAACAGTGAGCTTCCTCAGTCCATGCTAGCGCTTCATATTATTTAGTATCCTGAAAACTCAGATAATACATATAGAGGTAGCTTAACTTTGCAGGCAGTCGGTCTCAACATGCAGAAGAGGAATGTGGAGTCATGCCACCCCTGCTCTCTTTCCTCCTACGTGGAAACTACAGTGTAAATTCACAGATAAAAAAGGGGGCAAGAATCTGATTTAACAGTGTCTTGCAGACGTTATGACAAAAAGACACCCTTAATCTCATCACGATTAGGAATTGAAATTAATTTGATTCGCACTGTTGATGCTTGATGATGTTGATGATGTAGTTGTGTGCCTTCAAGATGTTTCCTATTTATGGCATCACTTAGGTGTGCCTTGTGTGCCTTCAAGATGTTTCCCATTTATGGCATCCCTTAGGTGAACTTGCCACAGGGGTTTCTTGGCAAGATTTATTCAGAGGGTGTTTGCCTTTGCCTTCCTGAGGCCCCACTGACATTATCATTATCGTGCAGATTGAACTGCATTATATGGTCATATAATCCAGTTCAATGCAGTTACACTGACTATGATAATGGCAATGTCTGTCAATGGGGCTTGAAACAGGGTTTCCATGGCTGAGCAGGAATTCAAAACTTGGACTTCAGAGTGATAGTTCAACACTCAAATCACTACCGGCTCTCAAAATGAAAAGTTGTGTGTGTGTGTGTTTGTTACTTCTCAGAAACTGTTTTTTGCTTTGAGAAAAATCTCTCACTGAAGTTGTGATCCAGTTTACCTGTCTAGTCTGTGTTCCCCTTTTTTCTTTTGAAGAATATTTATCTTGCCTCTGATTCTGGAAGATCTTTTTCTGGAAAACTGTCATCACTGAGGTCGCTGTAGCTGTCACTAAACAGAAATGGGGCAAAAAACAAAGTTCAATTTTTCACCTCGGGTTTCTCAGCAAAGTTCCAACTTATGCTGTTCTTAATCTGGTAACTGCAACATCCAGTTCTATGTGGCACATAAACACAACTCTCATGCACTGTCCTCTTGTTCTTGTATATGTGCAAGATGTATGATCTCATGTTGCATGGTTTCGCTTTTTTACTAAATTAGAATAGATATGAGTTCACTATGTAGGAACAGATGATGAAATAATGAATAGGAAGAATTTGTTTTAAAAAAAACAGAAAAAAGGCAAAAAAGACAATGCAGAATCTTTTATAATTGTATCTAATCTCAGGAACTGCCTCCCTATTGGTTCAAAACCTTATTTATTGTGGTCAATATGTGGTTTTTAAAATCAAAATCATTGTTATACTTACTTCTTTCTGAATATATCCAAGGAAGCACAGGATAAAACTTGACATTATTAAACTGTTTTGATTACTGAACTAACCCTACCTACAAATATTATAACAACACCATAACATTATTACAATCATTATTAGGTACAGGATAAAAAAGAAATGTTTGACACTGTCTCATTATTTTATAGCATACAAGAACCCTCTCTCACACTGTCAAGTGCTACATAAATGATCTTGGTTCCCAACCTTTTTTTGACCAGGGACCACTTGTTGAGGGACCACTTGAACAGGGACCACTTTGACCAGGGACCGCTCTCCAATATTAGTACCAAAAGGGTTACATATCAGTTTTTGGTAAACTTAAGATTCGGTTTGGTTATTTGGAGTGCTGATTCAGAAAGCTGCATTGGAAAAATCACAACAGCTCTAGTTTCTAATACAGAACATATGCCATCCAGCAGTCACCATCTGCTCGCCCACAGAAAACCATGTGTAACCATGTAGTAAAGGTGAGGCCGCGGACCATATTTTAGTTCTTGCGGACGACAGGTTGGGAACCACTGATCTATATACAGATGAATGCTGGATTGTATGGTATACTTTGTAGCATTTATTGGTTATGTGTATAATCAACCAGTAAATAAAATTGTTTTCCTCTTTCTGAAGTTTTACTTCAAATGCTTCAGGATAAGTTATGTGTGTTCATTGTTTGAGATCTGAATTCACTCCAGAGGTCTGTGTGCTGTTTTATTATTGACATATGGTAAATCTATGACCTATTGGAACAGTTCCTAGAAGAGTCTTTAGCCTGCATCAAAATGTTATCATCTGAAATGATCTGTCTGTCTCTCTGTGAAACAGACACAAGCAGATTTCATCCTCTTAATACAATTTCTCAAAGGCTTGCTTTAGGGAGTGGTCAGTTTCTTCTCTCCTATACTATATGAGTAAAATAACTTTTACTGATTCAATGAAACCATTTAGGCAGAATCATTACTTCTTATAAAACTTGGGTAAATGTGAACTCCAAATATCTGATGAGACCTCATCACTATTATTTATTTCTTTATTTCAGACAATCATGATATAATTAATTACATGAGATTGAAAGAGTTCTTAACTTACAAATTGTTTATCTCATAACCTTTTCAATTTCAACATAATCTAGTGTTATTACCCTATGTGGTGGTGGTAGTAGTAGTAATAATAATGTAATTGCTATACAGGCAATCACTGAGTTACAAACATCAGACTTACAAACAACTCCTAGTTAAGAACAGGGTTGAGACAATAGGAAGAGAGAGAAATCTACCCACAGGAAGGGAAATTCACCCCTGGAAGAGTTAACATGGGATAAAGGTGTCTCCACTGAAGCTTTCTCACCAAACCTTGTTTCCTTACATTTAAAAATGCACCTGTTCTGACTTACAAACAAATTCAACTTAATAACAAACCTAAATAGCCTATCTTGTTCATAACTTAGGGACTACCTGTGTCTATGTCCTCAATATGAAAGGCTGTGTGGATCCAGAATCCATGGTCACTTAGGGATCCACCAACAAGACTCTACCTCTGGGAGATAATCATACTTAGCCATGAGAGATTGCCTATGGTGTGTGTGTGTCAGGAGTGACTTGAGAAGCTGCAAGTCCCTTCTGGTGTGTGAGAACTGGCCGTCTATAAGGACGTTGGCCAGGGGATGCCCGGATGTTTTTGATGTTTTACCATCTTTGTGGGAGGCTTCTCTCATGTCCCTACATGGGGAGCCAGAGCTGATAGAGAGAGCTCATCCATACTCTCCTTAGATTCGCACCTGGGACCTATCAGTCTTCAGTCCTGCTGCATACAAGGGTTTAACTCACTGCACCAACAAGGGCTGCATTGCCCATGATGATAATTAGAAATACTTCCAAAGCGACTTCTTCTTTCTAGAGTTTTATAAGAATAACAAAAGAATTGTTACCTAGGAGACAATTTACATCCACGTTGCAAGTATGCACTGAGTGAACCTGTTGCTGCAAGCAAGAGACCCAGATAAGGAGGTGAGGGCTTCATGGGTCTTGAGGAAAATTCTGGATGGAACTGGACACCAATAAAATATGGATGATCTGAAGACAAATCACAGAGCAAAATGAACAATCTAATTTCTTTATTCTAAAAATACACTTTAAACAACATTACAGGCAAGCTTTCAACACATAATGGTATCTTGGGATATTATTACAAATTATTTCGTTAGTGATTAATGTATTTTTGATAATCTAATCAGGAATGAAAACTTAAAAGTGTTCAAGGAGTGTTGTGCTCATTTTTCTTGTTGTATATTCTTGTAAGCACTTTTTAAAAGACAAGTCAATGCAACTGGGATCTGCAACTAAATTCCTGAGCTCATTGCTCCACTTTTGTACATGCTTTTCAGATATGCCCTCACTGAAAATATGCCATTCCATTCCCACTACCAATAGATTATCTGATTTCTTCCAATGTTATCATGTTGTGGCCAGTGAACATGCTCATTCTTCAATGCCCTATTTGGGAGTACTCCTTTTCTTTCTGTTTTTTTAAACTTCAGTAAACCTTAGAGCTATAAATGTTGTGACTCAGGTAACAGAGATTGTCTTACACAGCAATTAAAGTGTTAACAGCAGTCTTTAATGAGTCTCTATCTGAAAAGAGCACTTAACAGCAGTGCAATTAGCAAAACAAAAGAGCCTTCAGGCAGGTAAACAAAGAAGTGATAAGCCAGATCTTCCAGGACTTGAGCTCAGCAAAAAGGAAAGCAGGAGTAAACAAGAGCGTGTCGCAAACACAAAATCAAAACGGCTTCTTAATCAAGCAGAGTCCAGAGCAATAACAAAGTCCGATAAACAGTTGCATAGTCCAAAGACGATTCCAAGGTCAGGGGCAGGACGAAGTCACTCACGTAGAACGGTTCCGAAGTCAAGATACACAAGGCAGGAAAGCTGGATACCAGGGACCCAAACAGAGGTTAGGCAGCACAAAGCACATAAGCAACACTTTGTCTTCTGCAAAATTACACCTCCCAGCGTGCTCAATTTATTCACAGTCACCATCACTTGATTGACCTTCATTACTAGCATCTGAATCATTTCCCTCAGCTGCTGCCTCATTGCCACGCCAACGCTGCCATCGTTGATCCAATTCCTGATCCTGCCAAGATGAATCTTCCTTCCAGGTATCTTGGAACCCTTCGAACTCATCACTGGACGTAGCTTGGGTGCATATGTCCCTAATGTTCTTAACAAGAGTCCAATCCAGTTCCTCCTCCATTTCATCCTCACTGGCTTCCAATTCCCCTGAACTGGAATTGTCAGCTGTATCTTTAAGTCTCTTACTCAGGGTATCGTTATCACTGTCAGACTCACTGGCAACCCGCTTTACTCCCCGGTAATCTGACTCTACTAGGTCCTCAGGGCCGAACCCTGCAAAGTCCTCCGAATCGCTCGGGGCCAAAATGATATCACGAATGCGCTTCAGCTGACGCTGATCCAGGTCTGATTCAGCATCACTCCTCCTTCTCCTGCAACTGGTAGTAGATCCACTGCCGTGACGCTGAGCCTCAACAGTAAAGAAATTGGGAAATACTGCAAAAGGAGAGCTTCTCAAAAATCTGAAAAATTATTGATCTAAACCAACAGAATATGTGGCCAAGGCTAACAACTGAATTCACTTAGACCCCCTAACTCAAGATCAAAGCTATGATCCTTTGGAGTGAGATGAGATGATCCATTGGGGGGAGAGGGGATGATAATACTGGGGAAAGTGGAAGGCAATGTTGGAGTTCAGCAGCAGGTTGCTGGGGAATCCTCAGAGGATGAGGGGGATGATGGTTTTCTCACTGAGTCTGTGTGTGATAAGGCTGAAACATAGGCTGAATTGCAGGTCTTAGATCAGAAAGAAGGGCCAGCAGTTGCAGAAGAAACAGCATGCTTGGGATTGCAGTTCTCTTGGGAACTGGCCTTCAACAGATGAGGAGTTTATCCACGATATCAGATTAGGCCTCCACATAGATAGACGATCAGAAAGACTCCCGTGAAAAGTCCTTGAAACTCCATGAGAAGTCTTTCAAACCCAGGTGTCAGAGAGATGACCTCCTGGCTTCTTGCTAGGGCCTGAGCTTAAATTAAGTGGGTTTTTTTGTTTTGTTTTTTGTAGAGTCGCTAGATCAGACAATGTTGCCATATAATAAAGTTCCAGGATGAGCTCTCATTCTCTTGAATCTTGTCTCCTGTGCTTGCCTATGTTCCTGTAAGAGTTTTGCCTTGAAAAATTTACTGTTTTCATGCTTATGCCTTTGATCTTGATTTCCTGGATTCCATGTGCCTTGCCTTTATGGATTATTGAACGTATATATGGACTACTGCTATTTTATGGTACCGTTTCGATTGCTTTTGGGGAATTGCCTTTTTTCCCTCTTTTGTACATACTTTTCTAAATAAACTGTTGTAGTTAGATACTATTGGACTCTGGTGTGGTGCTGGGTGAAAAAGGTTAACAGCAAGGCTAGAGTGCAACAGGTAGTAGGAGAAAACAAGGAAAACTACAGCAGACGGATTGATTCAGCTGATGAAGCCATAGTCCAGATTTGCAAAACCCAAGAAAGGCTGTTAATAATGGGGGCTCGGGAGGTCTCACATTATAGGGTTGCCATAACTTTAATATGACTTAACAGCAAATAACAACAACAAACTTGATGGTAGTATGTCTAGCTTAATCATGTACCTGCAAATAACAACAGCATCGGCAGCAAATGACAACAACAACAACAGGCTCATGTATCATTTTGTATGAATGCCTTCTTTCCTGTTAGTGCATTTGATATTCTTTCATATAACTTTGATTTTTCAATTTCAGGAAACAAATCCTTTTGTCATGGAAATATGAGTCTTTGCATTATTTTTCTCTTGCCATTCACAACAAAAAAGAAATATCCCATGTTCTCCTTATTGTAATACTTTCCCCTCAGCTGACTCTTCTTGGTTGTGAGGCAAGCAGAGATAATTATTCTGGGCAAAGCTTCAATTCCTTCCTTGCAATCAGCTACTTTCCCTTGCAATGCCTCTCAGATGAGAAACACTTGTCATAGAGAAAATGTGTTTCAGTCTCTGAAATTAAACATCTCTCCTGAAGCATATCTCAGCCCCCTATCAGTGACATGGATTCTCACATCTGCTCATTTGCCTGGCTCATTTGTGATAAGGCAGATGTATTCCATGGCTTGGTTGATTTGATTTTCCTTACTAATGAAGCATCTTGCCACCTAAAATGGATTCTAGAAAATCATTAGAGATTTTATTGTTTTTCTTATTTCTTTCAGAGGAACATGCTATTTAAACCATGCCATATTCGTTATACTTCATGCATAAATATTTTCAAGCAAGACATGAATTGTGGTTTGAGTATCAGCGTACACACAAGGAGTAATCTAATCCAAATTATTAAATTATTAAATACATACCAAGTTTGAAATAACTCCAAAAAGTGAAACTACATTTCATGTAAAGCAACATGACTTTATAGAAATAATAACTTTCATTATATATCCAATGGTGCTTCAGGTTTTCATAACAACATGTTTACATTTTAATGCACTTGGAACTTTTGCTTTTAAATCTCTGTAGTAATTCTCTATCATTATTCTAGTTTTAATATCTATTTAACATAATCACAAAAAATATGTACAACCTTACATTTAAGGAAATTGCAGGGATGAATGCAATAGTACACTTTATCAATATTTTAAATTCAAATGAATGTGTACATTTAGCTTTTATAAACAGCAGCTCACTAGAAGTATAAATAAATATAACTAAACTGTATGAAGATTTGTTACCTATTTGTTTGGAAAATTAAGTTATAAATATTTCAAAAAAAATATTTAAAATGCAATAGCTTTTCGGTTTTCTTTCCCTCTTGTTAACCTTAACATATATCTGCAAAACCAGTTAAGAATGAGTGATAGTTAGTAAATTCAGCATCTACAAAAATTTAGTATCTGATGAGGGTACTGAAATACCTGACAAACCTATGTTAAACAAAAATAATTTATGATTTCTTCAGCTTCATCAACAACTAATACGATTACAAAATGAAAATTTCAACAGCACTTCCTTCCAGTTCTTTTCTCCTTACGGAACAATGTATCACAGGATAGCATCACCCAAGCTGACCTGTCTGGATAATAGCTCATCTGTATACAGGCAGTCCCCAAGTTACAAACATCCAACTTACAAACAACTCACAGTTAAGAATGGGAGTGAGACAGCAGGAAGTGAGAGAATTCTACCCCTAGGAAGGGAAATTTCTCTTGAAAGAGTTCTCATGAGAAAGGGGTGTCTCCACTGAAGCTTTAGCACCAATCCTTGTTCCAACACCAAGACAAATGTTTCAAAATCCAATTCTCATAGGGAGAGAAAGTGAGGTGAAATCTTCTGAACAGGGGCACAAACTGTCAAACAAACACCACAAAGGTATTAACCCTTCCCAATGCTATCCAAAGCTGTGTGTGTGTGTATGTGTGTGTATCTGGAGTTTGAAAATACACCTGTTCCAACTTACAAAGAAATTCAACTTAAAAACAATCCTACAGAACCTAGTTTGTTCATAACTTGGGGACTGACTGTACTTTCTTCCTACTGAAAGATTAAACTTTCTGTGATCAAAACCTGAGTAATTACAGTTCTAACCAGTATCTCATTGTGAATGTCTCATTTCTGCTGTAGCTGGTCAGTTCCTTTTTTAACACAAGGCTGAATGATTAATAAGATGTAAACATGCTTCTGTGAAATAAACACTTCATCATCCATTAGATGTCGTCACAAGCTGACGTGCTTACCATCCAGTTCAATGATCTCCATTCGCTTTCCTTCAGTGTCATGGCCAACAAATGTCAAGCCTTTCTCTTCAAAGAAGAGAATCAACTCCGGATTTACCTTGAAAAGGGAAAAAACAAAGAAAATAAAGCAAATGCCTAATCTTTCTCTTCAAAGAAGTGAATCAACCCTGGATTTATGATGAAAAGGGAAAAATAACAACAAAGAAAACAAAACAGGTTGCTTCAAAAATATCTGGGTATCTTAACACTGGTGGAAATGTACACTCAAATGTAAACCTGTGTTGGCATTGCAGTGTTCATTACCTGTGGCTAGTTACTGCATACCCTAATACCTTCAAAGGGGACATCAAGGGCTGTACCCCAGAAAATGCTATACTGTTTTCTTTTCTTTTTTCATCTCAGAAACCTTAGCAACAATGTCTTCATCCTCTCCTATTTTTCCATGGTTTGTCAATCCTTTCCTGTCCCACTGCACCTGAGCCCTCTAGTTCTCTTCTCTAGCTAAACTGCACCCATCTCTTCCTGGGTTATTAGGGTATAGGGTTACAGCCTGTGTTGGATGGGGTCGCACTCCCCCTGAAGACGCAGGTTCGCAGCTTGGGTGTGATCCTGGATTCATCGCTGAGCCTGGAACCCCAGGTTTCGATGGTGACCAGGGGAGCATTTGCACAGTTAAAACTTGTGCGCCAGCTGCGCCCGTACCTTGGGAAGTCTGACTTGGCCATGGTAGTCCACGCTCTGGTTACATCCCCTTTAGACTACTGCAACGCTCTCTACGTGGGCTTGCCTTTGAAGACGGCCCGGAAGCTCCAACTAGTCCAACGCTCGGCAGCCATGATATTAACAGGAGCGAAGCGCAGGGAGCATACAACTCCTCTGCTGCACCAGCTCCACTGGCTGCCGATTTGCTACCGGGCTCAATTCAAAGTGCTGGCGTTGGCCTTTAAAGCCCTAAACGGTTCTGGCCCAAGCTACCTATCCGAACGTATCTCTGCCTATGAACCCACCAGGACTCTAAGATCTTCTGGGGAGGCCCTGCTCTCGATCCCGCCTGCGTCTCAAGCACGGCTGGCGGGGACGAGGGACAGGGCCTTCTCTGTGGTGGCCCCTCGGCTGTGGAACGCCCTTCCCTTGGACATCAGATCAGCCCCTTCGTTAATGGTATTTCGAAGGAAACTAAAAACCTGGCTGTTTGAACAGGCGTTCGGATAAACGGTGCATTTGTACATGATGAATATAGGATACGGAATTTGGACAACGAATTGGATCATGATTCTAGTTACGAGACGTTAATGTGTTGATATTGATGTATTATTACCCTGTATATTATGTTGTTTAATGGTTTTTTAAATTTTTTATGCCTGTTGGATTGACTTTTTTGCCCTTGTTGTGAACCGCGTTGAGTCGCCTACGGGCTGAGAAACTGCGGTATACAAGCAAAGTAAATAAATAAAATAATTAATCTCCTAAAAGGGAGCTAAGTGTTTGGATGCCCCAACTTTTGACCTCAGGAATCTCCTGTTTACCTGCCCTTTTTAGAGCCTCAGAAATCTAAGCAGTAGTATCTTAGCTTTCTCCTATTTGCCCATGTTTTTTCTCTCTGTTGTAGGAATCTTAACAACATAGAGACAACTTCTGTTTTTCCAGCCCTTAAATCAAAAGTGAGCCTGCTGCTGAACAGGAAATAATATAGCATTTTTCAAAGAAAGCTACTATAAAAGGAAGCATTATCTTAGCAACCAAAGTATACATTGTGGTTATACTGTTATTAGGCTAAACAACATTAAGCACAACATGTATCACATTAGCTTTTGAAGCCCACTGGTTTCATCATTAGGCAAATATGGTAAACAATCACGGCCGGGAGGAAAATTGACAATGCTAAAGTCAGAGAACTGCATCTTCTTTGAGGTTTTACTTCAGGTGATTTTATGGAAGGGTTGGTAAAAGGAAACATTAGCCTAAATATTCCAGAGGGACCAATTTACGGCTGCCAAGCGAGACTGTTTTTTCCTTGCATTTCATTTACTGCCTTGTGACTATTCAGGGGTTTGGCCTAACCTTTCATCCGCATTGACCTTCCTCCAAGATAGCCTTAAACAAATGCCTCAGACAAGATGGATATCCGTGACTGTTAACACTGCCACTTTTTGTCCTTTGTATGATTTTTACCACTTTTAAATTATGAAGACAACAAAGGGCTTGAAAGGTTAGGGTGATGACATTCATGCCTTTTGTCTGGTCTGATAAAGATATAACTACAATGTTGCTTCATATTCAGATATAACCACAATGCACACATTTGGGATTTTGTTTTATTGTCAAACCACTCCCTGCCACCTGTTAGCTGTCACTTGCCTCATAGCGATGTCTGTGCCGTTCTTCTATAAAACTCTGATCACCATAGAGTTTTCCTTTTTAAAAAAAAACACAAAAAGTTGGAAAGAAAAGAGATACAGATGTTACAATTTTAGTAGACATTTTACTTTAACCATAGTACAGGTAAAGGTTTCCCTTGACATTAAGTCTAGTCAAGTCTGACTCTGAGGAGTGGTGATCATCTCCATTTCTAAGCCAAAGAGCCGGCATTGTCTGTAGATGCCTCCAAGGTCATGTGGCCAGCATGACTGAATGGAACACTGTTACCTTCCCGCCAAAGCACTACCTATTGATCTACTCCCATTTTCATTTTTTTGAACTGCTAGGTTGGCAGAAGCTGGGCCTAACAGCGGGAGCTTACCTAACTCCCAGGATTTGAACTGCCAACCTTTCAGTCAGCAAGTTCAAAAGCTTAATGGTTTAACTCGTTGCACCACCAGGAATACCCATATTCATGAGTATTTCCCTACTAAACCTTTTAAGTAAAGGACAGAAACTTCAGCAAGAACTTTCAAAGCAAAATGTACATTAGGTAATCAAAAGGTTAATGAATAATAAGAGGCTGTTCTAGCATCAAAGAATCACAAAGCCATGCCCCTTCTTATCTTTCTGTTCCATCTAAATCAGGTTACAGTCATACAAGGCTGGACCAATGTCTGGAAGCAATAATGAGACAGACCTCAGCCAGAAAGATGAGTCTGAAGTGGGAGAGGCTGGTTTGGCTAGTTCCAGGCTTGACATATTGTAATATCCTGGACTTGGATGGAGCTAGATTAATCAAATCCCAGAATCTTAGATCACCTCGGAATACACTTCTAAAACATAACCTGAAAGATGTCCATCCAACCTCTGTTTAAAGGAGGTTAGAAGCACTATTGAACCCAGCTTTGTTATAGTAACTAAAATTGACTGCACTAGCTCAAAGTGCCTAGATCCAAATACATCTTCACTAACTTAAATCTTCCTTGGACTAGAACAATCCAATGGGTTAAGCTTTAGCAATATCGTGTCTCATTACCACACTATCCTTACACATGGCTCATTTGACGATAGTTTGGAGGTTTCACTGATGCAAAATGTCATTGCTGAGTTACTGAATGGCATGTACATTATACATGTACTCTTAATTTGCATTAGGTATCTCTTTATTTCCAGACTCAATGAATTCATATTGCTTTATGTGATATTTGCTGGAACATGACTCCCAGTATGCAGCATTCATTGAAGTGTTTGGAAGCAAACATACTTAAATAATGCAAGAATTATTTGCCCTCCCCTGTTCTGAGCCACATTAAACTCAGAAAACAGAAATCCTAGTTATGCCAATTATATTTTGCCAAGGATAAAAGCAGGATTTTCAGTCCTATAAAAGTTCAAGGAGAAAAAACAACAACAACCATACACCTATTTTAGGGCAGTTGATGTGGAAGGGGAAAGCAAGAACTTCCTTCTGTCTCACAAATTTTATTTTTTGATGCAGCATTGGTAGCATATTGCTCCTGTCAGATCCTCTAAAGACATAAGGAAAGGAGAGAAAAACTCCCTTAGTCCATATCTCTGTTCATTGGTATGAAAAAGGAAGACTTGTGCCTCAGGATTGGGAATTCAAAGACTTCAGAAGAATCGAAACATTGCCAACACTTCTTGCAAAAGCACAACTAGCACGGTGAAGACCAAATCCCTTTATTATTTGTTCTCTGTTGCTTATCCATACCATATGCTGCATTTCTGCAAGACATGCCTCTGTGCTTGCTGTTCTCTTTTACAAAACAAGCAAGTGAACACAATATTACAAAAAGTTTGGGGAGAGAAAATGAAGAATTAGAAATAATGCTGAAGAATATTTGTGGGGGGTTGTCTCTCCATCCCCACGTTTTTTGCAAGCAAGAAAATAAGGCATTGCTTCCTAGAAAAGCCTCAGCTCAGAATAATAAAATCACCTTTTGCTTCTCATTTTTCGGAATTAAAAATAAGACTCCTCCCTGCAAAGTGGGTTTTTCAGGAAAACATAACCTCGCTGCCCTCTGCCAAAGCACCAAAGGAAACAAAGTACTCTGCCCCATCGTTCAATCACAAAGAGAAAAAGCAAAATGCAATGTCATTTTTTCATGTATTTTTTTCTTTAGTAAACAACAGTGAGATTCTGTATACCTAATGATGGTGATAATGATTTCTTCATTCATATCCTCTCCATTTCTCAAAATTGTGTTTCAAATAACTTATAAAATTGAAAACACAGGAAAAGGTACAAAAATATGAAGCATAAACACACACAAAAGCTACTGTTAAATGCAATTCAATAAAACTGAAAAGGTTTAAAACAAGTCTGTTAAAGAGTCAAAAGATAAAATCCCTTAAGCGTCAGTTCCTAAAATCCTGCTGCAATAATAAAAAAGAGGTCCCACTTGACAAAAGAAAGACAACAAGGAGAAAGCTAGACACACTGCCCTAGGAAAGTAGTTCCAAAGTCTTGGAGGAATCACCAAGAGTTTGAGATTCATCTGTCTATCGATACATATACATATACAAACATATTCTAAAAGTCCAAATGGAAGGAGAAATAACATCTCCCTCCTTATTTGTTGGCACTGGGATTAAACATGTGTTGTGGATTGCTTCTTTAACCTCACAGAGAATAAAGTAATCTTAAACCATTTAAAAATAATTGTAAAACATTTACAATTATTTAACAGTTTAACAGAGTAGAAGGATAGCAAACGTACATTTAAAGCAATACAGTTGAAAGCACTGCAAAGAGTTTAAAACAATTTTGCAACTCATGCAACTTTGGATAAAACAAGTCAGAACCAAAATGTTTTGGTAAAGACAGGTAAGTTGGGCCGGAACCATTTAGAGCTTTATAGGCTAAAGTCAACACTTTGAATTGTGCTTGGTACCAGACTGGCAGCCAGTGGAGCTCATGTAAAAGAGGGGTTGTGTGCTCCCCTGTACATTTCATCTTTTAAAAGGATTGTTATTGTTTCAAATTGCCCTAACCTAATTTTATTGCATGCTGCCATGGGATTCTTTAATATAAGGCATTTTACAGAAACAATTATGATTATGATTATGTTTAGTTACACCCTGCTTTTTCTCTCCACAAGGAGACTCAAAGCAGCTTACATTAAAATCATGTCAATACAATTTAAAATCTACAAATATACAAAGATTAAATCAGGATTAAACATCAATTGTATTTTTAAAAAATCACAATTAAAATCCATAAAACCCCATAAAAACGTACTCAAAGCTAAAAACCACAGCACCCCCTGACTTGCACTTCAAAAACCTTCTTCTTTAAAAGCCTGCGTGAATAAACAAGTTTTAGAATACCAATGGAAGGACATCAGGGAGGAGGCCATTCTGGGAAAGAAAGCTGCAACCTTGGAAGGTCCCCATCAACCGAGTTTGTGATGTGTTTTGATGGAACATACTGAATTAAATTATACTCAAGGATAACAAATAGTACACATTTGAATATGACACACACACATATATGTTTTTATGACTAAAGCAAGTACATTGGTCAAAGAGGTTACAACTTACTTAGGACAGAATCTTCTGTCTTAAAGATGGTTTTTCTTTTCCCTAGTCTCATTGTTCCTCCCATATCTCCAGGATTGTGTTCAGGCATATCAATGACCTTAAGAAAGAATCATATTTACTTTTATTTGCATTATTTATATTTTAGACAAAAATATTGATACCAAGACCAAGTCTCACGTGTCTCTAGAAAAGCAATATTGCGTGTGATATGAGGATACTACATGGATATTCTACAGAGAATGCTATATGGAAATCAAAGTATTGAGAATCATAGAAGTCCCAATTTTAGTTGTATCTTTTACTTTTATTGCAAACAACTGGTTCTTAATCTAAAGTGAAATTGCAGTGCCAAATACATTAACCATGCTAATCTTTTGAATTTTGGGAAACGATCACAAGAAATAACTGCAATGATTACTTCAAAGTTAAACACTTTGCAACTCAATCCTACAGGCTTATGCAGAAGCTCAGTGAGACTTGCATATAAGTAAATATAAGATTTGAAATCCCACAAGTGGAGGAGCAAAGGATAAAAAAAGATATGAAAAGGAATAAAAGATGGCTATGCTGCCAAATAGTTTGAGTGAGAACTTTTCCCATAATATTGGTGAATATTACATCTTCGATACCATATTCAAAGAGATGGACAAAAATAATGATAAAGATGTATGTTTGGAAGAGTTTGAAGCTGTTATGCCAAAATAAGATTGAAAACTCTCGGCCCTTTAAGATTACTAGGAAGAAAATAAAATGGACCCATAAAGAAAAGAAATCCTGAGAGCAACAGACAAATTTGTTGCTGAGATGTAAGATCATGATTGTGACAATAAAAACATCTCAGTAAATGTACCTAGTGTTATTCTCTGAGCTATCCTCATATCACGGGAAAGTACTGCATGTTTCTTTCACTAGACCAATTCAAACAAATGGCAGATGTACAAGAACACAGCACTCACTACACCCCTAGAATACCTACTAAGCTAAATGGAATAATTTGCTCCATATATGTAACGGCAGAGAAGAGAGATGGAGTATTGAAAGAAAAACCAACACTCTGTAGCTTTCATTTTAGGTTATATACCTATTACCAAAACAGCAGTAAAAACAGTCAATGGAAACTAAAGCATTACATGTGTGAGTCTACCTTCACATCTCACCTGAACTGAATAATAGTAAAATCACTCAGCTTTGCAATTTGGGGGGCGGGGGCGGGGAACAACACTTATTAGGTTGTTTTTTCTTTTTCTTTCACTCCACTCTTTTTATTCCTCAGCTTTCTTTCCCACCATCCCAGTGCTTTGCCTTTCCCTCTTCTCACTTTCCTCATCATTTATCAGGTAGCAAGACTAATGCCTCCTTCCTTTCAATAGTTGGAAGTGTAAAGCAGTTGCAAAAAGGCAATGGCAAAATCCCTCTGAACAAATATTGCCAAGAAAACCTCATGATAGGTCTGCCTGACAGTCATCATAAGTCAGAAACAACTTAAGGGCCTAAAATAACAACTAAGAAAATGATATTACAAAGAACTGCCTAGATACCTCTGGGGAAATTAAAAATACCTTGTTTAATTATTGCTTTAGCTCTAGGGAGGGTCGGGGTTACAATTCTACCTATTAATAGATTGTAGTGCTATAAGCTATACAAGCATTGTAATTAATGGATTCCTTTTTAAAACAAAGTAACTCCAAGATGTACACTCCTAGGGATGCCTTAGAAAACGTGCCAAATTTCTAGGCTTCGTGGTCATGGAGCTATGGTGCGCACCCAGGACAAATACACTTGTACTGAAAAATATTGACTTCTTGACAGGCAGTTTTTGCTATTCTTGAAACTTTTTGCAATTCTTGAAATTTCAAACATATTACATTATGTTAAGGGCACTGTGTTCACTTGAATTCTGCTCATAACATGCTCCTTATAGTCATCTACTTTAAGAAGCAATCTATTGTCATCCTTCACTGTCTTGTAAGTGCATTCAATAATATCTACTCATCACTTTTAACACCACCCAGCTCCTACAGTCTTCTTTTGTCACTCTGTCCCTCCACCTTTTCCCTGTCACCACACCCAAAATCATTTCTTCGTTCTTGCTCCTGTAAACGCCCGATCCCTGTGTCAGCATACTTCTGTACTGATGTTACCGGGTGTGAGACTATCCTCATCCAGTTGAAATGTGTCATATACTTATGGTTACCAAACCAAAGGCTAACCCTGCGTTTATTGCTACACACAACATTGCTTCTCATGCTTCCAACCTCAGCACACTGATAAAATACTGCATAAATGAAATGCTAACTCCAAATCAATTAGAATCTCACGCAACTAATTACACAGTGCAATTAGGTTTTCACTTGACATTAAGTCTAGTTGTGTCTGACTCTGGGGGGTGGTGCTTGTTTCCATTTCTAAGCCGAAGAACAGGAGTTGTCCGTACACACCTCCAAGGTCATGTGGCCAGCATGCCTGCATGGAGCGCAGTTACTTTCCTGCTGGAGGGGTTTCTATTTATCTACTCACATTTGCATGTTTTTGAACTGCTAGGTTCGCAGAAGTGGGGGCTAACAGTGAGAACTCACCCCACTCCCTGGATTCAAACCGCTGACCTTTTGGTCAGCACATTCAGCAGCTCAGCAGTTTAACCCGCTGCACCACCAGGGGCTCCAGTGCAATTATTTACCTTAAGTTAAGATTTTCATTGGATCTACAACAGCAATTCATCACAGATATGCAAAATTAGAATTGATAGTACAGGTTGTGCATAACTTATATGAAATAGCATGATCTTTGCTTTTTGATGGTTCAATGTAAATGAAGTTTGCTTCATGAACAAAATTATAAATTAAATTAAATTAAAATGTTGTGCATAAAATTATCTTCAGGCCATGTGTACAATGTGTGTATGAAACAAGCAAATTTCATTTTAAGGCTTAGGTCCTATATCTAAGATAGCTCATTATATATATATGCAAAGAATCCAAAACCATAAATACTAAATCCAAAATCCATAATATTTCTTCTACCAAGCATTTAAAATAAGAAATACTCAGGGTGCTTCCAGACAGCAAGAAAATCTGGATTTTAAATTGGGATTAAAAAAATCCCAGGGCTTGACTGCAGGTCCCCTGTTTGTCGTGGGACTGGGTCCCCCGTTGTCCTCACAGGCTTCCTCTGTATCGGAACAATATGGAGGGCAGAAGGGGGACATCAGGTGGAAGGGTTTAAAAAAAAAAACTTCCGCCAGATTTCTTTCTTCCTCCAATAGTTTATTCAATGTCTATTTAATATTATAAAGTTTAAAATAAAGAGTTTCAGAGAGATCTAATTGCTCTCTGTTCGTGCTTCCTTTCAAGCAGTTGTGTGTCTGTTTCGCAGCCTAATCAGCTGACCAGCTCTTTCGGGCTTTTTAAAAGCAGATGTGTGCATGTTTTCTAAGGCAGGTTAGTGTGTGGGCATAGATGACTACTAGACGAATTACATTTACAGGGAAGCAATTTGTCTTTCTTCTTGCCACTTTGGTGGCAAGGGAGGGGGAGGAACAAGAAAGAGCTCAGTGGAGCACACTTTGAGAACTGCTGTCATCTAACACATATAATTCATTCTGAAATTTGAACTGAAAAGTTTCAAATCAAAATATAAACATTTTGTAAAAATAAATCCACAATAATTAGTGTCCTGGTATCAATTAATATGAGAGGCTGACAAACAGTCAGTTTCATTCTAGGATATAATTATTTGCTGACTGAGGGGATGCACCTGACAATCAATTAATTATACTGATCCAGGCACCTTAAGATCCCAATTCAAGCTGTTACTGATGTCTAAAATGTGTATTGCTCACTGATCTTCTGCATGTTAATAACTTAACTATCTGCTAATAGATCTTCTGAATGTTGAGAAGCAAACACACCTTCATTATACATCATGACATACATCAAATTTGAAACTACTGGGAGTGGTGCTTATGAACAGAAGTATACGAAGCTTTATTTTGATATTAGTCAATGCTGACTATGTAAGTCAGGCAATCTGTCCCAACTACTAAATTATTTTAGGTGAGTAATGTATGAAACCCACATATTCTATATACAGTTGTCCCTCCATACTTGTGGTTTGGACTTTTGCAGATCTGATTATTTACAGATCTAATTACAGATGTTCTCTCTTCAAATCTCTGGGTTTTTCAATGTATCTCTTTAGTTAACTCCCTCCAGTCATGCTGGAGAGAATACCTCTCTAGGTCCTCCAATATGATTCTATGGTCAGCTTGCAGTAGAAGTTGATCACAGAGCCATGTTGTAAGACCTTGATATTCCTAGATATATGTTCTGAAATAGCAATGTCTTTATTTGCAGAACATGGAGGACTCACAGTACTGGCAGTACAGTACAGTCCTCAAGTTATAAACACCTGACTTACAAAGAACGCCTAGTTAAGAACATGGGTGAGACAACAGAAAGTAAGAGAAATCTATCCCTGGGAAGTGAAATTCACTCCTGAAAGAGTTATCATGGGAAAAAGGTCTCTGAACTTGAAGCCTTATCATCAATGCTTGTTTCCACAACAAGCCAAATTTTTCAAATTCCAATTATCACAGGGACAGAAAGTGAGGTGAAATCTTCTGAACAGGGGCACAGACAACAATCAAATACCACAGAAGTGTCAACCTTTCCCTATGCTATCCAAAGCTATGCTATCTGGAGTTACACTTAAAATGTATCGGTTCTGATTTACAAACAAATTCAGCTTCAAAACACGCATACAGAACCTATCTTGTTTGTAACTTGGGGACTGCCTGTACTACCAAGTGGTACGTCTGTTGTACAGGTATACTTGAAGGAAGCCATAGTCCTGTACTTCATGCATCTAAAATAAATCTGCTAGATATAAAGGTGGCACAAAACTTATCTGCTCATAGAGACAAACACAGCCTACCCTTTGAAAAATGATGGTGGGAGTCTTAAATATTACAGTATATTCATTCAATAAAAAATGCTGGTGCTGTGTAAAAAACAGAATTGCAATCACTAATAATTATAATAATAATAACAACAACAATCATAATCATAATCTTTATTTATATCCCACCACCATCTCCCCAAAGGGGACTCAGGATGGCTAACATGAGGCCAAGCCCAAAAATACAACACAACAAAATAAAATACAAAGCAATGAAAAATTACATCACAATATGATACATAAAGTAACAAAATAAAATAAACAGTTGCAAAATAATATACTGAAGAAATATAATATAATGGGTGGGTCAAAAGCTCAAGATAAAAATGTTAAAACCCTGGATGACATAGTAGTGGAAAAATGTATTTGTGAGGGAGGAGCTCATAAAGGAGGAACAGCGGGGTTAGGCCTTTGTTAAGGATGGGGGGGGGGATGCATTATCAGGACAACACTATAGATGGAACACTACAATTTGCTATCATTAATATCATGTTCTTTGGGTATGGATCTTGCTAATTTGATTTTCAGATTTATTTAAAGAACACCTGTAAGAAATATTTACAGAGATCACATAAATATACAATATTTCACATGAAATATTACAAATACAACACTACATCCAAAATGTGCCTATTTAAACTATTTAAACACTCTGCTTAAACAAATTAGAAAAATAGTAAAAGCACAGATTCTAAACACTTAGGATACTGCCATTCTTCATTGCTATTGCCAATTAAATATACAAAAATAGATTCTATTGAATCAAAACAATGAGGATTTCTGCAAAACAATTCAGAATTTAGCATGCTGTCAGCAATTCCTCAGTAAATACTTACAGAATACTTAATAATTTCTTCATTTTCATAGGGCATGCAGTACAGGTTCTTTTTTTACAGGCAACTAAGAAATCTTGGCTAACAACTATACTGCACATTTGTGAATACAAAGATCAATACAGACACACTGAGATACGCATCAAAGTCTAACAGCCTTTAAAAACAAGAAGTAAAACATTCTCATATTTATTAGCAAAAGTGAAAGAATATGATGATTTTTTTAAAGGCAGAAGAGATTAATAATAATTTCAGAATGAAATATTGTAAAGATGCCAAGATTCCATGTTCACTCTATACGCCCTATGAGAAATGTGTGGGTGTTTAGATGTAAAGATTAAAATGGAATAAAATATTGAAGCTATCTTAATAATAAATCAGTGGAAGGCAGCCTATAATACAACAGTAGTATTGTTCCTCACAGTGAAAATGAAGAAGATGCTATTTTGCGGTTTTAGAACACTATCATTCACAAAGTGCTTGTAGTCCAATAATCTACTTCTTACATCAGTTAAGAAGAGCAGTAATAGAGACAGTAATTGAAATAACTCTGCTCCTTCTCTCTTCTGTTCTATTTGTCTTGTATAAACAGTCATTTATAACTTCATGTGGCACTAGATTAATCTATAACCCAGATCTCAACAATCCTGCTATCTACATACAGGAATAGGGGGAGAAATAATAAATTCCAAGAAGATGCTAGGAACCAATTAACCCATCTTTGTTGAGGATTCCTTTTAACTTGGAAGAGCCGGGCATAAGGCAATAGAATGAGGGCTACTTGAACCTGAGGCTCTCTCTCTCTTCTTTGATATTGGGAACAAAAACACATGATCAGAATGTAAGATATTGAACTCAAGAAAGCATTTCAGCGATCTGAACTTGGATTTGAAGTCCAATATACTAAGCAGAGTATATGAACCAAAGCAGTCCAGCTTTCTTTAAAAATTATTACAGAAACTCATAATATATCTTATACATTTCTGCAGGGAGAAATCATCATTACTCTACATGGGGCTGCCTTTGAAAATGGCTCGGAAAATGCAACTGGTGCAAAGACCGACAGCCAGGCTACTAACTGGAGCTAGCTATAGGGAGTACATGATGCCCCTATTAAAGCAGCTCCATTGGCTGCAAATAAGTTTCTGGTCCTAATTCAAAGTGCAGGCTATCACCTATAAAGCCCTAAATGACTCGGGTCCTGCCTATTTTCATGACCGCATCTCCCCCTATGAATTGGTGTGGGCTCTAAGATCTGCTGGGTAAGTTCTCTTCTCAGTCCTGCTACCGTCACAAGAGCAGTTGGTGGGGTCGAGGGAGAGGCCTTCTTGGTGGTGGCCCTCCCTTGGGTTTGGAACACCCTCTCCAGGGAGATTACACAGGCCCCACACTGTCCTCCTTTCATAGGGATTTGAAGACGTGGCTTTTTAAACAAGCTTTTGAGAATCCTTAATCTAGTTATTATGCGCAGTAGTCATACATCCTTGCACTTTGTCCTATGACCTCTCGCCATTGTTGCAGCTTGCACTTATTCCATTCCTATTGTTTATAGCTTGGCCATGTTTACAGCAGCTTACCACCATTGGTTGATGACCTCAGTTTTACTGAATCTGAGTTGATGTATGTATATGTATACGCGTATGTGTTGTATTTTATTGTAAGCCGCCCCGAGTCCCTTCAGGGAGATGGTGGCGGGATATAAGAATAAAGTTATCATCATCATCATCATCATCATCATCATCATCATCATCTTACCAACATCCAATACCTTGTCATCAATTAGTTTCATACACTTTTACGATGTTATATTTCACCGTTTTCAGTTGTTTTAATTAGATTGTTTATATTACATGTTATTATGTTTTTAACTATGTTATGTTTTAACTGTGTTTTAGATGGTAAATTTTGCTGTATGTTGGGCTTGGTCCCCATGTAAGCCAACCGAATCCCTTTAGGGCTATGGTGGCAGGGTATAAAAATAAAGATATCATTATTATTATCAATGTATCTGCGGTATGAAAGCATATTTCAGCCTCTTCCTTTGCTAAATGGCATTGAGTCTATTCATGTAAGACAAAAAAATAGTCTCAACTGAGGTGATAATTCTAGTAATTTTTCTTTGTAGTCCAGTACATCAAGACAGCATAAAGGAAAACATAAAATGACATAATGATGTAGAACATCAGGGAGTGATTGAAATGAATATTACAAAAAAGGAAATAAATATTAAAATGGCTAAATACATAATGACAATATTTACTGCAAGTCTGAATTACTGATGCAATTAGCATGACATAGACATAGACCAAGTTCGACAATTCATCTCTATAATCTTAAAATTTAAAACAGTGTCACAACGATCCTGAATGAAGAGAGATTTCATTTAAGAAGGAGAAATGCATCTCTAAAGGGACATGCCTAAAATGACATAGAATCACTTTCCCTGTTGCTAGATCAAAGCAGTGTTTTATATTCATCTTGTTATTTCCTGGCTGGGATATTAATACACCCTTCTAGTATGACCCTTCAGTAATTCTTGTAAAGGCAGACACATCCAAGAAATCCCAAAGATACATCTTGGGCTCTAATCACTTCCAGGATTCAAACTATGCAATGTAAAAATGTATGGGGTTGCTGCTGACCTTCCAGAATTTCAGATTACAAGTGGTGGAGAATACTATGGAAATCTTGAAATATTGTCTGCCTAATAACCAAAAAATGGACACACTATAAGCAGTTGTAAAAAAAAAAATCCAACAATAACTTTCTAGATAACCCTTTCCATAAAATAACTATCAGAAAGAAAAGCAAACACATTCAATCATATATAAAGGCACGAGAACAGTAGTGCAATAAATACATACTTTTTGAGACATAAGATTAATGTATGAACATGTCTAACGAACTGTCAGCAAGTGGTTTAACAAGAAAACACATTTCATAATCAGGGTGGAGCAGAAGAAAGTAAAACTTATAAAGGATGTTCCAATCTAGATCTTCTCACAGTACATCGGTAAAGTCTCTAGGTTCAGAGCATCAGGTAAATATGATTCAAAAACTGTATGTCTCTTTCTTTTATGAATGTACTATTTCATGATGCAAATTCTATACCTTCTTACATAGGAATAAACTCATTATATTCAATGAGATTTGACACCTGAAAATACATGCCTAGGATTGCACTGTAAGAATCAATGTATATGTTGCATAGCCATATATAGAAAATATTTTTGTAGCAGGTTAACACAACATTTTGGAGTAAAGAAGATACGATATCAAATAAATCACTTTATCATAACTTCTGTCCATTTATTTACAATTTACAGCTTTTTAATATTAAAAAATGGAAAACTTTGCTACTGATAAACTTCTCCAGATCTTCACTCAATATGCTATGAAAGAAGGTAGTTCGACATTGCTATCAACTGTAGGACTTGAAAATCTGATTAAGGATAACTTCACAAACTTTTTGGTAAGTCTTTCCAAAATCGTGTTGTCAGATAAATACAGTACACATCACTGTTGTCTTTCTCATTCTGCAACCCTTTTCAGGAGCTCTTAAGAATTTAAAACCTGGTTGGGTTGCAAAAGGGAAAGATGGAAGTAGAGATAAATGTGTGAGCAATCCAGAAAGACTGAAAGCTCACGGTTTATTTTAATATATGAATAGGAGGTACAAGGGTTCACTGAAACAAATAGATTTTTGATTTAGCATATGGATTTCCTAACATTTACAGAAACAGCAGCTTTCTATGATGAAAAAAGCACTAAATAAAGCAAAAAAAAAAAACCCCTCTGAGGATGCCTGCCATAGATGCAGGCAAAATGTCAGGAGGGAATGCTTCTGGAACATGGCCTTACAGCCCGAAAAATTTACAACAACCCAGTGATTCCGGCCATGAAAGCCTTTGACAATGCAAAATAATGTAACTGAAAGGAAAGCATGTTGAATGACTAGTAAAAAAAACCTAACAAAAAATCTAGTGAAGCTGATGCCTGAATATTTGCATTTACATTATTTCAAGGCAAGACAAGAGCATGGTAGAAGGCTTTCATGGCTGGAATCACTGGGTTGTTGTAGGTTTTTTTCGGGCTAAATGGTCATGTTCTAGAGGCGCTCTCCTAGAGGAGAGAATGCCTCTAGAACATGGCCATACAGCCCGAAAAAACCTACAACAACCCAGACAAGAGCATGTTCACAGAAGTTTAAAATATGTAAATGTATTGCTCTATAGTGTCAGGAACCTATTTCATTTAGCCATATGTTCAAAAAGGAAACGGTCATTTTCCCCAGTTTCTTCACAGACACTCATTTGATAGTCTCTATATCTGTTTAGCTACAATGTTTTGGTGCTGTAGTCATACATATCTAGAGTAATATAAAACTATGAACATAAAACAGTATGGATGGGGGGAAACCGGAAATAACAACAAACTATTTTGACAAGAAAACATGTTTCTAATTGGATTTAAGAGATCCTAATATAATTTCAGCTACAAAAGAAACTCTGTGGGGAGGAATATAGGGATACAGAACATTCTGTCTTCAGTGGTAGCTCCTTGTTTACTGAATTGCTTATCAAGCATTGTTAGACTATATCATTTTTAGGTGGCCAGTTTATTCCAACTGGCTTTTAATGTATTTGAAGTATCTCCTTCTTCTGATGATATAGCTTAAAACTGCAAACTGAAATGTGGTTTATCAATGCTTTTTTATAAATACTGTCTTGAAATGTGATTTAGCGATGTCTTTATGGATATTAATACTAAGACAAATTTTGAACTTTAAAGCTCAAATGACTAAGAACTATAGTATTGTTCCAGGAACCACTTAGCCTAAAGAACACATTGGACGTTCCTACAAAAGAAATCCCTGAAATATTTCTACAAAGATATATGTTGGGTACAGAGATGAAAGGCTTGTTATATGTGGGCTATATTTCAAAGGAAGGAACTGGCAAAACCTCTTCTGAGTCTTTCTTGCCTATGAAAGCCCTGTGAAACTAATTGAATCTTCATAACCTGAAAGCACACACCTCCACCCACACCAAAGGATGAAGAAGTCACGGTTGCTTTTCTAAAAAAAATCCTTGTCTCTTTTCATTAAGGCCATTCCATTAGGTAAAAACAAAATACAGTCTGATTTCCATTCTTTTAAAAACCATGCACAATCGGCAGTCTTAAAAAGAAGCCAAAAGAATACTGTCTTTACTTCCTAATTCGAAACTATTTCAAAACTAGGCTCAGTATGAAGAGCCCACGATAAACACTTGTAAATCTTTAAATTATACAATTGATGGAATCTTTAAACCATACAAAGATGAAGATGCTTACCCCAAAATATCTTATACAGAGACACAACTACAGGTTCATAACAAAGTTTATTCATGTTCCAATGACATCATTTGATTGAAATATGTTCTGAAATTTTTGAAAAAAACTATTGACTTCCCAGGGAAAGCAGAATGGTCCCCTCCCTGTTACCGTATCCTTCTAGAGGCAGGGTTTTAGCTAAGAATAGATTTTTACTTGGTTTTAAGGGTTTTAACTGAATTTTTTTATACTGTGCATGTTTAATTCATTTTAATGTTTGTATATTTTTAAGTTCGTACTGTATTGTATTGGTTTTACTGGGAACCACTTTGAGCCTCTTTTATACATAGAAAAAGCAGGATAGTAATAATAGTAGTAGTACCGTATATACTCGAATATAAGCTGAGTTTTTCAGCCTTTTTTTCAGGCTGAAAAACCTCCCCTCGGCTTATATTCGGGTCAGGGAACGACAGAGGAGGAGAGAAAGGCAAGCCTTCTTCGGCAGCCTCGGCGGCGGCAGAGAATAAGAAAGCCCCTGCGGCAGGCTTTTCCGCAGGCTTGCTCTCCTTCTTCCTGGTCCCATACGCGGTGGCGGGGGCAGCGGCGGGAGAAAGCAGAAAAGCCACGCATGAGGTGAGGGGGGAGGGGAAAGTGCTCACCACTCCCCTTCCTCTCTTGCCACGCACGCATCTTCTTCCTTGGCGGGAGGACGCAGGAAAGCCGTGCATGAGGCGAGGGGGGAGGGGCAAGTGCACGCCACTCCCCTTCCTCTCTTGCCGCATGCGCACCTTTTTCGGCGGCGGAGGCAGGAAAGACACGTTAGGGAGAAGAGAAAGGTGCGCGCCTTTCTTTCCTCCCATGCCCTGTGCGCGCCTTTACCGCCGCTGCCAAGGAAGACGCAGCGGCAGTAAAGGCACGCACAGGGCATGGGAGGAGAGAAAGGTGCGCACTTTTCCTTTCTCCCTCGCCTCCGCCACCGAAAAAGGTGTGCGCGAGGCAAGAGAGGAAGGGGAGTGGCGTGAACTTGCCCCTCCCCCCTCGCCCCATGCACGGCTTTCCTGCATCCTCCCACCGCTGCCCCCTCCACCGTGGCAGCGCATGGGACCAGGAAGGAAAGCAAGCCTGCGGAAAAGCCTGCCGCAGGGGCTTCTTTCTCCTCTGCCGCCGCTGAGAAAAGCGAGGGGGGGAGGGAATGACAGAAAGACTGGGTGGTCATCTGTCAAACTGACCAGTAGCGGCTGCTTTGTTCACCCTCGGCTTCTACTCGAGTCAATAAGATTTCCCAGTTTTTTGTGGCAAAATTAGGTGCCTCGGCTTATATTCGGGTCGGCTTATATTCGGGTATATATGGTAATAATAATAATAATAATAATAATAATAATAATAATAAAATTTGTTTTGTCTTTCCTTATTCCCTTCTCCTGACCAAAACCCCAATACAGGGTTCAATGTCTTTCAATGACATTAAGAAACATGCAGACATAGATAAAAATGGAAACATCAACTTCAATGATTTTAAGGCACTGATAACCAAGCTTTGTAGTATGGGTGGATTATCTGCTTTGACTGGACTTGCTGGATTTGGATCCTAAACCATCTTACAAAAGGAAGGAAGATAAAGACGACATGTGAGATCCCCAAACCACCCTCTTATGGACTCTGAAAATGGTTGCATTTTTACAAAGAATCTCTTTAATATGAAACTAAATCATTGTTGAAAAGATGGGTGTCACCAAATAAATATCTATTTTCAATTAAAATAAATTAATATATGTTGACTGGTAAAATGAATCACTGTTCTTTTAAGTAATTTAAAGGTGGATCAAAATATTCACATATTTATGTACATTCATCTTCTTGGAAAAATGTACAAAGGAGATGTTTAAGCAGGTAATGGGCAGCTGAGGTTTAGTGTGGCATAGTAGCTACAGCTCTGATGTGTAAGCCAGGGGATGTCCCCAGTACAAACCCCATTTTAGTCAGATGAAATCTTTCGCTTGAAATGCATATGTTCTTCATGTCTGTATGGACGTCTAAGCCCTCTAGCTGACATGCAGGCATGAAAAAGGACAGCAGCATTCAACATGATCCCATAAATAGTAGTAATTATAACAATTCTCTGCATTAGTCAGACCTGGTATGAATACTAGGTTTCTGCTCAAACATGTTCAACAAAGCAGTATCTTCTAATTGTGTATAGTCTCTTAAGCCTGTGTCTTTTGCTCTAGAGTTACCACATAAACATTACAACTACCACATTAATACATTCAAATCATATGATGTTCTTACAGAGCAAGGACCTCTGCCTTTCCCAAAAAGTTTATGGTTGGTTCAACTATTTAATATCAGACCAGGCATACAAGAGATTAAATTGCCACTTGGAACAGATCCATTGACGATCGTGGAACTTAAATTAGACATTAATTACTGGCTTGTTACATTAATTTCAAGGCTCTACTCTAAGTCTGGATCCAACCCCATATCTATCTATCTAGCTATCAGGAAATCAGTACTTACAACAGGATTCTTCGTATTTGAATCAAATTCAGTAGAATTTGCATCTGTAAAACATTTAAAATTGTAAATCAGTTGCATAGTTTATTCTGCATGCATTAGTTGTTTTGAGGTAAAGTAATAATTTATTATTTCATTACGGCATATACTCATGTAGAGTGGCAAAAGGCTTTTTTGAATACCTGAGCGGAAAAAATGATGGCAACAGTAGCTGACCCTCTTAGATGGCACTGGCACTTTTCCATTTCTGAAGAATGACCCTCCACTTATCCACTGGTCATACTTAAATCCATAATTTTGGCTTCAAAACCTGCTCTTCAATCATACATGAGGTTGATTTATGCAAAAGTATATATGGTAAAAATGTGAATTCCTTTGAGAATCAGAATATTCTGACTACACATATCTAAAAATAAACTCCTGTGGACACGAATATGGCTGACCTACATGACAATTAAGCCAGTTTTGCTAAATATAATGGCTTTGATCTTTCTGGAAAAGGTCTTTGGCAGTGAAATGTTTGTGGAGGGATTCATATCACATTAAAATAATTTGCAGCTATTACAGTCAATAAATGGCATCAAGGCTTTGCTAGTTTCTAAGAAATCTATGCCTGCTTCATCAGAACATGAGTTAAAATCATGTTAATAGTTTCAGTGGCAGACATAGATGATGAAGGACAGCATTTACAGTAACGACACTAGATTCCTCAGCTGCTAGTGCCTAAACACGTTTCATTTCATCTGCTCAGATTTCAACTTTGGTTTTAAATTATCCATTTTCACAGACGCAAACATACCTTGCCAGTTTAAACAATTCCTTGCAAACTCCACTACTGCCAGCTGCATTCCCAAACAAACTCCTAGAAGAAATTGAAAAGTATTTGAATACAACAGATCCAATTTCATATATTCTTTTTATTAAAATTTTTCAATGTGTACTACAAAGAAAGGAGAAAAGGGAAAACAGGAACAAGAAAAAAGGGGGGAAAGGGGGGGTGGAGTTATGGTTAGTAGATTAAACCATGACAAATATTAAATATGTCGCAAAAGAAGAGGGAAGGGGTTGAAGAAAAGGAAGAAAGACAATTATTACTGTACAAAGTTAATATCCTTATCACATTGGAAAACCTCCCAGTTTTTTTTTCTTTTTTAATACATCTATTTCCTTATATCAATTACAAGGATTATATAAAATACCAAAAAATTCCATGTATCTTCTATAGTAAAGGAAGGAATGATGTTGTCTCCAAACATTAAGTCCAATAGCTGTATTTTCTTCCAGTATTATCTCATGATCTACTCTCTTCTTTCAGTTCCTCTTCATGAAAGGTTTAGTTGCATTATTATTATTATTATTATTATTATTATTATTATTATTATTAAGCACAGCTTTATATTTTAAGTAGAATTCAATAACTATCTATTAAATTGATCTCTAATAATTTTATTATATATATATTATTTATTTTAAATCCTTTATATAAGAATTTCATATATTCTACATCATGATCCCAAGCACATTTACCTGTTTGTAGATCTAGTGACAAAAAAGTGAGATAAAAATTTAAAATAAAATATGGTACTGTTTCATTTGTGAGGTCACGAAGTCTGAAAAGATTGAACGAATAAAAATCAAACTGTTTTATTATCCAGCCACAAAACAAAGAATAGTCCATTTTCTGAGGGGGGGGGGGGCAGGTTGAAGGAATTACACCATTTCCCATTTTTTACAAGTCTCTACGTCGGTAATTGAGGAATAAGTTACTTGCCAATCAACTCAGGAATCGTGGGCAAAACCCACACTTTAGAAGTGGCAAAATACCTCTGCCTCACATTTGAAGCTTGTATCATGTGAAGGGCACCATCGGTGGCAGTTTCTTAAGAAAAACCACCAGTTTCTTAAGAAAAACTGTGTAGAAATGCTTATTTAATTGTGTGTGATGAACTCATAAGACAAACAATACCCTCATAGAAAAACCATATCAGCTTGACTTTCTGATGCAAACCAAGACTACAATTTCATGTATTCCTTCCTTGTGCCCAATGCCTAGATTTTCATTTCATTGCTCTCTTGCTTGATTTTGTAATATTAACACATTACGTCCTTTATTCTCTCCTTGCCGCCACACATTATGCATGTGACATTCACCCCTATCATCATTTCTACCAATACCGGACTCTGTTTTTCCTTTTATCTGTTCCACTGGTACATTTCCACTTATCTGATACATTGCAAGATAAGAAACAATCTGAAAATGTATTATTATGTTGTTTGGCATGAATAAAATACTGGTTAACACTGAAAAACAATACAAAAAATCCTGAAGGCCCCAATTTGAAATTTGGGGTATATGCCTTTTTTGATCATTTAAAAGCAGATACAAGTTTTAATAATCACTTCATGAGGACATTGCTATTGCGGTCTGAAATAGATCTGATACACTATGCCATTTTCTATTGCCATTGGTTTCAGGGACAAAGCAGATGTAGCATTACTGTTGTGATCAATCCTTGCGTACTTGTTTGTTCTTAACACAAGCAAAGAAGTGGTCCGAACTGGAAACACATCAGAGGGGGGAATTTTAAGTCCTTGTGTCTTCTCAGTCCCATGCCATCATCCAAAAATAAGGCCTTCCCCCCACAACTGTTATTAAGTTCAGCAAAAACAAGCATGGTAGTTCCCATAGGTAGCGTCATATTTAATTTGGTGATGTCTTCTCATTTCCCCCAAATGTCAACACATTTCTCTCACTTGACATTTGGTATGTTACTTCTTCACCCACTCCCATGTAATATCTTGGTCTCTTCTCACCACTCTGACTATACACCTATTAGCTCTACAGTAATCCACTTCTTTGTAACATTTTGGTACCCTATTGTGCATTTTAGATTAGAAATCCCATGCCACTTTCGGCAACAGTTTTTCTACATCTTCCCCTTTCCAGGCAGATGGCCATCCTGCCTCTGAATAATAAAATAATGAAATAATAAAGAAAACATGTTCCAAGTGTTATTTCTTGTTTAATTGTGTAGTCTTTACTTTGAAAGTAGTAGTTCTACACCGGGAACTTTGTTTTTGCACCAAAAGCTTTGTTAAATAGGTGGATGACAATGTTACATTGGTGGACTGGATAGCAAAATGTGCTGTAACATGATGTCCCTAGTGCAAAGATAAAGTTGTTTGCAGTTTAATAAACTTTCACCATGTTTTTATGCTAGAACCAATTAGGAAATGACATTTATAACCTAGGAACAAAAATCATAATTTACTGAAACTCTGGCTGGCTACTGAAGGGTAAATCTCTCTGATGCTGAGCACTGCACTGCATTCTGGTAAATGTAATTTAGGGTAGGTCCTTTTGAATTCTCTAGCACAGGGCTCCTCCCTTCCAAACTATATTTTCCAGAGTACTGTGCTGTCCCCAGAAAATACTCCTCCCTCTTTTCCCCGCTCCTAATACTGAGACACCATTAATTTACAGAAGCATTAAGGCAGCTTTTGGCTTTGTTTCCTTGCACTGAATATGAAACTGAGTTTGGACGCCTCCCAAGATTAACAAAACTAAAACAAAAAAGTATGGGGTATGTTTTGATTCTTAAATTTTTGGCATGGGACACACCCATGTATCAGATATCACCTCATAAGTACGAAATTAACAAATTGTATCCGAATCACGAAGACTAACGAAAAAATGCACACCTCTAATAAAGACCATCACCTCCAGAAGTTATGAAAAAAGTGAATCTTTATATTACATTTATTTAAAATTGCTGTCACGGGCAACGCCTGGTTCCTGCTCACAGCATCCTACCCAAGATGTTTCACATGGTTGTTTTTATGTGGTGTCAAAGTGCACTAATACATAAGTACATTTGAACAGTGCAGTAGGTTGTAGCACTTTTGAACAGAACTGTGTTTTGTAATGCACAAGTTAATATGTGGACATTTAACCCAATCTTAAGATATACTACAGGTTTCTGAAAATAAATAGAAGATTAGCTTTCAGATTAATCCTGGGGAAAATATTCAGCAACTTTACTAAATTGCATATTTTACTATTTCATCAACTGCATTATTCTGTAATATGTCACTATCTGTATTACGCAGGGAAATGGAAATGTGCTAATTTTAACATTTAAGTTTGTACTTTTCAAGATTGTATTATTTTCAATATTGTAGTCAATATTCTAGCAGTATGATGATTTTAAGAAGGCATCCTTAAAAACAAAAGATTGGAGCTTCTGGCAAAAAGAAATGATAACTTAAGAGATATCTGCATAACAAGCAACAAAAATGTATAAATGTGGCCAACTGCTTGTCTCTTAGAAATAAAATTTCTGCACGCAACCAAAGTCACTGTTCCTAAGGGGTTTATTAAAAAAACTGATTTGCCTTAGGGCATAGTACAGATTCCATTCCAGAAGTTTTTTTGGAACCACACTACTGTTTAACAGCAAAGTATTTTTCTCAAATGCATCGCCTGGACCTAAGACTCAGGGGCATTAAAATCCAAGGAGACAATTTGGCCAGCTATCACGAATCTTCAGAAACTGCAGGCTCATGTGCAGGTTATGGGTTTCTAAGACTTAGGTATAAAAACTTTATGTAATGTAAACCAAACCTTAATACTTAAGAATTGCTTCAATATATATTCTTAGAAGTTCTAAAACAATAGCAATTATTGGCCAAAAAAAAAAAAAACCCAACCATATGAGATTTATTTATTTAGTACTCACTAAGCAGAGGCACTATGTATTTTGATTAAAAACAAATTATTACTAGCAAATGGAGAACTACCATCTGTCCAGTACATAAAACTAATAGGCATATTTTAAGAAAGAAACCATTTAAGCTCTAGAGCTCCAAAATGTTTACCCCCTTTACTCTGGCACTTTTAACCACAGTGGGCATGTCTTTCATTAAACATTCCAAGTCATTTCCTCAGCTATGGTGGATAAAAATATTTAATTTGGATTTTAAAAGAAAGCTGAGATTTTACATTAGTTTAATACAGTCCCATAGGTTTTGTTTTGTCAACTTGTTGGAAATCAAATAGTTCCAAATTAGCCCTTCCAAAGTGATTTCAATGGGACTTGAAATGATGCATTTCCTTGTAGCAGCTACATGAACCTTTCAAAGAACAATAAGAAGTGTTTTACTTTTCAACTGAATTAGGTCAGATAGTATGATGCTAATGTTTAAATGGCCTGAAATTACATGAAGATTGATGCAGCCATGGTAACAGTATAGGTTTGGATTGGGCAATTTGTAGATTTGGCATGTTTCTGAAAGAGAAAAAAATGCTGGATATCACTAAAGGCTTCTCTTAGTCTCACTTTTTATTAGCACAATTTTCAGTCAGTGGCCTTTGGGGAGTCTATCAGAAGAACATAAATGTGACTGAGTTCTTTACATGTTTTGGAGTGTCAGGAGCAAAGAAACTGTGTTTGAATCTTCAGAGAAAAAAGACCTTGGTTCAGAAGTCTTTTGTTCACAGACTCCATAAAGGAATTTTGCAGATGTATGAACCCACAATGGTAAGGCCAGTGTGTCTTTGAAGACGAAATATAGGACACAAGTTCAGAAGACAGCTTTTGAAAAATAGGTTGCCCACTCGCGGATGGCCCAGGGAAGAGCCTTTGAAGATAAGGCACCTGCAGCCTGAACCCTTGAAGACTTCCAATTAATATTATAAAACAAAGAAATGAAACCCATTTCTGAAGCTGTCAGGTTGGCTGTGAAAAAAATTCAGAGAATAAACCAAAAGCATAATAATGATTCTAAAATGTAATGGTTATCTTTTATTTATTAGATTTCTTTAATAATAAAAGGGTAGATTTACTTATCTAAATTAGGGGATAACTAAGGTTAGTATAATATTTTTTTAACTCTTTACAATACATTTCTTCATTTACTCTAATGTTATTTGTTTTGTGCTTGTGTCTAAAATAAGAAGAAATATTTCTCTTATGCTTTTGTAGTGAAACAACAGCAATATTGTGCTTTTTTAACCATTTTTTTTACATGGAACGGAAATGGTTGATTATTCACTGCAATCAACCAGTCTCAATTACAGACAGTCCCTGAGTTAAAAACAATGGCTTACAAATGACTCATAGTTAAGAACGGGGGAGAGACCAGGGAAATTCACTCCTGGAAGAGTTATCATGGGTAAAAGCTATCTCCACTGAAGCTTTCCCATCAATCTTTGTTTCCACAACAAGCCAATTTTTTCAAAATCCAATTATCATAGGGTCTGAAAGTGAGATGAAATCTTCTGAACAGGGGCACAGACAGCAAAACAAACACCACAGGAATGTTCAGCCTTCCCTATGCTATCCAAAGTGTGTGTGTGTGTGTGTGTGCATGTGTGTTTGTGTGCACACACGGCTGGAGTTACACTTAAAATGCACTTGTTCCTACTTACAAATAAATTCAACTTATGAACAAACCAACAGAACCTATCTTGCTTGTAACTTGGGGACTGCCTGTGTTTTGATGTAGCTGGTATGGGTACTGATAATGCAGTCCACAGAGCTGATGGTCAACTTTCAAAGTAAGTAACATAAGTAACATCACATGCTTCTCTGGACAGTGGCAAGGACAAAAATGCATGACTTCTTGAGATTCTGAAAGATTTAAGATATGCATCTGGGAAAAATAGAAAAATTATCTAACAATAAATGCAGACAAACCTATTTTTAACCAACATAAAGGTTTAATGAAATCATCAGGGAATGTGAGATAGCCATATATAGTCAGCCAATGAAATTGTAAGAGAAAAATTCATGAGAAGTTGCGGCTCTACGTTGGGGTATTTCGGAAGAGGGAACTCACTTCTCACACACCTCCCCCCATTTCTTTTCTTTCTCTTATCAATTTTCATTGGACTGGGATTTGCATATTGTCTTAAAATGAGAGCTGCACTTCACAAATATGTGAGGAAACTAGTTTGTCCTATCCACACCTATGAGGAAATAATCATTCCTAAACTCAGTGCAACTTACTTGTGATAAAGCACAGAAAAAGTCTGTAAGTTGAAAATAGTGACAAATAAAACAGGCTGTGCAAGGATGGGGAGATAATATTCTTACCATGTTTCTGTGCCAAATAGTTAGGATTCTTGCAAAAAATGTGTAACATAATTTCAATGACAAAAAATGCACATTCAGAGTAATTTAATACAGATTAATCATGTCCAAACTGTCAAAAGACTAAGTGTGCACATATATATATCTTACTAGCTGTGCCCTGCCACGCGTTGCTGTGGCCTATAGTAAAACTTATCAAAGTTGAGGTAAATATCTGGACTATTATGAAAGAGAGGTACCTACCTATTCCTTCCCCCTTTTCCTCCCCCTTTCTCTCCTTTCTTCCTTCTCTACCTCTTTCTTTCTTTCACTTCTTTCACTACTTGGTTTCATCCTTCTCTTTCCTTCATTCCCTCCCCCTTTCTTCCTTTGCCTTTCTTCCCTCCCTGTTTGCTTCCTTCTTTCACTTTTTATTTCCTTTTATTTCACCACCATCATAACAATAACAATAATGCAATGCATTGCCTCTGGGACCTGACACCTCTCCCATTCCCCCAGGGTCTAATAGGAATAATAGCATAATAATAATAGAAATAACAACCTTTACCCACCACGTGTTGCTGTGGCCAACCTTCCCTCTTTCTCTCCTTCTTTCCCTCCTTCCTTCCTTCCTTCTTTCCTTCTCCTCCTTCTTCTCTCTTCCTTCCTCCCCTTTTCTTTCTCCTTCTCTCCTCTCTCTTCCTTCTTCCTTCCCTCCCTCCTTCTTAATCTCCCTTCTTCCTCCCTCTTTCCTTCCTTCTCCTTTTTTTCTTCCTTCTCTCCTTCCTTCCTTCCCTTTTCTTTCCTTTCTCTCTTCCTTCCTTCTCTACATCTTTCCTTCCTTCCCCTTTTTTTTCTTTCTCTTCTCTTTCCTTCCTTCCTCTTTCCTTTCTTCTTCCTTTTTCTCTACTTCCTTCCTTCCCCTTTTCTTTATCTCCTTTCTTTCTTCCTTCTTCCTTCCTTCCTGTCTTTCCTGGATTTTGACAGGGCGGGAAGGGGCGGGGTGGGGTTTGGAGGTGGCGTGAAGTAAAAGGAGGTAAGATTGGGGCAGGGGAGTGATGGAGCGTGGGGTTGTGTGTGTGTGTGTGGCGGCGGGGGGAGTGATGGAGCGTGGGGTTGCGTGTGTGTGTGCGGCGGCGGGGGGAGTGATGGAGCGTGGGGGTGTGTGTGTGTGTGCGGCGGCGGGGGGAGTGGTGGAGGTGGGGTTGCGTGTGTGGGTGCGGCGGGGGGGAGTGATGGGTGGGGTGTGTGTGTGTGTGCGGCGGGAGGAGTGATGGAGCGTGGGGTTGTGTGTGTGTGTGCGCGGCGGGGGGATGGAGAGTGGGGTTGCGTGTGTGTGTGCGGCGGCGGGGGAATGATGGAGCGTGGGGTTGCGTGTGTGTGTGGCGGCGGGGGGAGTGATGGAGCATGGGGTTGCGTGTGTGTGTGCGGCGGCGGGGGGAGTGGGGTTGCGTGTGTGTGTGCGGCGGCGGGGGAGTGATGGAGCGTGGGGTTGCGTGTGTGTGTGGCGGTGGGGGGAGTGATGGGGTGTGTGTGTGTGCGGCGGGGGGAGCGTGGGGTTGCGTGTGTGTGTGCGGCGGCGGGGGGAGTGATGGAGCGTGGGGTTGCGTGTGTGTGTGCGGCGGCGGGGGGAGTGGGGGTGCGTGTGTGTGTGCGGCGGCGGGGGGAGTGATGGAGCGTGGGGTTGTGTGTGGGCGTGTGTGGCTAAGTTTCATTGGGGGTTTTTGAGTTTTGTTGTTTTGCCGTTTTGTGAGTGTGTTGTGTTGTTTTTCATTTTGAGTAGATATGTTTGTACCTTGTGGGTTGTGTTATCGGCATGGGAATTTTGGTTAAGTTTCGTTGGGGGGTTGAGTTTTGTTGTTTTGCCGTTTTGTGAGTGTGTTGTTGTGTTGTTTTTCATTTTGAGTAGATATGTTTGTACCTTGTGGGTTGTGTTATGGGCATGGGAATTTTGGTTAAGTTTCGTTTGGGGTTTTTTGAGTTTTGTTGTTTTGCCGTTTTGTGAGAGTGTTGTTGTGTTGTTTTTCATTTTGAGTAGATATGTTTGTACCTTGTGGGTTGTGTTATGGGCATGGGAATTTTGGTTAAGTTTCGTTGGGGGTTTTTGAGTTTTGTTGTTTTGCCGTTTTGTGATTGTGTTGTTGTGTTGTTTTTCATTTTGAGTAGATATGTTTGTACCTTGTGGGTTGAACCAACCTAACAGATTTATATATATAGATACATATAAAAATACTCTGTGCATAATGAGTACCTTAAAAACAAAAGAACCAATGAACGAAATAACACCAAATTTGGCAACAAAATATCTCACAACACAAGGAGTGACCATCACTCAAAAAATTATGATTTTGTCATTTGAGAGTTGTAGTTGCTGGGATTTATAGTTCACCTATAATCAAAGAGTATTCTGAACTCCACCAACGATGGAGTTGAACCAAACTTGGCACACATGACTCCCCTGACCAACAGAAAACACTAGAAGGGTTTGGTGGCATTGACCTTGAGTTTTGGAGCTGTAGTTCACCTACATCTAGAGAGCACTTTGGACTCAAACAATGATGGGTCTGGACCAAACTTGGCACAAATACTCAATATTATTATTATTATATTATTATAACTTTATTTGTACCCCGCTAGCATCTCCCGAAAGACTCGATGCGGCTTACATCGGTCAAGGCCTCAGAACACAATACAACAATACAATACCTAACAATACAATACAACAATACAATATGCCCAAATATAAACATAGATGGAGTTTGGGGGAAATAGACCTTGACATTTGGGAGTTGTAGTTACTGGGATTTATAGTTCACCTACAATCAAGGAGCATTCTGAATCCCACCAATGACAGAATTGGGGCAAACATCCCACACAGAACCCTCATGACCAACAGTGTTTTCTGGTGGTCTTTGGTGGCCCTTCTGACACCCCCCTGGTAACCCCCCCCCCGACTTCCCAGGTTGAGAAATGCCGTAAGGCCATCCTTGACAAGAAAACATAATCCTGACAAAGGTCCATCGAGCCATTCACACACACACACACATATGTATATGACAGATGCAGTATCAAAGATTTGAAAGAACAATCATACGTTGCATGTTCCAGAGTAGGCAAACCAGACAATCTCCACATCAACACTGGCAAAGAAACAGAAAGAAATAGTTTACCAACAAGCATCAAGACATTACATATATTAGAAACCAACACTTTCTCATTAGATCACCGGACTGGGCCACAGCAACCCATGTCAGGGGACCACTAGTACTTTGTAAATTTAAAACTCATTGCCAAAGCACAAAGTTTCTTTCTATATTTGTTTGATTTCAATTAGATTAAGCATAACTGGAAAAAAACAGCTCACTTCTAATATAAATATCTCACCAAGAAAAGGCTTTTTCTTCTTCCTTGCCCAGGAAATGGCTTGAAGTTTCCCTTCAGTACCCCTGTGTCCAAAGCCTCCAGGAACTAACACACAACTGGAAAAATATACCATATTAAATTAGTAACAGGTGAAAGTACAGAACAGATGCATGGGTGATGCATGCACTAAACTTGCATCTTCCCACCAGGCTATTTGTACGCCTTCAATTTTTCAGTTTTTTTAAAATAAAAAAAACAATTTTGTGTACAAAAACTTTTTTTTAAAAGATGCCGGATTTCTGTGGTCCTTAGGAAATTATGTGTCTCCTTAGACTCCGCACCAGAAATGAAAAAACTTTTTTTTTTAGAAAGAAAACATCTCCTTGAGTGTAGTTTTGCCATAAATGCAATTTCAGGTTTAAAAAAATACTTTTGAGTCATATATAGTTGATATATATATCCATATGTATGGATATGGAGGACTAACTGTACCTCATGATTTGTGTGGAGTTATGTCCTTCACATCTAAACTAAAAATCAGAAGTTTCTTATCCACAATAATTATGACATAAATTAAAACAAACTAAAGTAAATTAAATACATTTATGAAACCAATTAGACAGGAGTGAGCTCCTAATACAGTAGAGTCTCGCTTATCCAACATAAACAGGCCAGCTGAACATTGGATAAGAAAAATGTTGGATAATGATGGGTTAAGGAAAAGCCTATTAAATGTCAAATTACATTATGATTTTACAAATTAAGCACCAAAACATCATGTTTTACAACAAATCGACAGAAAAAGCAGTTCAATACATGGTAACGTTATGTAGTAATTACTGTATTTACTAATTTAGCACCAAAACATCATAATGTATTGCAATAGCTGTGGATCCGGGCAGGAGGCAGACTGCATTGGATAATACAGAATGTTGGATGAGTGAAGGTTGGATAAGTGACACTCTACTGTACATGTAATACACATTCAGATTCAAGTTTTTATGACATCCCAACATCTTAGTATATTAACATATACCAAGTAATGGAAAAGCAATAAAATAAAATCTGAAACTCACTCTGCTTTGCACAGTTTTTGCCAGGCTTGATGAAATTTCACTGGATTCTCAGCTTCCATGCCATGTTCAAGGTCTGCTGAGTCTATGTACTAATTAAGACAACACATGCAGACTTTGTCACACCCTCACATATTTAACAGAGCTGAAATACTTCTATATTAATCATCTCCATTGCATATTACTCATGAAGAGTAATTTTCACAATTTCATATAAATGTGTCTCGAAATATTACAATCTGCCACAGAAGCACAGAGAATTGGACAAGGCTCAGCAATTTAAACATCACTGAACTTCCCCTTTTTTGTAAATAATATCACACAGCTACATACTTCTAAAAATCCCTCATAGCAAAACAATGACGTATATCTGTTTTCTATTCTTGTATACTTATTTTTATTTTTGTTTTTGCAGCACAGTAAGGCTACATAAAAAGCTTTTATTTTGGGGTGCAGAGGGTGGGAAGTATGAGAAGAAACAAAACATGAGATGTGCTCTGTTGCCCAACTTTCAAAGTAGGAGCAAAAGAGGCAGGTGAGATTTATGACTGAATAGAACAATACTGTTGAGATACCAGATTTTTGGCAAGATGAAAGGCGGGCTGAGCACTTGAATGGAATGAGACAAAGACCCACCAGGTGGAAAGTGTGTGGAGGTGGAGTGGGAAGAATAGCTGGAATTGAAGAGAAAGAGAAGATGTACCAGGTAGAGACACAGAAATGTCATGTTGGCAAAGAGAAAAAGAACCTAGTTGGGTAAAGAGAAATAAAAAGCAGCAAGATCCATTGTAAAAAAATAAAAAAGGGGGGAAGGGAGAAAAAAATAACCACAAATGTGGGTATGTGGAAGGATGCTGAGAGAAAAACAATATCATCATGGGAGGGAATGAATACTAGAGGTTATTACCTATAAAGTCCTAAACTGTTTGGGCCCAGGCTATTTAACTAACCACATCTCCATATATAAACCAGCTCGAGCACTGCAGTTTGTAGAGGAAGCCCTACTCTCGGTCCCATCCCCGTCTCAAGCATGGTTGGTTGGGCTTTCTCCGTGAATATAATATTATATTTTATATATATATATATTATATTTTATATCTTTGACCAGAACATGGTACCTTACTCTGGTTTGTTGGAACCAGATAAATATTACAACAATGGTTATTTTAACTAAAGTAACAGTTTTGTTACTTTGTAGGTTTAATAGATTTATATATTTTGTTTAATTACTTAAACTTTGTGAGTAGTTGTTATAACTTGTCATAATTGTTTTAGACATGGGGCTCTTTGTTCATTTTGTATTGTTTTAAGGCATAGAATGTTTTCCATTCTTTGCTGGAAACCACACTGAGTCCCCTTGGGGAGATAGACCGAGTTATAAATAAAGTTGTAGTTGTTGTAGTTGTAGTTGTTGTTATTACCCATATAGAAGAAGGTACTTCTGCTCATGACTCACAATTTCAGACTCCTGGTTACCTACACTTTTGATTTTAGTAGAAACCGATGTAAAAAAAAAACATTTACTATTTCCAATATTCTACATAAAGGCATATTTGAGGACACTTATGTGCAGTGAGGACAATGAAAGGAAAGCTTGATTGCATAGACATGACAGTGCTTTTCTCTTCTGAACCTCCACCTCTATTATTCTTTTCAACGCATTCTCAGTTTTTCTGACTAAACTGATTGAATCAGAGATTCACAATAGTTTCAAGAGACATTCAAAGTATAGGGTGTTATAAATTGATGGACCCAATTTCAAAGCAGTATATTTTACAATAGCAACAATTACACAAAAAGTTACGAATGATTGAATAAGTTATCAAGTTTTATCAATCATTTTGAGCCAGAAACACATCTCAAAAATAACTCGCTAAATCTCATAAGGCCTTAGAACACCATTTTTCAAATGTCTGAGGCTAGGGTCAGCTGGATCTACATTGCCCTATATCCCAGTATCTGAACCCAGATTATGTTCTTATCCTAGATTATCTGGCAGTATAGATTCATATAAGTTGCCTTGAGTCCCTCGGGGGAAAGAGGGCGAGTTTTTAAATAAAAATGATTTTGATTATCTAGTTGAAAGCTGATAAGCTGGGATCCAACCCTGAGATATAGGGCAGTGTAGATCCAGTTGGAGATATCTCTAACAGGAATAATTTGAAACTTGATGCCCCATCTTTTCAAGTGATAAAGGTTCCATTCATGGAGGTTCATGGTTACAGAGATATAGTGATTTCAGATCAATCTTTCTGAAACACCCTGTACATTCCATTCCCTGTACATCCATAGCTCAAGATGTATAACATCACAGTAATTCATATGGCATCTTCAGGAATCTCTATAAATACTGCTTTTTCTATTCAAGAAAATGTGAGGTTCGATTCTCTATCTAATTTCATCAATACATATTAAAATTAATCTGCCCAGCAGCAGTGAATGTCTTAATTTAACGCAATTGCTCATAGTATTGCTGAATTCTAACTTTCATTTGAAGTAAGATAATACCATCAATTCATATGAGCAATAAATAAATAAATAAATAAATAAATATAACCTGTGGTTAAGAGTTCCCAGGCCCCATCCACACTGTCAAATAATGAAGTTTCAAAATGCAGTTTAGCTGCATTGAACCGAATTATATAAGTCTATACTGCCATATAATGCAGTTCAATGCAATGAAACCATTCTGAAATGTCATTATTTGGCATTATATTATTTTAAATGACATTGTACATGGGGGCCCAGACGCACAGATGCAAACATTTAAAAGAATGTACTTGCTGCACATAATTCCAGAGTAACTAGCAGTGGAAATATGATTAGCACATTTAGATTGTAAAATTTAGACCTCCTCTAAACTCTATCAATTAAATCTATAAGCACAACTTTTAAAATTAAAAAAAAAATCAGTAATCAATTGAAGGCTTCTATAAAGATGGCACACTTATAATGCAATGCAGAAACCAGTTGTAATTACATTCACCACTTGTTAAATCATTTGTCATTTGTTAAATAATGTCCTTAATATCTAAAGCTTTGATCAGAATTAACGAATGCAACATATTCATCAAGATAGTAATGATTTGCCAAGAGTGCAGCATTGCCTCTTATAATGCAGAAAACTAATTAAGGAAACTATTCTAAGATAGCATTTTCAAAAATATTGCAACATGTTCAAATCACATCTTCTATGCCTATAAAATTCTAGTTACATTATACTTTGTTTCTGAGCAACCGCTACAAGATGAAAGCCAGTGAAAGCTATTAAATGAATGAATATCCGAGGATGGAAGGAAAATGCAAAGGAAGGAAAAGAAGAAAAGATTGATCCTCACCATTAAATTGAGCCTGTGGTTTATTGCTAGAGCTGAATGTTCCAAAGCCTTGAAAACTGAGACATAGCAATCACTCAGTTTTGTATATTTGCCAACCAGTGCTACAGAACATGTCTTCAGCATCCTCTCATATCTGTGAAGATAAGTAAACAATACATCTCTGATTCTGGTGAATCATTAAATAATTCTGATCTTTAGTTACCTTTGGTTTAAAATTCATACACAGAAAATTTAGACTTATTTTTTAAAAACATATGTATAAACACATTCCTAAGTGTTGTAAATAAGATGCTTGAGGCTCTTTGGACAACTCTTCTACTATAAATGCAGAGTGGCCTCTTTCATAAATTCAATTTATTTTGTACTTTTACCATGATGGGAACATTTGGATTTTCTCCCTCAGACTCCTAAACGTTTTGAGCCATTTTTGAAGGGTGCAATCTCAAGATTTTGGAGCCATTCATAAATCATTAGCAGTCAGCATGGTGCATATTGGACATGGCTGCATCTTTATTGTAGAATTAACATAGTTTGACAACACATTAATGATTATGGCCTGATGCTATGGAATCCTGGGATTTGTCGTTTGGTGAGGCACCAGCTCTCTTTGGTAGAGAAGGTTAAAGACCTTGAACTGATCTCATGATCCCAAACACTGAGCCATGGCAATTAAAATGGTGTCAACTGGATTAATTCGATGGACCCTAGGATCAAATCCTTTCTTGGCCACGGAAACCTACTGGATGAACTCAGGAAAGTTACATCTCAGACCTTAAGAAGAAGGATATGACAACTCTCCTCTGAATAAGTGCTGCCGAAAAAAATCCTAAAAGTATCCCCAGAAATAAGAATTTGATCCAAAGTAGTTTTTTAACATCACGATAATTGATTATGTATGAATTATATAGAAATATGTCAATATACCTAGAGTACATATCAAGGTTCAGCTCAATGTGGATGCCAATCCATTATAATATATACACTACATACTATTCAGTGTTTCCAGTTATAGAGAAGTGAAGGCGGGATGTCTGGGTTGCAAGTTGGAAATGTGTTGCTACTGTGTGGCTTCAAATTGTTTCTGACTTATGGCAACTCTACACTGCTAATCCAGATTATCTGCTTTGAACTGGATTATATAGCAGTGTAGGCTAATATAATCCAGTTGAAAGCAGATAATCTGGATTATCTGCTTTGATTATCTGTATTACATGGCAGTGTAGAAGGGGCCTATTACAAGGATTTTCTTGACAAGATTTGTTCAGAGGGGATTGACTTTGCCTTTCTCTGAAGCTGGGAAAGCCACTGGATGGGGACTTGAAACTTATAGTCCAATGCTCAAACCATTAAACTATGCTGGCTCTCCAAGTCTCCACATAGTAAAAGATTATGTTTGGTGTTCATTAGATTTTTGAACAGAAATATATACATAGTGCATTGTCAGTATTGTCAAAATAATACAAATCAACATAGGAAATACAGTATTCTTCTGCTATTCTACTCAAGAAACAGAAGTACCATAATTTTTGTATCATTGTAGTCATTGCAAACCAACCATGCCAAAGGTTATGTAGGCATGGTATAGCCATACAGATTATTACTGCTAACAGATTTGTCTGTAAAATATCTAGTTATGGGGTGGGGGAAGGGGATGTTAGATAACAAAACAAAGGATAGTACCTATCTGCTATTCTTTTCCATTTGAAAAGCTGTTCACTCGGTCGGTCATCGATTGGAAGGTTTAGTCTGTCTTTAAAGTATTTAATGATGCCTTGTTCTTCCAAAAGAATTGGCACCCGGTAAGTGGACGAAACATCATGGATGAATATTACCTAGGAAATGTGACCTTTAATTATAAATATATGATATCTAGATATAGTATAAGTATATACATCTATGGGTCTTCTGATTAAACATTCTTTGATCACTACCGCATGTCAATCGGTCATATGAATTTTACTCAATAAATTACAAACTTAACATTGTTGCTTTAATTAAAGATGCAATTTGAACTTGGTAATTAATTGAAGGCAGAGATCTTAAAACTTTGTCACTGGCAAGATAAGACAGAAAAACAGGGGAGAGAGACGTAACAGAAGACTGACCTCCTGGTTTTAGCCTTTTGATAGAGCAAGATTAAACCAAGTGACAATGGATTGCAACTCTGTCAGGAAGTGAACATTGTGCTGTAGAGAACACTCATTAATTTATATTATTTCATTTCATAAGCAGACAACTTTTAAAAGAAGATTAATACCAGATGCACAATTTCCTGATTTCTCTGAAGATACAACACTGACCTCTGCTGGAATAATAAGATTAAAAAAAAACGAGTGCTTGTCTAACAATTACACTTGGTCTCTATAACTGATTTTTTTTAAAGGTAAGTAGAATCGCATAGAGATTACTATACATCATGAAATTAGATCAGTCTTGAAAATAATTATTTCAAAAGACATTTTCTTTTATCTTTGATTTCCTCTGTGATTATTTCCTGCTTATCCACCTCCAATATCAAATACTGTATCTCTATTTGAAGAAAGAAAGAAAGAAAGGAAGAAAGAGGGAGAAAAACACAAAAGATGCTTATAACGTGTTACACACAGTATTAAAAAACCAACAAACCTGTTCAGGTTCCACATGACAAAACATGGATATCTTTTCTTTCACAGCCATTTCTATAGGTTTTGTACTTCTGCAAACTATCTGTCAAAAATACAAAGACATAGCCAGGAATATCAGTATACATCTGAAGAAGTAGACATTGTCTATGAAAGCTTATGCTACCAGTTTTGTCTCTATAGTGTTACAACATCCCTTTCTATAAACAGACATACATATCAGCAGAAATATTATTAGAAAACAATTTACAAAACTAGTATATTGTTCCTTTTTAAAGTAATTAAGATGTTGAAATATATTGTTTCCTTAACAAAAAAACCACTCTCAATGAACAAGTTTTACAGATATAGTGTTGAGGCTCAGCGTCTTGGCAGTGAAACTACTACCGGTTGTAGGAGAAGGAGGAGTGATGCTGAGTCAGAACTGGATCAGCGTCAGCTGAAGCGTATTCGAGATATTATTTTGGCACCTAGCGACACGGAAGATTTTGCAGGGTTTGGACCCGAGGATTTGGAAGAATGGGATTACCGGGGAGTAAAGCGGGTTGCCAGTGAGTCTGATAGTGATGAAGAAACTATGAGTAAAAGGCTTAAAGATACAGCTGACAATTCCAGTTCAGATGAACTGGAAGCCAGTAATGAGGAAATGGAGGAGGAATTGGACTGGACTTGGGTTAGGGAAATTCAGGACATATGTACACAGCCCACGTCTAGTGACGAGTTTGAGGGATTCCAAGATACATGGCAGGCAGGTACATCTTGGCAGGATCCTGGTTTGGATCAGCGCTGGCAGAAATGGCGGAGTAACGAGCCAGCAGCTGAAGGAAATGACCCAGATACTAGTGATGAGGATCAATCTAGCAATAGCAATTGCTAATAAAATGGGGGTTCTGGGATGTTTAGCTTTGCAGAGGACAAAGCGTTGAATTGCGTGTCTTGTTCTGCCTAACCTCCATTTGGGTCCTGGGAATCCAGCTATCTTGTCTTCGTGTACCTTGACTTCGGATTGGACTACGTAAGTGACTTTGCCTTGCCCCTGATTTTTGGAACGTCTCTGGACCACGTCATCTGCCTGCTGGACTTTGTTTGTTGCCTGTTATTGACCAAGGACTGTTTTGACTCCGCTTTTGCCACTGTTTGTTTTTGCTCCAGCTTTCCTTTTTCCTGAGACTGAGTCCTGGGATAATCCGGCTTATCTCTGTTATTATTTACCTGCACAAAGGTCCTTTTGTTTTGCTAAGTAGCATTGCTGGTTAAGTGCTGCTAGCTTGTTAAAGACTCATTAAAGACTTTTGTTAAACCTTAATCTGCTGTGTTTGGCAATCTTTGGGGCCTGAGTCACAACATATAACTTCTCCCAAATGTTATTCAACAAATAATATAATTCACATCCTTCTCCCCAAATATAATTTGTTTTTAAGTTGACAAGATTTCTAAAGCTTGCATCTTCAGTCATCTGGTTCAGGCCAAGATTATTTGCAGAACCGCATCTCTGTATACAAACCAGCCCAAGCTTTGCAATCTATGGAGGAAGCCCAGTCTTGGTTCCATCCTCGTCCCAAGCATGGCTGGTGTGAATGAGAGATGGGGACTTTCCTGTGATCACTCCCCGTTTCTGTAACTTTCTCCCAAAAGAATTTAAAACTGCCCCTTCTCTCCTTGTCTTTAAAAAACTTCTGAAACCCACCTAAGCACTGTGGTGTATGGAGAGGAGGAAGACTAATATGCCTGTCTTATACTCTTGCCTAGACATGTATAACATGTCATCTTTTTGTAATGGTTTTAGCCACTGTTCTTAGTTTTTTTATTTAATGTCAAACTTATATTAATTGTTCCTTGTATAGGTTATTTAAGTTCTTAATGTCTATTATTAAATTTAGAGTTACGTTGCTTTTATATTGTTCAATATGATTCGTCCTGATGTAATTTGTCTGAATGTTGTTGTTGTCCTTTTTTGGCATTGAATGTTTGCCATACATGTTGGAAACCACCCTGAATCCCTTCAGGGACATAGAGCCGTCTATAACTAAAGTATTATTATTATTATTATTATTATTATTATTATTATTATCTAGAAAATAAAAAAAACTAGTCACACCAAGTAGGACCAACAATGCAGTATTTATCCACTAAGGTGTGGAATCAAAGAATTAAGTGCAAAATTGGGAGGCACATGTGTTGGAACTACATCTCCAACTCAACAAATATTTTCCGAGCATATCTTCTGCTAAACAAGATATTTTACAAAAATTACAGTACATTATATCTTCTAATAAATTCCTGAGCTCCAGTTTTTCCTACACCTTATACATACTTGAAAATATATCCACCTTGCAATATCTTCCAATTGGCTTTTCTTTCTGTCTTAATATTGCAGATTTTATCAAACTCACCAAGTCAGGAGACAATCCAAGACCTCTTAAAGCCCGAACACTATTCTGAGTTGGTTTTGTCTTCTGTTCTCCAGTAGCATTAGGCTAAAAATAAATATGTGACACAATATTGGAGTCTAAGACTTTTTCACATGATCAACCATAGCATATCCAAACACATTTTGCTTACATTTTAAGCCTCTTTCTACCATAATATCCCTGCATGGAACAATGTGATGTTAAAGCATTATAAGAGATGGTCATCCAGCCCATGTAAAGACCTCCAAAGTAGGAGACTCTATCAGCCTCCAAGGCAGACTATTCCACTGCCAAATTGTTCTTACTTTCTGGCAGATGCCACATATTCTACATGACAAAATCTTATTTGACCAGTGAGAAGCTGTCTATACTATGAAACATATAAGAACCCATATAAATGTATTGTGTAGTACAACAGATTGTGTAGGAAAGGAACAAAATCAGGAAAAGCACATAGCATTTCAATAAATGCGACAATGACTTTAAAAAGGGAGAAAATGTGTGCCTTTCTTAAGCTACAGTATATTAACTAATATGTATATAAATTAGGCAGTTCTCCTTCTCTTCAGAAACCTGTGTAGGCTTAAGGAGGTAATCTGCATCATCACTTATCTTTCTCATTTAGGTTCTCATTAGGTTTCACTTCCACAGACTCCTCTTTTGGTCTTAAACAATATACACCATTAAAGAGGCAATCGTTTCACCCCAAATGTTCCACATACTGAGCTGGATCATAAAGACTACAAATGTGCTCTTCCAACTCACATTTATACCTCAATTAACAAAGCTTCTGAAAGCAAAACTTCTTTTAACAATGTTTTTTCATGCCTGTCCAGGTACTTTTTCCTTTCTCATCCTCTTGCTAGGTAGATTTTTTGAGGTGCACCAGCATTGGGAGAATGCTGACAGAGCGATGAAGAAACATAAGACTTTCTGTATCAAACAGCAGCAATGTTTCTGCAGTAAAGAATGCAATAAAAATTAAGCTTGAAAAGAGTGGGATTCTTTTCCAGACAGATTGCGTGCCAACTCCAGGCAAGATAAACAGTCGCCACCTCCACAACCCATACTAAACACACATAAATTGCCAAACAGAGGAAAAATAGATAAGGCTGCCACACCAGCTGCTCTCAGAATGCTAAAAAATCATAGATCGAGCCATCTGGCCATTTACATGAAATCATAAGAAAAGTGAAGACCAGTGAAGAAAAATCACCCCTGGATACATTTCAAGTGGTCTCTAAGAGCTGTAATTTTTTTTCTTCACTTATGTGTGACTTACCTGAGCTGATTGTTCCACGGCATGCATGCCTATTGTTAGTTTTGGATAAAATTTTGCCCTTCTACTTTGTGGGATAGGAACCCATCCCTATCATTTCTTCCTCTGGTATTAAAGTAAAATAAGTACTGTGGTGCCCAGGATCACCTCAACTTGTTAACTGAGATAAACCTGGACTTTGTGCTTAGTTTGCTATTACTGGGGCCATGTGTGGAATGGCAGATTAGAAATCTGACAAATACATTTTAAAATGTCAAAGAATGCTACAAAAAATCTGGTTTTGTTGTTCAATAACAGGTTCAACAACTGCATTAGCAGGAATATCTGTAGAAAAGCAGGCTCATTAAAAGGAAATCATATTTTCCTGTTGATCTTCTCTGTAAAGAGTTAAGTGTACCAGATAGTCTAGAATGTGACTTTCAAAGAAATACCTTGCTTTCTAAAAATGGTTTATTTAAAACAAAATGCTAATGTCAATTCTGTATTAAAAACAATGTCATCTACTCCAAATCTCCAGGTTTTTAGTCCTCCCACATGAAATAAATTAATCTTTAACTTCTCAATACTTTATTTAAAACATAAAAGTCTTAATTTTTGTTTGTTTTGACATTGCTAGGGTGAGAAAATGAACACATGGGAGCCAACGCATTACTGAACTGACATAATTTGTTTTTCATGCACAGTTCTTAAAAATACCCTGCATAAGTGTATCTTAACAAATGCTAACTGTGAAAAATAATATACAATATGATATCATATAAATTTACCTGTGGTACAAGGCTAACATGGATATTGCAGAAGTTCTCCCGCTTGGCTTTAAACTGAAATTGTCGGAAAGCTTCTACAAATGGCATTCCTTCAATATCTCCAATTGTGCCACCCAGCTGAAAGGCAATATGTAGGTAACCAATCTGAGCAAAGTGAAAGTAAATGGATTTACAGCAATTTTATATATTTCCATGTTAAGATATTTTTAAGAGAAAGCCATATCATTATATAACCAAGTCCCACAATAATTTAGTCCAGTGTGTGGCAGCCAGCTACTGCTATTACAACTGCTTCTGATGCATAAACCAAATGTATATGACACTGAACAATAACCATATAGGATTATTTCACTGCCCATTTAAGGAACCTTTATCATGATAATAGTGAACAAAGGAAGAAAAAACACCGTGCATTCAAATTATACCATAGTAATTGCCCTTACTCAAATTTTGATGAAGAGAAATCATACTCACTTCAATTACACATATCTGTGGTTCTTTCTTATCACCATCCACAGGGACTTTTGCCTGATTCATTACCCATTCTTGAACAGCATCAGTAATATGTGGGACAACTATAAATCCAATGAAATATTCATACAGATCAGAAAAAATGTAATGTTAAACAGTATCAAATCCCATTTCACCATGTGCATTTCCTTACACCTGGATTCCCTATGAAATATACATGTCCATAGCAAAGTAATTACTTGAGGAAAAAAACTATTGTCCTTGTGCTTTCAAGTTGTCTCCAACTTTTGATGACTCTAAAAGGAATCTTTTCCACGGTTTTAAAGACCAAGGTTCTAACAAAATTTCAACAAACATCTGCCAACGAAACAATGACCTATAGGCGGGAAACACTGTTTTCATTCTTTCCTCCAAAAGGGGACACTCGAGGCTGGAGTCGCTGAAATTTGAGAATTCTGGCCTCAAAATGGAACACCAGTTTTTGAGAAATCCTTGCCTAGCATGAAATTATCTAAGTAGGGGTAACTGAATCACAATATCTGTTTAATCGATTGTACCAAGAGACAAAAAATTAATAACCGTACATTTCATCAATATAAAAGTACCTTGAACTGTTTTTCCCAAGTAATCACCATGCCTCTCTTTATTGATGACATGCTGGTAGATTTTTCCAGTGGTGATGTTATTATCCTTATAAAGGTTGATGTCCAAGAACCTTTCATAGTTTCCCAGGTCCAAGTCAACTTCTCCTCCATCATTTAGAACAAACACTTCACCTGAAAATTAATAGTATTCATTACTGTGTGCTACTGAACTGCCCTGAGTTTCCTTTGGGGTTGAGAAGGGTGGTATACAAATACCACAGATAAATAAATAAATAAGTTTATTCAGCTGGTAAATTAATTCCCAGTCCACCTAACAGTAGCATCCTCTTATCCACATTTTACTAACTTCTTTGTGAGAATACCATGACCTTGTCAAAGGCCTTACTGAAATTGAGATATGCTACATCCATAGCATTCCCTTCATCTACCAAGATTGTACCTCTATAAAAAAAAAGAGAGAGATAAGACTTTGTCTGGCATGACTTGTTTTTGAGAATCCCATGTTGACTTTTAGTGAGCACGGCATTCTTTTCTCGGTATTTACAGGTTGTCTGTTTAATGATCTGCTCCAGAATCTGTTTGAAAGTGTACCTCCCCATATCTCACTTCTCAGAAATCCCCCAACACCAACGGCCACTCTGGGGCCAGAATAAAGAAGGGGAGCCAGAAGGACATTGCCATCTTGTCCCCTGTGACATCAGCGCCCCTCCCCCAACACCAACGGCCACTCTGGGGCCAGAATAAAGAAGGGGAGCCAGGAGGACATTGCCATCTTGTCCCCTGTGACATCAGCGCCCCTCCCCTAGCAATAATGTAATATTATGTAGGACTAGTGTTATGAATGATGTAATAGTACTATGCTAGTTATGTATTATGTTGTATGTTGTATGTTGTATGTACTTATGACTTGTAAGCCGCTCTGAGTCCCCTTCGGGGTGAGAAGGGCGGCATATAAATGTCATAAATAAATAAATAAATAATAAATAAATAAATCTTTCCTGGTATCAATATCAGGTTGACTGGGTAGTAATTGTTTTGGTCCATATTGTTTTCAGCCTGACTAGCAAATTGACTTCATTCTGTGCATTGGCTTTTCTAACTTTTCCCCTACATAAACTAGCTATTTGTTTGAATTCCTTTTTTTCTCCCTTTTTCCATTTCTTGTATATGTCCTTTTTTTCAATTTTTGTGTATGTCCATTCTGATTTGTATAGACACCTCCTATTATTCCTCCTCATTAGAACTGTTTGAAAGTGTACCTACCAATATCTCACTTCTCAGAAATCCTCATCCATCATGAAGTCCAATTGGGACAAGTCTCAGCAGACACCTTACACTAACAGATTTACTGGGCCGGAAAATTAAGAGAAGTTTATTAAAGGAGTACTTTTTTCTCTTATGGGATCACAGTATTTCCCTATGTTCACAGCAATCAACTTTCTTAAAAACTAGAAAGAATATATGTCAGACTATGTTTGATTTCCCATTTTCCCAATACAACAAACCACCAGATGATGCAATGACCAACAGCATTTTTGTGTGTGTGTCATGAGCAACTTGAGAAACTGCTAGTCACTTCTGGTGAGAGAGAATTGGCATCTGCAAGGACATTGCCCAGGGGACGCCCAGATGTTTTACCATCCTGTGGGTGGTTTCTCACATGTCCCTGCATGAGAAGCTGGAGCTGACACTGACAAATGGGAGCTCACCTTTTGGTCAGCAGTCCTGCTGGCACAAGGGTTTAACCCTTTGCGCCACCAGGTGCTCCTAACAGCAATGATGAATATAGTGAAGTAATCATTGAAAAGAAATCCCTGATCTTCAATGAATATCTTAAGATTGAATTACATGAAACATTAATAAAAATACAGTTAACTAAAGACATCCTTCCTGTTTGCTATACAATTATACAGAAAGAGGTAATGTGGGAGAACTGGACTGGGTGTGCTCTGAAGTGTGTTAAAAATTTATTTCATATCGGAATTATCAAGGGTTGAAAGGTCTTTGAATTCAGTGGACCCAGATCCTCTACTTCCCTTCTCTGCCCCTATTCAACCATTTTGCCCTTCCAAGACCAGATTTCTGTTCCAGTGGGGACATGCCATTACTGAAACCTTACGCTAACAGCTTTACTAGGCTGGAAAAGTGAGAGAAGTTCATCAAAGGAGCTTGATCATAGACTCTGAACATAACAGACCCAAGCTCTACATTTTTATTCCTTTGATTAATGAGATCATCCCACACTGAAAAGGATTCAAAGCAATGAGTATTATAACCTAGAACTCTGAGCACAGCAGTGAATTTTTCAATATCACACCAGTTCTCCACTATACAAACTATTCCATATGATAGCTGACCACACTTCTAAAGAATGAAACGATCAAAGTCTGCTTTCATTTTGAAGAAGCACTAAAGGGAGACTCGAGAGTGAAGACCGTAATAAAGTTATTTTGTTATCAGACATGGGCAGGTAGTAAAAAAAAAACTCTCTTCCAATTATTCTAGCTTTCCTAATTTATCTGGAATTAAGAGATTTATGACATAGTCACACAGGCTGATTTGCAGGTGCTTTTATCATCTTTTTAAGAGTTTTATTGTTTCTATGACAGTTGAAATGATACCTTAAGCAATGTTATTAATATTTATGTATTATTATGTAATAATAATAATAATAATAATAATAATAATAATAATAATAATAATGTATTTATACCCTGCCACCATCACCCCAAAGGGGACTCGAGGCGGCTAACATGAGGCCAAGCCCAGAACTACAATAGAGCAAAGTAAAATACAACAAACAATAACATCAAAGTAAAATACAAAAATAGCAAAACGTACAATAAAAATAAAATGGTGGAGGAATAAAAGCACAGTGAGTGGGCCAAATGCACAGGATAAGATTGATAAAACCCTGGGTGAGATAAGCAAATGGAGTAGTGTGTGTCTGAGTGGAGAACTCAGAAGGGGCGAAACAATGGGGTTGATCTTCACTAAGGGACGAGAGAAAGTGCATCAAGAGGACAGACCTGTATGTACTAAAATATTTATTTCCCACTCTAGATAATGTTGCAGCAATTTAATTTACAACATTTTTAAATGGCCATCTTAAACAATCTAAATCTAAAATATATAAACAATTTAAAATAGTATAAATCCATATTTTAAGCAGAATCCTTAGATTCCAGACCTATTGACTCTAAGCCATTTGTTGCAATCACCAAAAATCCAATGCCTGTGCCAACTAGGCATCAAAACAATATATAAGTTTAATAATGGGAAGATGCAAATAGTCTTTAAAATTATCTTGCTTTTTGTCATTCTGGGCTATACAGTATCCTGTGGGCGCAAAAATGGCACTGGTCACTGCTTGGTGTAATGACGATGGCCAGAGCAAAAAAGCTATGTGATGTGAGAGAGGGGAGGTGGGGAAGGAGGGATCACTAATAGAATAATAGAGTCAGAAGAGACCACATGGACCTTTCACTCCTCCCTTATAGGTTATGTTTATATTTTTAATGGCTACTTTGTATGTTTTATGTTTGCTTGTGGAAACCTGAGTCCCCATGGGGAGATAGAGCTGTATATAAATAGTGTTTTATTATTATTCTCTAATCTCATCGCTTCAGCTATTGTAATTACTTTACTGGCGCTGACCTGCAACCAATCCTATTTTCATGTCCAGTGGCACTGCAAAGCCCAGAAATAATAAGATGATGATGATGATGATGATGATGATGATGATAATAATAATTATGATAATAATGATGATGATGTGGTTCGAGGCAGGTTACAACATAGCTTTGTGTGTGTGTGTCAGAAGCTACTTGAGAACATACTGCAAGTCGCTTCTGGTGTGAGAGAATTGGCTGTCTACAGAGACGCTGCCCAAGGGACACCTGGATGTGTTACCATCCTGTGGGAGGCTTCTCTCATGTCCCCACATGGGAAGCTGGGGCTGACAGACAGGAGTTCACCCTATCTTGCGGATTCGAATGCCCAACCTTCAGGTCAGCAGTTCAGCTGGCACAAGGGTTTAACCCATTGCGCCACTGTGGCTCCTATAACATAGCTTAAACACATAATCATAGTAAATATTCACAGAACAATGCAAATTAGGATTCATTCTGTGTTCCTGGGCTAAACCTAGAGAAAGCGGGATGGTGGTATAAACCGTGCAATCAGTTCTCAAATAGGAAGTGGCACAACTGTATACCATACTGGCCCAAAATGTGGATGACCTCTGGAGCTTCAGAGAAGCTCTAATGTATCCTGTAACTTTTTCAAATGTGTTACAGCAAATAGACCCCGTGTGTTGGGTGGCCACCATGGTCTATTCACTACTACACTGACTCATATGGTCTGTGTAGATGGGACCTAAGACTTGGAAGTTGGGCAACTTGACTTGTTAGGATACGCATGGAACTAGATGAGAACATTGAGTATATTTCCCTTTCTCCAGAACAGTCCATGGCATGCCAAGGTTGAGAAAAAAAAGCAGGGCTCTTCTATATTCTATGGATATCTCTTGAGTAAATAAAGTATTTAAGCTATATAATGTCAGTGATTTCAAACTACAGCTTGTAAAAAAAAATCATAAAGGAAAGGGATTCAGCCATAATTGTATGTAAACGAGATTACTCATACCATGCTCGTAAGGTGAAAAGGTTCCAGCATCGATGTTGATGTATGGATCTATTTTGATTGCAGTAACTCGTAAACCACATGACTTCAAGATTGTACCTATGCTGCTTGCAATAATTCCTTTACCGATGCCTGAGATGACACCACCAGTTACTAGGATGTACTTCATGGGTTGATTAAAGATGTGCCGTATACCTTGAGGTGGAATTCTGAAAGTGGAAAGATGATATGATTAAACATGAGTTTAGGAAGTTTCCTAGAAAAAGAAAGGACACTTTGGTTATGCTTTTCCTGCATGGCAGGGGGTTGGACTAGATGGCCCATGTGGTCTCTTCCACACTATTATTATTCTATGATTTTATTAAGAGATAGTGATACTGGAATAGTCAATATTTTTAAGCGGAGAGGAAGACATCATAGATGAAGCAAAAGACAAGAACAGCAGCTCCTAAGAACAATATCCATTATACCTGAAGCTGGATTTCATCTGTTGCTGTGTAAGAACCTGACTAAGGGCCCTTCTACACTGCCATATAAAATCCAGATTATCTGCTTTGAACTAGACAGTGTAGAATCAGATAATCCAGTTCAACGCAGATGTGGATTTTTGCTTTAATAATCTGGATTATATGGCAGTGTAAAAGAGGACTATATAGCCAAAATGGGAGGTATGGCAATATGGAAAAGAAAATTGAGATGGAAAATTGCATAAGGCAATTTCCTAAGGAAACAGACTCTTTCTGGTTACAATTCAAAGTGCTATCTAAAAGTGTATCCACACTGTAGAATTAACACAGCTCGACACTAGTTTAACTGTACTATGCAGTCATGAGAGTGGTAGATAAAATCCAATTATTCCATAGCATTAGGCTATGGCAGTCAATGTGGTGTCAAAATGCATTAATTCTACAGTGTAGATGCCTCCTAAGACCCAAAAACCCTATATGGATACAGGCTACCCCAAATATTGTATTCTCCCATATAAGACAATCACTTGGTCCTGCTACCATCAGAAATAAGGACAAGAGGGGGGGGGGCCTCTTCAGCTACCATTTCCTTACTAGCCTCCTCCATTTTGTTTGCATCAGCAAGCAGAGACCTTCTATTCAACACTTCAGCATCAACTGACTGCCTGTTACGGTCAGGCTGTGCTGGACTGCTAACTTTACAAATCTTTATTTGTTATTAGTGTGGATTATTAAACTGTCCTTCATGTGTGTTTTAACGGCACAAATGAATCTGTATTTTAGCAGTATAATTAAACTTGAATATGTGATCTTGCTGGAACCATATTTCAAATCAAGTTGGAAGCTGTTTTACAACCCAGCCCTAGAAAAAGGGCAAGACAGAAATTAAATACATCTACAAAACCCAAGAAAATTGTTGAAAACACTTCAATGGAGATTGGCAATAATCGCAACCAATGAAAAACTATTGAGAAAAACCAGAAACAGAATGGTATATCCTAAAACAGCATTTCTCAACCTGGGGGTCAAGATCCCGGGGGGGGGGGTCGCAAGGAGGCTGTCAGAGGGGTTGCTAAAGACCATTAGAAAACACAGCATTTTCTGTTGGTCATGGGGGGGGGGTGTTGGAAGTTTGGCCCAATTTTATCGTTCGTGAGGTTCAGAATGCTCTTTGATTGTAGGTGAACTATAAATCCCAGCAACTACAGCTTCCAAATGTCAAGGTCTGTTTTCCCCAAACTCCACCAGTGTTCACATTTGGGCATATTAAGTATCTTGCCAAGTTTGGTCCAGATCCATCATTGTTTGTGTCCACAGTGCTCTCTGGATGGAGGTGAACTACAACTCCAAAACTCAAGGTGAATGCCCACCAAGTCCTTCCAGTATTTTCTGTTGGTCATGGGAGTCCTGTGTGCCAAGTTTAGTTCAATTCCATTGTTAGTGGAGTTCAGAATGCTCTTTGATTGTAGGTTAACTATAAATCCCAGCAACAACAACTCCCAAATGACAAAATCAACCCCTTCCCCAACACCAAGTTTGGGTGTATTGGATATTGTGCCAAATCTGGTCCAGTGAATGAAAATACATGCTGCATATTGGATATTTACATTATGATTCATAACAGTAGCAAAATTACAATTATGAAGTAGCAACAAAAATAATTTTATGGTTGGGGGTCACTACAACATGAAGTACTGTATTAAGGGGTTGCGGTATTAGGAAGGTTGAGAAACACTGTCCCAAAAGTAAGTGTGGCTGGCTGCCCATAGAACAGACACTCTTTACTAGGCCTGGTTGATCAAGAAAAAATTTGGTTCTAAAATCGATTTGTAATTGGGGTGTTTTTTTGTTTCGATATTTAAAATAATTACAAAATTTTCCCCAAAAAAAGTTCGGTATTTACGAAATTTCGTAAATATTTACAAATCGATTCGTTAAGATGGCGGACCCCCGCGCATGCGCAAAATCACTTCCGAAGCTTCGTTATTGGCGCGGGGACGATTCGTTAAGGTTATAACGAATCGATTCGTTAAAACGGCGGACGCGATTTGCGCATGCGCAAAGCGACTTCCGAAACTTCGTTATTAAATACGAATCGATTCGCTATTAAAATAATAACGAATCGATTCGTTAAGACGGCGGACGCGATTGCGCAATGCTAAATGCTCTATAAACAAAATCATTTCATAAAATAAATCAAATAAAATAATCAAATAGAACAAGATATTAAGGTATTAAATAAAAAAGTAATAAGATAAAGTATCCAAAACTGAGTCAATTTAATAATATAATGAAATAAACAATAATATAATAATAAAATTTAAATAAATAAAATATAATAATAAATAATAATAATAATAATGAGTGAGCACTGTATTATAGCACTTTGTGTTGGCAAAATATATAAATAAAATAAATAATAATATAAATATTTAAATAAAATATAATTAAATTTATAAAATATTTATATAATATAATTATAAATAATAATAAAAATAATATATAAAATTAAATTATAAATTATTAATATATAAAAATAATGTTATTATAAAAACTTAGAAAGTAAATATAAGAAATAAATAAAGAAAAAGTAACAAAAAGTAACAGAAATTGCACTTTGAAAAAACTCTGAAAATTATCTGGGAAGTATTGCATACATACTAATTTCTGTAGCAGTATTGCAAGTTAAGTAAGAAGGACCAACTTCACATTTGGGGGTGGTGTATCTTAATGTGCATCCTTAGCCCTGTTGTGGCAAGATGCCTCATATCTTTTCCTCTGCTGATGCTCACACCGCAATGCCTGCAAACTGCCAAAGTGGCCCTCTCATTATGGACGTCGTAATGATCCCATAGGAGCGATCTCGGCCTACCCCTACTAGGCACTTCAGATCTACTCATGCTCGTGTTTGGACTGTCGGTGTTTGTGGAAGGGAGTATAATCGTTGGTTGTTTCTGTAGCTCGCCCTCCATCAGCATGCAGTCCTCTTGATCACTAATTCCTGTGGCACATTCCATCTTGTCTTCCTCCATTCCTCTGACACGTCCGCCTCCTCGCCCTCCTCTTCATAACAAGTAATATCAGAGGTACTTGGAACGACATCAGGATCTGAACGTAGAGTCTTTCGAACTGATGAAGAAGAAGGTTCTGCCATCTCACAGCTGGTTGAAGCATCTGTGGGTGTTTCAATAACCATCTCGTTGGATGAATGTTCCCTTCTTGTCAATGTGTTCATCTTCAGTCCCCTGCCTTTCTTCGGTATTCGCGATAGCACTTGGCCCTTGCGACTAGAAAGGCCGGGAAGGAAGCGTTTCATCACACTGGTTGGAACTACACAAATAATGAGCAAAAGGAGCGCACTGGTTGGAACTACACAAAATGAGCGAGCACTGTATTATAGCACTTTGTGTTGGCAAAAGGAGCGCACTGGTTGGAACTACACAAATGAGCGAGGAAGCACTGTATTCTAGCACTTTGTGTTGGCAAAAGGAGCGCACTGGTTGGAACTACACAAATGAGCGAGCACTGTATTAGAGCACTTTCTGTTGGCAAAAGGAGCGCACTGGTTGGAACTACACAAATGAGCGAGCACTGTATTATAGTACTTTGTGTTGGCAAAAGGAGCGCACTGGTTGGAACTACACAAATGATGAGCAAGTGTATTATAGCACTTTGTGTTGGCAAAAGGAGCGCACTGGTTGGAACTACACAAATGAGCGAGCAGTGTATGTAGCACTTTGTGTTGGCAAAAGGAGCGCACTGGTTGGAACTACACAAATGACAAACGCACACACAGCCACCGAAGACTCTTTTATTTTTTTAGAATATTTTTTGTATTTTTTTAAAGAATAAAAGGCAGGTATTTTTAGAAAATATTCAGAAATGGAAAATTAACCAAAAACTGGCCCTGATGTGGACCAAACACAGCCACGAGACAGGGCAAATGAGAGCACACACCAACAGAAGAGTCTTTTCTTTTTTAGAATATTTTTTTTATTTTTTAAGAATAAAAGGCAGGTATTTTTAGAAAATATTCAGAAATGGAAAATTAACCAAAACCTGGCCCTGATGTAGAGCTAACACAGGCAGGAGACAGGGCAATCGAGAGCACACACCAACAGAAGAGTCTTTTCTTTTTTTAGAATATTTTTTGTATTTTTTTTAAGAATAAAAGGCAGGTATTTTTAGAAAATATTCAGAAATGGAAAATTAACCAAAAACTGGCCCTGATGTGGATCAAACACAGCCACGAGACAGGGCAAATGAGAGCACACAGCAACAGAAGAGTCTTTTCTTTTTTAGAATATTTTTTGTATTTTTTTAAGAATAAAAGGCAGGTATTTTTAGAAAATATTCAGAAATGGAAAATTAACCAAAAACTGGCCCTGATGTAGAGCTAACACAGCAGGAGACAAGGCAATCGAGAGCACACACCAACAGAAGAGTCTTTTCTTTTTTAGAATTTTTTTGTATTTTTTAAAAATAAAAGGCAGGTATTTTTAGAAAATATTCAAAAATGGAAACTTAACCACAAAAATGGCCCTGATGTGGACCAAACACAGGCAGGAGACAGGGCAAATCAGAGCACACACAGCAACAGAAGAGTCTTTTCTTTTTTTGGAATATTTTTTGTATTTTTTTTAAGAATAAAAGGCAGGTATTTTTAGAAAATATTCAGAAATGGAAAATTAATCTAAAGCTAACACAGCCAAAAGACAGCCAAAAGCACACACCAACAGAAGAGTCTCAAGCCAACCCAATGCAAGTCTTTTTGCTACCGCAACCAAGCCAACCCAAAGCAAGCAGCCCTCCCAGACCTCTCTCCTCCCTCGCCTCCGCGCAACAAATGAGCTCTGCGGCCACGCGGAGCCGCTTTTAAAGGCCTTGCCGGCCAATCAGACACAGCCACGGTGCACTGCTTGGGTGCTTGGGAGCGCCGGATTGGCTCCCAGGCACCAGCATCCTCCATCCCATTTCCGAAACGGGCGGAAGCTCGTTAAAAATGGGGGATGCCGCTTCGTTATTTTAAAACCCTTCCGGGTTTGAAAATGTGTTTTGTAATCGTTTTGTAATTATTAAAAATAACGAATGTTTAATGAATTACAAAATTAACGAACGAAACCGCACAGGCCTACTCTTTACATGACAAAACTTCACTGGTTCTGCTCTCCCCTCCTAGAAGTTATTTGGGCCAGCTGAAGGGGCTTAGCTTTCCATACAAAATATTCCAGGTCCCATCCCTGGTGTCTTTCGAAAGAACTAGCAACGTCCTGTTTGACATCTTCGGAAGCCACTTCCAATACATGGAACTAGACTTGATATAAGACAATCCCCTGTTTTGTCAAAGGGTGTGTCTACACTGTAGAATTAATGCAGCTTGACACTACTTTAACTGCCATGGTTCAATGTGATAGAATCCTGGTAGAGGCAGTCCCCAAGTTACAAACATCTGACTTACAAACAACTCCTAGATAAGAACAAGGGTGAGACAACAGGAAGTGAGAGAATGCTACCCATAAGAAGAAAAATTCAAGAGTTATCATAGGGAAAAGGTGTCTCCACTGAAGCTTTATCACTAATCCTTGCTTCCACAACAAGCCATTTTTTCAAAATCCAATTATTGCAGGGACAGAAAGTGAGGTGAAATTTGAACAAAGGCACAGGCGGCAAAAACAAAATCCACAGGGTTGTTTACCCTTCCTAATGCTATCCAAAGCTTAAAAACATTTCTTTGGCTGGAGTTACACTTTAAGAAGGACGTGTTCTGAATTACATACATATTCAACTTAGGAACAAACCTACAGAACCTATCTTATTTGTAATTTGGGAACTGCCTGTATTAGTACTTTGCTGAGGCATCAGCACTGTTTGGAAGAGATGGCCAAAGATCTTGTGAAATTACAGCTCTCAGGATTCCATAGCATTGTGTGTGGCAGTTAAACTGTTTTGATTCTACAGTGTAGATGAATCCAAAGATGGTCGCTCACTACTTTAATCTCCAAATCTATTTACTGAAAATATATACAAACACAAAAGGAATCCTATTCATGTCTGGAATGAAGTCAGTGAAACCAAAACAAAGAAGATATGTTGAACAAAAAGCATTAAAACCTATTATTATGGCTGACATACCCGAAAAGGTATCTTAGGCTGTATCCACACTGCCATAGAATCTAGTTTCTGAATCCAGATGATATGCTTTGTGTTGAGATTCAACCCCACACTGCCCAAGTCTCCAGACCTCAATGAGGAACAGTTTAGTTATCTTAGATAGTCAGAGGATTTCCCTTCCGCTATGTCTCCTGAATGACAGTTGGAATGTATGGTATCTATTTTGTTCTCCTCGCTCTGTTTCTACTCTCATTCCGATTGGTTGAGTAGAATGGATGCTTTTCTACAGCAAGCCTTTTTGAATCTGACTTCTGTTTCTTACATCTTAGTATGTGCTGTGTGCTTTGAGATCTCTCTCTGCTTGTGTGTCAGGAGAGACATAGTGATTGGTGTTTTATCCCTCTCTTTGAAACCTTAGAAGAGATGGGTGTTAGAGTAGCTCAGACCCAGTTCTTTACTATTAAGAAATACAGTTATTGTTTATTATTGTAAACAAACCTTTGTGATTTTTAAGATTGGACTCTGTATCTTTGCCTGCCTAAGCTCTTAATTCTTTACAGCCACATCACACAGCACTTCAAGCTCTGCATATTGTGAGCTGATGCTCAAATTTTAGTCCTCTGCTATATTTAGGGTAGTTTTTCCCCTAAGACTTTGAACTGAATTATATCAGTCAGTAGCCTTTATTTCGGTCAACAAACCATCGGCTAAGTCAAGTGAAAGTAGAATGATGAAATACAACAATTAACAATTAATAACATCACATTTGGCTTATGATTAATGAAAACAAGTATCACCATTCGCTATCAGATGAATGACTGTCTATATAATCTAAAACAGGAACTGATTGCCAATTAATAATAAGTCTCCCGAGTATGAAGCCGGGGGGGGGGGGCTCGAGGGGCTTCAGCCCCCCCCCTCCCCGAAATTCTCATGGTGGTTCGCGAAAAGGCCTTACTGGTGCATTATTTAAGCTGTTATGTTTATTCATATCATGATCTGATCACCATACTCAATATATCCCATATGCATGGGGGTATTGGGGTAATGATACAAAAGGTTTGCTAGGCTAGACCCTCTTTCACTCAGACTCAGCCCCCCCCCCCCAAACTCAGGCCCCCCAACCCCCCCCCCCCCGAAAAAAATTCACACACACCCCCCAAATGAAATCCTGGCTACAGGCCTGCTCCCAAGTACTCTTTGTTACACTCAGCCTTTACAGGTTATTCATGAAGCACTTGCGGCTTAACTGAATTATATGTGGCTTCACTGCCATGTAATCCAGTTCAAAGCAGATAATCTAGATCCAGAAACTGGATTATATGGCAGTGTAGATGGGGCCTAAATTAACTGTATGAGATTTAAAATTGGCTAATTATGGGGCTCTTGCAGACAGGCCCTTTATCCCAGGATCAGATCCCAGATTTTCTGATTTAAACTGGTTTATATGAGTCCACACTGCCAGATAATCTGGGATAAACAGAAAACCTGGGATCAGATCCTGGGATATAAGGCCTGTCAGGAAGGGCTCTGTATTAACCAAGGCCATGGCTGTTCTCTTATGAACATTATGTTATATTTATTTCAGCATGCACATACCTTCCCTGCTTAATTTTTTTAATAAACCATATGCTAATAAGTGATTTTCCAGGATGGCAAGACACAATTTAAGCCAAAAGGCAGAAATAAAATGCCTGTTCCTGGCTCACTGGGGGGAAAATATTAAAGATTTTAACATTGCACTAAAAGATATATAGAAAAATTAAAAGGTGAAAAGAAGAGAAAGAAAAAAGAAAGCCATGACTCCCAAGCACTTTTTCAGAATGTATACCACTTTGGCCCCTTCCACATATCTGAAAAGGAATTAATTACTTAATTACTAAAAACCAAACCCTGCCATTCTTTTCTGGAGCTGGCATCACAAAGTGTTTTTTCTTCCCTGTCATTTGATCTTCTGGGGCTCCTTCCACACAGATGAATAAAATCCCACATTATCTGCTTTGAGCTGGAATATATGGCAGTGCGGGTTCAGATAACCCAGTTCAAAGCAGATATTGTGGGATTTTCTGCCTTGATATTAATTCACAAGGTTACTGAGGGCCCTTTCACACAGCTCTATATCCCAGAATATAAATATGTGAGAGGAAGTCACATGGAGGAGGAAGCCAGCTTGTTTTCAGCTTCCCTGGAGACTAGGACGCAATGGCTTTAAACTACAAGAAAGGAGATTCCACCTGAACACGAGGAAGAACTTCCTAACTGTGAGAGCCGTTCAGCAGTGGAACTCTCTGCCCCGGAGTGTGGTGGAGGCTCCTTCTTTGGAAGCTGTTAAACAGAGGCTGGATGGCCATCTGTCAGGGGTGCTTTGAATGCAATTTTCCTGCTTCTTGGCAGGGGGTTGGACTGGATGGCCCAGGAGGTCTCTCCCAACTCTATGCTTGGAATTTGAGATTTCTTTTTTCCCCGTGGGTTTTGTAACACTTGCATCTATACCAGGCCTGGGCAAACTTAGGCCTTCCAAGTGTTTTGGACTTCAACTCCCACAATTCCTAACTGCCTCGGGCCCTTTCCTTTTCCCTCTCAGCCGCTTAAGTGGGAGGTGAAGTCCAAGTTTGCCCCCGTGCCTGGCACAGATGCAGAGCAAGAGAAGGCAAAGGGCGGGGGGGGAGGGGGGGCTCAAAGCTGCAGCTCCCTGCGCTAGCAAAGAGAAACCTCAGCCACCAGGACTTACGATCAGGAGTGGAGAAGACCCCGCTCCCTCCAGGCACGCAGAAGCGGCGAAGGCCGGGGATTTTCCGCCTCTGCGATCCTGGGTCAGTCCTGGAAGGAGCCCACAGAGCCGCTCTCTGGCCTCGGGAGGTTCCCCCACTCGCCGCCAGGGGGAGCCCGAGGCGCTCGCCTTCACCCAGGACTGCGAGCGGATGGAGTGCTATTGGGCGTGCACCTGTTTCTTTAAATACATATTAATGCACTAGCCGCCCCCTGTCACGCGTTGCTGTGGCCCAGTCTAGTCATCTGGAAAATAAAGTAATGAGAAAGTGTTGATTTCTAATATATGTCATTTCTTTATGCTTGTTGGGTAAACAATATTTCTTGCTGTTTATTTGTCAGTGTTGATGTGGAGATTGTCTGGTTTGCCTACTCTGGAGCATGCAGCATAGAACATACCATTGTCCTTCTTTAGGAGTCCCTTTCAAATCTTTGATACTATATCTGTCAAATAAATACATGTATGCGACTAGCTGTCCCCTGCCACGCGTTGCTGTGGCCTAGTCTAGTGATCTGGAAAATAAAGTAATGAGAAAGTGTTGGTTTCTAATATATGTAATGTCTTTATGCTTGTGGGTAAACAGTATTTGATTATGTTTTCTTGCCCTGGTGAAGGGACTGTGACTGGGTGGCCTTAAGTATTTTCTATTGGTCATGGGGTTCTGTGTGGGCAGTTTGCTCCAATTCTATCGTTCGTGGGATTCAGAGTGCTCTTTGATTGTAGGTGAACTATAAATCCCAGTAACTACAACTCCCAAAGTCTATTTCCCCCAAGCTCCATCTGTGTTCATATTTGTGCATATGGAATATTTGTGCCAAATTTGGTCCAGATCCATCATTCTTTGAGTCCACAGTGCTCTCTGGATGTAGGTGAACTACAACTCCCAAACTCAAGGTCAATGCCCACCAACCCCTTCTAGTGTTTTCAGTTGGTCATGGGAGTCCTGTGTGCCACATTTGGTTCAATTCCATCATTGGTGGAGTTCAGAATTCTCTTTGATTGTAGGTGAACTATTAATCATAGCAACTACAACTCCCAAATGACAAAATCGTATTTTTTTTTTAGTGATGGTCAGTCATTGGGTTGTTAGGTGTACTGTGTCCAAATATGGTGTCAATTCGTCCAGTGGTTTTTGAGTTATGTGAATCCCACAAATGAACATTACATTGTATTGTCGAAGGCTTTCATGGCCAGAATCACTGGGTTGTTGTAGGTTTTTTATATAAATTCATTCTCCAGATCTTCACCATAAGGGAGGGCAGCAGCATCAAAGCCATACCTATTTGCTTGGCTGCATTATTCTACGCTGTAGAACAGGCATGGGCAAACTTCAGCCCTCCGGGTGTTTTGGACTTCAATTCCCACAATTCCTAACAGCTGGTAGGCTGTTAGGAATTGAAGTCCAAAACACCTGGAGGGCCGAAGTTTGCCCAGGCCTGCTGTAGAAGCACTGCCATTTGACTCCACTCAAACTGCAATGTAATCCAGTTTGGGGAGGCACCAGCATCCTTTAACAGAGAAAGATAAAAACCCTGAAAAACTACAACTCCCAAGATTCTGTATCATTGAGCCATGGAAATTAAAACGGTGCCAAACTGCACTGTAATTTTATTCTTATACCCCACCTCTATCTCCCAAAGGGTCTCAGGGCGGCTTACATGGAGCCAAGCCCAATCAACAAAGTTAAAACATAGCATATACAAAATACATAACATCAGTATAAAAACATTAGAACAGTATATAAAGCACTGATTCTGCAAATGCACCCAAGTCGCTCCTGGTTTATTGCTTCCCGGTCAGGGAGTTTTCTTGGCAACCTTCATACAAATTTTTATTTTGGTCTTTGCTTCACTCTTTAGGTTGAGAGAGTATCACCCAGTGGGTTTCCAACACCTCTATACCGTAGAGTTAATGCAGCTTAACACCACTGTAACTGCTTTTATGTATTTCTTTACCCTATTTATACCCCACCTTTCTCTACCCCAAAGGGGACTTAAGGCAGCTTACAAGAGAGGCAATTATTCAATGCCAAACACATACAATTCCAAAATTAAAATTAAAGACTAAAACTTAAGTTAAAATTAATACATATTAGATATTATATAACATTCCATTCCATATTAAAATCACACCATCCATAATCGTAGTCCAAGCCCTTCTTTGGTCATTGCACATATTCCAACTGTTGGAATTCGACCCCACGCTGCCCAAGTCTGCAGTCCTCAATGAGAAACAGTTTGCTAGCTTTAGAATAGGCTGAAGGAATCCCTTCCCCCCCTAACTCCTGACTGACAGAAGGAATATATCTATTCGTTCTCTTTCTGCTCTCATTCTGATCGGTTGTGTAGAATGGATACCTTGCAGGTGCATGCCTTAATTTCAGACTTCCGTTTTTTACATCTTAGTGTATTGAGACCTCTCTCTGCTTGTGTGTGTCAGGAGAGATGTAGTGCTTGGAGATTTCCCCCCCCTTTTTGAGCCCTAGAAGAGATGGAGTTAAAGTAGCTCAGACCCAGTTCTTTACGATTAAAAGATCTAGTTACTATTTTTTGTAAATAATAACCTTGTGTAACTTTAAAGACTGAACTCTGCATCTTTGCCTCCTAAAATCTAAATTCTTTCCCAGCCACAACACTTCACGTTCTGCTTACTGTGAGCCGAATGCTCAACTATAAGTATCCTGTTTGTATTTTTGGATGCTCTGCTATTTTGGAAGTTTTCCCTAACAGTAACTACCATGGCTCAATGGCTATGGAATCACTGAAGTTGTTGTTTGGTTAGGCACATGTGCATTCTTTAGCAGAGAAAGCTGTGGACCTTGTAAAACTAAAGTTCCCATGATCTCACAGAATTGAGCCATGACAGTTAAAATATGAAATGAAATACTTTAGATGCTATGAAATTCATGTGATCGTTATAAATTGACAGGCATCTTGATAGCAGGCAGGCAGATGTAGATTGATAGATAGATATGCTGACTAACTTTTTGTGTATGTGTTTGCCTTCAAGTCACCTGCCAGCTTTTCTTGGGCAATGAATGCTCAGAGGTGTTTTTGCCAGCTCCTTCCTTTGAAATATAGCCCACAGTGCATTGTATTTGTTGGCAGTCTCCCATTCAATGTGGCTTCCAAGATCAGACAGGATCTGGTGATTTTTTTAGGGTAATAAGGCCAGCTATTAAATCTTAAACAACAGTATGCAAAGAAATCTTGACTTTGTACATTGATATTCCAGACAAACTGAGCTGTGTCTTTGAATACAAAACTAGTATTGCATCTGTTACAAGCTACTTTGTCATCATGTCCAATCATCTGCAGAGCAGCTTTATACAGAGAGCCCAATAAAAGAAAGGTTTCTAAATCTACTTTATGTAATATTTTGATCCCCAGAGATAATGCTGTCTCTGCTACCTGTAGTCTATTTTGCTATAAGTTAATAATTTATTTAATAGCCGAAAGGTGTCTATTGTTGCCTAAGAGATACAAGAGATGGATGAGAGAGACGACTTACATTCAAATATCAACACTGTTCAATGGCCTATAGTGGTTCTCCTAAAAGGAGTTGTATAGGATTATAGTCCAGCCCTAGGTATTTTATTCCAAACTACCAAACAGTATATTAAATATGAACATTATTCCATAATGAGTGTACAGATATATGGCAGCTTTAGCATTTTGCACATTAACACTTTAATTGGAATATTTTTTTCTAAATATATATCAAAAAAACTTTTTAAAGTGGCCTAATTATATTGATGCCTCCAGAATTATTTACTTTATTATGAATTCATCCTTTTCTTCTTGGCATGCAATTCAAATCTGGTCCCTCTGAATGGGTGCTCATTAACATCTTCAGAATAAAACAACATAGCTCAATTAATTGTGATCACTGTGTGGTGTTCGGTGATCCATGTATAACTGCAGAAGGCTAGAAAGAGAAAAAGATGGATTGAATTATATTTCCAATTTCTAATCTATTCACAGAGATATGATCCAAGACAGTTGGTTTCATGACACACTACATTCAGTACATGTCTTTTGCTACTCTTAACAAATATCTAGATTTTAAACCAAAGGAAGTTAACTTTTGATAAGCAAATTTATTACTCACGCATCAACATTATAATGATCTGAAATACTGGTTTCACATTACGGAGCACTCTGAATATTTAGAGTCATGATTTGCATCATTCTGGAGCCTTTTAAAATTGTTTTAAAGGCACCTTTTAAAACATTTCATTTTACTTGTTTTTTCTTAATTTCTTCTTATTGTCTTACTTTTTTGTATTTCATTTTTTCTATATTTTCAAATGTATTTTTAACCCTAAATATTCTGAAATAATAAGTAAGGTATGCCTTTGTGGATATAAATGAAGCTAATAATACTGCAAGTCACAATATCCCTTATCCAAATTTCTGAAATCCTCCAAAATTCAAAAATTTCTTTCTGACCCAAACTTTGTTTCATGCCCAAAATTTTAGAAAACGTGATATAGAAAATGACCGTAGGGCTATGTGAATAAGGTTATATGACATGGGCCCCATCCCCAAGATTATGTATAAGGAAATATTCCATAATAATAATAATAATTCTATGAAATATAAATAATGTGGTTTTTAGACTTGGGTCCCATCTCCAATCTATTTCATTATGCATAAACAAATATTCCATAATTATAATAGTAATTCTATGCAGCGGGTTACGCCGCTGAGTTGCTGAACTTGCTAACTGAAAGCTCAGCAGTTCAAATCCGGGGAGTGGGTTGAATTCCCACTGTTAGCCCTAGCTTCTGCCAACCTAACAGTTCAAAAACAAAATGTGAGTAGATCACATTCCACTTTTCTACAGACTTTGGCGGGAAAGTAATGGTGCCCCATGCAGTCATGCCGGCCACATGACCTTGGAGGTGTCTACTTACAAGGCTGGCTCTTCAGCTTAGAAATGAAGATGAGAACCAACCCCCCACCCCCACCCCGAGTCAGACACAACTAGACTTAATGTCAAGGGGAAACTTTTACCTTATGAAACATAAGTGTCTTATTTAGACTAGGGCCCCATCTCCAACATTTTTCATTATGCATAAACAAGTTTTCAATAATAATAATAATAATAATAATTGCATTAACTATATACTCGTTTGCTGTGACATACTGTGCTTTTGTGTCAATAATAATTGCATCATTATAATAATACTTGCAAAAGAAAGTATTCCAAAATAATAACATAGAGTATATATGAAACATAAATGTCTTGTTTAGACCTTCAGGTATCTCATTATGCATAAGCAAGTATAAAAAACAAACAAGCCTAAAACCCTAAGCATTTCCAGTCCCAAACATTTTGAATTAGGGCTATTCAGGCTGTAATCATCATTCTGAATATATTTTCCTCTGGCTTCACCACTAGCAAGGAGAGGAAACTTCTCCAAACAGGCGCTCTAATCAAAGCCTCCAATCCTGAGAGGGAGAAATAGAGCGCCGTGGTGACGTCAGGCCCAGAGCGTCGTTGTGACGTTAGGGTGACGTAGACACGCAACTGGTAAAGGGAGACTGCCAAACAGCAAACACCAATCAAGGCCTCCTATCTAGTGGAGAATTAGAAAGGAAGCCTAGAACGTCGAGTGACGTGGTGACGCAACCCGGAAGTAGCCGGGCTCTCATTTTCCGGAAATAAACAACGCTATCCCTCCCCTGCCCGTGGGGCCTGCTTCGTTTGAACCGTTGTAAACGGTTGGTGGGAGTGGAGAGGGTAGGGAAAGGGCCCTCGCCCATAGCTCAGGATGCTGCGGGGCCTCGGGGGCTGGTTCGGGGTGAGCCGGGCGGAGACGGAGGAGGGAGAAGCCGGGCAGGGCGAGGCGGGCCCCGGGGCGGCGGCGGCGGAGGAGGAGAGCGGCGAGGAGCAGGTGGAGTTCACGGTGGAGGCCGGCTCGGACTCGGACACGGACCCGCTGCTCAGCCAGGCCAAAGGGATCGGCAGTGAGTCTCCCTCCCTTCTCTTCTTCTCCCGCCCCCCATCGCCCATTTATCTCTCTCGCTCTATAAAAGTATGCATGTTTGTGCCACGAAGGCTCCTACATGGCTTGATGAACCTGAGCCAAACCTGGCACACACATACCTCACTGTCCAACATAAAACAATTGAGGAGTTTGAATGAAAAAAAAGACGCCCCTTTCGATCCCAGAGCACAGGGAAAGGCAAGAAACAAAGCAGATTGGCAGTGGCAAGGTGAAGTGGCCCTCTGACTTGTGACTGGGCAATAAAACAGTCTAGCTGTTGCTAGATAACAGGAGTATGAAGAGAAGGAACGAAGGATACAACTAAGGAAAGGAAGGGGGGAGAAAGGGATCAAAGTGGATTAGCTGTTGCTAGGTGAAGTGGCCGTCTGTGATGTCATTGGGCACGAAAGGAGTGAAGCAGACTGGCTGGTGCTAAGTGAGGTATGTGTATAAAGGGGGAGGAAGAAAGAATGAAAAGTTAAGGAAGGGAAGAGAAGAAGGAACAAAGGAAGGGAGGGGAGAAACAAAGACAAAGGGAAGACTAAAGAAGAAGAGAAAAGAAAGAGTGGAAGGTGTTTGAGGAAAAACAAGGACAGAAAGAAAAGAAAGAGAAGGAGTGAGAAGGAGATAAAGGAGAAGAAAGACCCACAAACAAAATGCAAACTCAAGCAACTATGTCACTATTCCTACCACAATCTACACACATAGGTGTTTTAGATTTTGGAACAGTTGCCTACATATAAAGCACATGGGGTGCAGCTAAACCAGCTTGGCACCAGTTTAACTGCCATGCCTCAATTCTGTGAAATCCTGGGAGTTTTAGTTTGGTGAGGTACCGGCACTTTGATCAGGGAAGACTTGTAAAACTACAGTTCCCATGGTTCGAGAGTATTTTTAGCCACGGCCATTAAAGTGTCAAATTGCATTCCTTCTGCAGTGTAGAGGTGCCCTATACCTCACTATAAAGCTTCAGTAAGCAACTCCTAAGTGGTTTTTTCTGGAGTTTTGGAAATGGGACCCATGTCTGGACACAATATTTATTAATGCTTCATAGACACCATAAGCACATCACCTGAAGGGAATTGCATACTCAATAGTTTCAGTAATTGTGTGCATGAGTCAAAGCTTGTGTATGTTGAGCCATCTGAAAACAAAGGTGTCACTTTCTCAGCCACCTATATGGACAGTTTTTGGATTTTGGGAGTATTTGAAATTGTGGATAAGGGATGCACAATCTGTATTAATTTTGTTCCAGGTCTCCAATCACCTTAATCCAGGTTTGATTGTGGTTGAGAGCATGATACTTTTGAATGATTTTTACAGGCAATCATATAGAATGCATCCAGTGGAAATTGCCATAGAGGTGGTCTGGAGTACCTAGCAAATTCCTAGAGAGGAAACCTTACTAAGAATTTTCTAGGTACTCCAAGGTAACTGGTAACTTCCACTGAAAACCATTCATTTCAATACAGTTCACTATTATCTATGGTTTCCTCTTTCACAGTAAGTTCAGGAACATATTTCCCAAGGATATGAAGGTCATACTGTATTGCTTATTTTTATTTTAGTCCAAAAATGTAAATGCATTTTCGCATTTACACATTTGTAGAAAGTGGAATCAAGGATTAATCACATTAGCTAAATATTTATATAGGTTTATATACATTGCAGAGATACATCAATATGACTGTCAAAAGACATTGCATGTAGAAACTGAGAGTGCTAAGTGAGTTACTATCTTGAGTAGTCACAAAAATCCCATCATACCTCAGACTCATTATTAATAAAAACTAGTTTCTGAAGCCAAGAAAACAAAATATCCTGAGCTGAAATGGTGTCTTATTTCCAAAAGGTTATCTCTTCAGTTTTGCCAGTACGGCCACAAAAAAGATTTCTGAATCAGTTGCTGAAACGGCACAAACTATAAAGAAGTCTGTAGAAGAAGGAAAAATAGAAAATATAATTGACAAGGTACTTTTTCTGTTGTAAATATATTGTGAAATCTGACCTCTGCTCTGACATATCTTGCATCAAGTCATGTTTAAGGTTACTAGAATCTATGGAATTAACCATCAGTGAAGTGTTATGATCAACAACTTTATTCAGGAAAAAAATGAAATATATTCTAGGTCAGTTGTTAGCCAACACTTACTAAGCTAACAAATGTGTAGAATTGCTAGAATTTAGCATTATATTATATATATAATTCACATAAGCATTTGTCTGTGCCTGTCCTATTCCCATGAGTTCAGTTGCATACGCATAGCCATTCCACATAGAAAATGAATTGGGGCATACCTAGATTATCATGCATTTTCAGCATGCATATTGTAGCTTATTTGCTACATTAAAATGTAGCACTAGTATTTTTCCGTACACTGCTTTCAAATGATGGTTTAAAGAATTACTATAAGGTTCTATGTAAAACTAGCAACAGTTAGACATATCTAAATATGATGTAAACTGAGTAGACAACACACTTTTGAGATTACAAGCAGAAATGAATGTTCATGATTGTAGATCTATATGGAAGGGGAGCATTTACTTTATACAGAATTTTGGCTACCCTGTGATATAATATCTCACCTTAACAAGACCAAAATATGTACTTAGACCCTTCACAGCAGGACCAATCAAACTAGAAAGCTTTGGACTATAGTTACTGGGTTCATAACGAACAATATTAAACTTCAGCTGTGTGACTTTGGGCAAGTCATATCTCTCAGCCTCAGAGGAAGGCAAAGATAAATCCCACTCTAAACAAATCTTGCCAAGAAAACCCTGCAATAATTCAGAAATTACTTAAAGGCACACAACAAATGAAATAAATTCCCAGTTATGTCCACTCCCTTTTAAGAATTGGCATTCTGCTTTTTAAGCTAGTCTTTGCTTTGTGTGCTTGTGTTGAATGACATGGGCAACATGCAGCCTTCAGCTCAACAAGCATCTCCATTTCTCCTCCCATCAGGAAAAACACAGCTGTTTTGGCAGCACATAGACAGATCATGCCTGAGGTTGTGGCAGAAGGTCACTAGACTTTCTGCTTCTGTAGTCATGAGATGGAGGCAGGCTCTAACTTCCCTCTCAGTGACCCTGGTCTATGTTACAACACATGTTGTTAGTAGAGGAAGAGGGGCAGGCCATGGCAGATGGTATTGCAGGGAGGAAAGAAAACATGCAAAATGTGAACATATCTCTGTATTCAGTCTCACAATCTTTGTATGAAGCAACATTGTGTTTGAATTACTTGAGCTAGATACACTAGTGAACCCTTTCCAGGCACTAGATTTTTTTAATGTTTCTATTGTAGCTCAGAGTGACAAGGTTCCTTTTCTACATATCAATCAGTAGCTAGTGGTGATATGACTTTGAATAATCTAACACTTTTTCCTATTTTGATATTAGGTTCACATTCAGTTATAGTAGAAAGACTATGTTTTTCAAATTTAACTTAACCTTGATTCTTTTCATTAAATGCATCACTTATTTTATCTTACAGACAATTATAGGAGACTTTCAGAAGGAACAGAAGAAATTTGTTCAAGAACAACATACCAAAAAACCAGGTATTTGTGAAATATTGTCAGTAAAACTAGAATAATGCTCAGCCCTACTCAACCCTTAACATAATAGAATCTACTGGAAAGTATTTTTGTAACTATTTCAGTAGCTTTTGCTTGAAATATAAAATTTAGAGTTAGGTATTGCTACTTTTTGATTTCACACACTTGGTCATTAGCATTTTAAGACACTGCTTGTTTTAACACAATATTTTGTAGAAAGGAAAACTTCTTGTGAGTAAACATACAGGGAATTATGGTTTTTGCATTCTTGAAGTCATTCTAATTTATGTAAAGACTCAGATAATTTAAGGCCCCTTCCACACTGCCACATATCCCAGGGTCCAATCCCAGATTATCTGCTTTAAACTGGATTATATGAGTCTTCAGTTCCAGATAATCTAGGATAAACAGATAATCTGAGATCAGATCCTGAGATATAAGAGCAGTGTGGAAGCGGCCTCAGAAATATTTTAGATCTCTTAGTACTTGAATGTGTTGACTATTGCAAGTACAGATTAATTTTGCTCTCTGTGAAAGCATTAATACACTGGATATTAATAGTATATGTCTTGCTTTTTTGTTTTAGAGTAAACCTTGAATAAGGCAGGTGTTAGTTTATATACATTTGATTATATACATATATCCCTGTTACAGTCTCCTGCATACCCAATATGTACCAAGAATATTGGGAAAGGGTTACCTGAGCTCACTCAAATGAAGCTGGAAGAAGTACAGAAACCTGTCTTAAAATAGCTAATGTATATATGGGGGGGGGGGGGGGGGGAGAGAGAGAGAATGCACTTTTTATCTGGACATATGTAAACTAAAAATGCAAAATACAAGCAGTTGTGGAAACTATAGTAACATTGCTTATGTTAGCACAACATTTCATAAAATGTATGTTTGCGATGTGAAATACCTAAAATTCCCATTTTAAAAACATTTTGATACACTTTATCAAAATAATCCACGTTTGAATTCCTGTTCCTCCTGCCAAGAATATTCTATTTCTGAGTTTGTCCAGAATGTTGAGTTGTGTTTAAGAAAAGGTTTTAGTTTTCCACATACTTTGGAAGAGTTAACAGTTAGAATTCACTGCATTTATAGTCTATTCGCTTTCTGACAATCACTGCTCTATGTTATTGTTTCAACTACTCTGTGACAATGCGAGAGTATATCAGACTGGTACAAAATTCTGCTCAACTGGATTTTGGTCAATGACCTAGTGGTTATAATTTAGAATTTTAATCATAATACTACATTGCTTCCCCAATGTAAATTGCCTAGGGGCATATCTCACTTTAAAAATATTGGACACAAGCTTCAATGAAATTATCAGAAGCAGTGTGAGAATAGGCATTTTCTGTCTTTCGCCTCTAGTTTCCCCTTGGCACATCCAGAGTGTCCATCTCTTTGGAACAGATATTTAGAGAAAACAAGGAACTGTATGAATAAGTAATAAATCAGTGAAAATCACTGCTTTAACTCACCATTATATGGAAAGGGACTTCACTCTAAGGCCCTTTTCACACAGCTGAATAAAATCCCACATGATCTGCTTTGAACTGGGATATACTGTAATGTGGACTCAGATCACCCAGTTCAAAGCAGATATTGTGGGTTATTCTGCCTTGATACTCTGGGTTATATGGCTGTGTGGAAGGGCCCTACGATATCTGGATCCAACCCCAAATGTTTGATTTCTAACTTTAAAAAACGAAGTCTCCTTTTCAGATTTGTGGTATAACATTTTTGAAAGAGTTTGGGCAGTGATTTGTGGTGCACAGTTCAAACTGAGCAATCACATCTTAAAATAAAAAAAAAATACCTTATTAACATTCTTCAGGAAGGTAAAGGATATCTGCTATATCCTGTTAGGTGTATTATAAAATATCTCACTTTTCACTTGCAGAGGCAGCTGTGCCACCCTGGGTAGATAGCAATGAAGAAGAAACAATTCAGCAGCAAATATTGGCCTTATCTGCAGTAAGTAGTAATTTGTATGTGGTAGGGGGTGGTTTAGCCCATATCAGTATTTTCCTTGAAAAACAAATGTTTCAATTCATATTTACCTAAAGATTAGACTTTGGAAGTTGCCTTTCATCCCCATACATTTCATAAGATTTTCTTAAACAAGGAATGTTCAAGAAGGGTTTGACAATTCCTTCTTCTGAAATATACACTACACTAATTAAACCAATCATTTGTAAAGTTTAAATGGGTCATATTCACTGGTGATACAGTGAAAACTTTGGGGGTTTTTTCCCCATGTGTTTTGTAAAGTCAGCTGTGTGAACTATTTCCTTGTTCAAAATAATGTATTGACAGTACCATCTTAATATTTCCTCCATTAACAACTGGTCTTTATTTTATGAAGGACAGAAGAAACTTCCTGCGTGATCCACCTGCAGGGGTACAGTTTAATTTTGACTTTGATCAGATGTCTCCAGTGGCAATGGTAATGCTTCAGGAGGATCAGCTTCTGAATAGAATGAGATTTGATCTAGTTCCAAAGCAGTAAGTGATCCAACTATATTTTCCACTGTCGAATTAATTACTTCTGTAGTCACATCTCTGAGTAAAATAATAGTTATACATTAACTAACATATTACTTCTCTAATATTCTCACTTCAGTTGCTAATACTGTCTCTCTCTTCCCCCCCCCCCCATATATAGTGTGTATGTGACTTAATAATTATGGTGTATGATCAAAATTTGAAAAACCACAATCTCTTAAGAATATTCAACAAGGAATTTCTGTGATACATTTTCAAATATTTTCATGCTGACTAACTAAATATGACATTCTACTTTTCTTAGAGTCAAAATTAAATATTTGAAAATGTATTACAGAAATAGTAATAACTTGCCCAAACTCTCTTGAAAGATCCACGGGATTCAATGCACATTACAAACATACCCATGTGAAGCAAATTCACCCTGAAGAAAACAGTAGCATTTCATACCTTTCTGTGGGACAGTGTGCAGTGCAGTATTTGAATGCTAACTGTACACTTAAATCATGCATGAAGTTATCCTTACTGATTGAATTAAGTGGATTATTAATAAAGTAAGGATAGTGTGTTTTAGATGCATCCATATCCATCCTCTTTCACATTACTTGGGCTGTAATTTTACTAATTCTCCCACATCATGTATTTAATTTGCATGTGAAATGTGCTTAGTGCTAACATGTGGAATCAGATACAGCCTCCTAAGTTTTTTCTGTTTGTTCTTAGAAACAATTTTCTGATAGAATTGTGTGTGCGTGAGGAGCGACTTGAGAAACTGCAAGTCGCTTCTGTGTGAGAAAATTGGCTGTCTATAAGGACATTGCCCAGGGGAAGCCCGGATGGTTTACCATCCTGTGGGAGGCTTCTCTCATGACCTCGCATGGGAAGCTGGAACTGATGGACAGGAACTCACCCCACTCCCTGGATTTCAACTTCCAACTACAATGCATTAAACCCTTGTGCCAGCAGTAGTGTGCCACCAAGGACTCCATTAAAAAATATTTAGTTGTCTACTAGAGTAAGCACCTGAAAATCTGTCTATTCTGTGCTATAAACCTGCTCATTTATTAAAGTCATATATTTACTGTCTCCAGCGTGAAGGAAGAAGTTTTCTGGAGAAATTATTTTTACCGTGTCTCACTAATTAAACAGTCTGCACAACTCACAGCACTAGCTGCACAACAGCAAGCAGTGAGAAAGGAGAAGAATGGCAGTGAAGAAGAAAGACAGCTAACAGGTAGGTATTTATTTTGATCAAGAATTTCACTATATAGATTCCTGCACTTGCAAATAAGATATGTCGTGAAAGATTATGTCTTTGGAATTCTACAGTTTGCCTTTTCCCCCTTAGAAACAGTGAGGCCGAAAACACCACCAGCAGCAATCAAGTCTCAGCTAAAACCCCAAGAGGTAAAGTGAGTCTGTACTAATATATAGCATAAGGATTTTCTATGCTTATGTTAATCCAAATGTTCCCCCAGGAGATGTTCACTTGAAACATGGGTTTAAATTGATGTCCTGGAGATTTAGTAATATTGGTCATTCTGCAGGCAGTTGCCTAGAGAAAATTATTCTACCTAACCAGGAAATATGCACTATTTTGTTCCCCCCTCCACATCACATTGTTCTTGTTTACCGGGTGTTAGTAATGACTTTGTAATATTAATTTAAAAGCAGTAAGCGGGAGGAGAGTGTAAGGACCACCACACATTCAGAATGCTTGACTATTACAGCAAGATGGAGAGGGTAATAAATGTAAGGTGTACAGAATATAAGTAGATACACTTTGAATCTCACTCCTGACCCATTCCCTATGATAGGGAAATATTATAAGTGTCTGTACAAGCAATGAAAGCAATTGAATTTTAAATACCCTATCTCCTTTAAAAATTTACTTAAGGAAGATGAAGAGATTTCCACTAGTCCAGGGGTATCAGAGTTTGTGAGTGATGCTTTTGATGCATGCAGCCTGAATCAGGAAGATTTGAGGAAAGAAATCGAACAGCTTGTGCTTGACAAAAAGAAGGATACAACCACAGAGGAAGGTAAGTCATTGTTCATATTCTATTAGCTTTAGTGATCGGGTGCTAAATTGGTTGAACTCAACATTTTCTTTTAAATAGTCACCACCTCCCATTTCTGACAGGTTTTGCATCAGTTTTTAGAACAGATCAAATATAGAAAGTATTATGGTTTTATTCTAAATACATATTTTATGTAACTTATTAAATTGCCAGCTGAGTTGTCCCTTTTTAAATATTTTGTCTGTAGCAGTGTGTAAAGAGAAAGTTTTAGAGTGTATTTGAATGTCAAAGCAGATAGGAAAGGGTCTTCCTCCAATGAAACATGTTTTTATAGCAGAGAATTTTGTATAGAATTGTAAAAGGGATTTTTTGGGTTTGTGTATAAAATATAGTCTCAAGTATTTTTAGATACTGCCAGTGGAACATCTCAAAATTACGGCAGCAGGAAAACCTGTCATAGACGCAGCTATGATTGGAAGCAATTCCAGTCAATAATTATGTTTTGGTTTTTGCTCCACAAATGTATGCCTAAGAGGTGTGAAATGTGAATTAAAACATTGTGTCAGCTAGCACTTAGCCTCACAAAACCTTTTCATCAGACGTCCTCTTAAGTTGAAATGACTGACATTAGCGTAGGTCCCCATATTCAACATCTGCCATCTACTTAAATCTGTAGATGGCAGATACAAATAAAAAATTTTTTAAATGTTATTTCCAATTATACAGTCCTTTCAGTCTTACTCTTCTGGATGTATAGATAGGGTCTTTTAAAAGTAAATGTTACAAGACATCTTTTACCTCTCTTATGATGAAAGTCGCATGGCAGTCTCTGAAAATTGCTATAACAATGGAAATTTTCCCAGAAAGTCACTTTGAATCCCCTTTAGGGGAGATAAATTAGGGTATAAATAAATGTAATAATAATAAAACAAGACGTAATTTTTATGAGCAACATTATGCAATCAAGTACACTTGGCATATTTCCTTTCTGTTTAGAAGAAACTGCAGACTGGGAGAAAGAACTACAACAAGAGCTTCAAGAGTATGAAGTAGTTACAGAATCAGAAAAGCGAGATGACAACTGGGACAAAGAAATAGAGGAAATGCTACAAGGAGAAAACTAACCACTTTGGAGATATGTGTTCTGGAAACTGACATGAACTTGTTTTTATATTTTCTTCAGAGGTCTGCTTCCTGAAGCAAAACATGCTCTTTCATAAATAATACTCCAGGTGATGTGTAATCAGGTATAAGAACTGTTTTATGAAAATGTTGTTCATAGTGTAGTGGGCTCTAAGGCACTAAGAGTTGTTTTGATTTCAGTGTTGGGTGTTTTCCAACAGCCTCACTGTTTGTGAGGTTAAGGGAATTGCAAAAGTGAGTTTTAGAGCAGGACAGAAAGATATCTAGCACATGTCCTTGAAAAGTAATATGCACCTAAAAGGGCCTTCTGGATCACTGTGCATTTTAATTATTTTGTTATCTTTGGGTTCTCGAAAAATGCTAGTTGGATTTTCAAGACATGAATGAATATCTATTTAAGAAAGTTTCTGTGGACTGATTTATGTAGTGAAAAACAGGTGTTCATCTGCTTTCATGCAAATGATGGTACATCATGTTGGTGCTGCTCTCTCTCTCTCATTTATAAATACATGGAAAGATATCCATTAAAATCTATCAAATGTTGGCATCTGTTGTCTCAAGAAGTATCATCAACCTTGGGTTTCAATATGTTTCTTCTTGAAATATATTTGGCACATCTGAGGTTTTCATTCTAAAGACAGTATTTTCATGTGAGTCAAAAGAGATGCTAAAGTGTGTACTATAGGGAAAAGGGTAACTGTGTGTATATTCAGATAAAAGACTAATTTTCTGTAGTTTGGAAAGAAACTACTTCAGCTGAATAAAGGCAAAGAGAAATGTTCTGTGAACAGTATGGAGATGATCTGATTTGCATATTACAATTAGCCATGTTCTTGGTTAGTTTTGGCATCTGTGAGCAAGCACTGTTTGTTTACTGTGCAATCTGAATTTTACATGAACAGACACTCTGGCTTGGTAAGGTAGAAATTACCTTGAGAAACAACGTGTGGCTCATTTGGGGTTCTCTAAAGCTTCCCACAGGAGAAAGAGAACCAGACAGTTTTCACTCCTGCCTTGTTCACACCTCACATTAACTCCAATTAATTCTGCTTTTCTCATGCACAAGAAATCTGGCTTCCTGTAACATCTAAACACTTCCAGTGAGTAAAATATGTTTAACAGTGTGGAAAAAAAGAGTAATTTAGTTGTATCATTTACTTTATTATATCAGGCATTAAGTACTATGAGCTGCACGACTTCTGGAAGTAAACAGGTTGGAATCAGATGAACATTGATGTCCAAGGCATTTTTATTAACTCTACTTAATGTCCAGGATATAAAAGAATACCCAAATAAAACTCTCAATCATAATTAAGACAGTTTGCTACTCTGAAATGTATTATAAAAACAGCATAGCTGTAATCTATTTAATATATTGAGTTGATATGCAAATGCACCTGATACTGCAGGTAATAGCCAGTAGTTGCCATGATATCCTATTAATCTATGACATTGTCCAATGTCCCTTTAAAGTGGTCCAAATTGGGCAGCTTGAATTAACATTATTCCAAGTTTGATTGTACTACTGATTTATTTATTTATTTTTTTGAGATCAGCATGGTATTGTAATTTTCTGATCCCTTTTTTATTTTTCCAAGATGGATTTCAGTTTTTAAAAGCTTCACACATGAAGTGGATCTTTTTTTGGTCTACCAAATCAGATCCTCTCAAGTGTGTATGTGTTCGAGACACCTAATTCAGCCATGATATATTTGGGATTCTGTTCTGGGCAAGTTTATACTGTAGCATGCAACTGTTACACTTGCTTCAATTGAATCTCAGTTGTCATTTTAATGCCCTTCAATTCGCAGAGCTCTTTTTAGAACTTGGTCCAATCACTTCAGTTATGTCAACACACATGGCAATTTCATTATTTACTCCCAATCACAGATCACTTAACAAGTTAAAAAACATCCACCTAATACAGATCCTTGGAACATCGCTTATTTCCATTGTTGCGTTTTTAAAATTGTACATTTATTCCTGTTATGTTTTCTGTTCTTTAAGTTTTCTTACCTAGATCTGCCGAGACTATCCCTGATCACATATTTATTGATTCTCAAATAAATTCTAAAATACATTCAAGATAAATGACATTTTGAAACTAAGAAGCTTCAGCTTCTGCATGTAGAACATTGGAAGGTCAAAATTATTTAACGGTGGACAGTTTGCAGTTACATTGTTGACAGAGTTTGTTGTTATCCAACAAAATCTTTTGTCTAATTTTTATCTGGTTGCTGAACTGGATTTTGTATGCGGAACTCTTCCTTTTTTGGAAATTGTGTTAAAATAATAGGCTCTCTGGTTTGAGGATATGGGTTATTATAAAAGCTTTGCTTCATAGCAAATCTCTAGTAGCCGTTAAGTCCTGATCATGTTTTGATTTGGTTTTTATGAGCCGGTGTATAGTTTATTTCTACTAGGAAATATAAAAATATTACATAGAGACCTTTTCTCTACTTGAATTAGTTCAAAGGCACTTGGAACATCTGGTACTTTTCCCGTACCATAAAAGCAAAGGGATGCTTTTCAGCACCTTCAGTCAGGAGTAAAACAGCTTATTTGGTTTAATAATTGGTGTAAACCCAACTCAACCTTATTTATTGGCAGGTAAGACAGAACCGAATAGTTCTGTACCCTGAATCATGAATAATGTTGGACATAGTTGTCCCAGTTCTCTTAGCTTAGGTCCTTTTGTAGTATGGATCCTGTCAAATTTATGGTTCAGTTAACTCCCACCAGATGAATTTGTTTCTAGAAGCAGGTTGAAATGACTTGAGTCCCCTCCGAGGTTAGAAAAGCGGGGGGGGGGGGGGGGGGGGTCACTGGAATTCAACAAGTGACTTGAAGGCACACATTATAATTACAATATATTTACTTTCAATGGTAACAGTATGCATTATGTGCTCAATTTCTGGTATTTTGTACAATGGGGAAATGCTTCATAATTTAAGGCAGACTATTCAGCAAATGTAGTGGAGTTGTGCCACAAACATCCGTATAAAACTGGGCATGAACATTTTTTAGAAGGCAATGACAGATATGTCTGAAAGATCTAAGAGGTGCTTTACTTAACAAGAAATTTAAAAACAACTTGCGTTCTTTGCCCTGAATGTACGAGTACTAGAAGCCAATAGAATGTATTGCTTAATACATATCGGGATGACAACAGAGGAATGGGGATTTGGGATGTCAAATTAATTTTGACCCCAATGCCATGACTCGGTGCTCTTGAATCCTAGGAGTTGTAGTTCCACAAGATCTTTATCTTTCTCTGTCAAAGAGTGGTGGTACTTCACCAAACTACAAATCTCAGGATTCCAGAGACTGAGCCATGGGAGTTCAAATGGGGTAAAAGTGCATTAAGTTGACAGTGTAGATGCATCTGTTAAGGCAATGGTTCCCAATCTGTAGTCCATCGACCACCAGTGGTCCACAAGAATTAAAATATGGTCCGTGGCCTCACCATTACTATACTGTTGCAATGAGAGCGAGACTGGTCTCACGAAACCCTCTTATAGTGCCAAGGCTTATTAAGTACTGTTTTCTTTGAAATGCAATTCAAAGTACTTTGAATGTAATTTTCCTGCTTCTTGGCGGGGGGTTGGACAGGGTGGCCCACAAGGTCTCTTCCAACTATGATTCTATAATTCTGTGGGCAAGCAGATGGCCACTACTGGATGGCATATGCTCTGTATCAGAAACTAGAGCTGATGTGGTCTATCCAATGCAATTTTCTGAATCAGCACCCTAAATAACCAAACAAAATCTAAAGTTGACCAAAAACTGATTCGTAACCCTTTTGGTACTAATGTCTGGACCATCCTCCAAAAATCGAGGGCCCTAACAAATTTGTGAACATCCTGCGGCTCCTCCATGATGACAACGGTTTTGGACAACAATGGCTCCCAGAGTGACCCATTTAAGGTGGAATCAGGTGTCAAACAGGGATGTGTTATTGCCCCAACTTTATTTTCCATCTTCATCGCTATGATACTTCATCTTGTTGACAGGAAGCTTCCCACCGGTGTTGAAATCACATATCAGACAGATGGTAAGCTATTTAACCTCAGCAGACTGAAAGCCAAAACCAAGGTTACAACAACATCTGTTATAGAACTTCTATATGTTGATGACATTGTCTGTGCAGATCCAGAAGACTACCTACAAACCACTCTAAACACCTTCGCAGAAGCATACGAGAAGCTCGGCCTGTCATTGAACATCGAGAAAACCGAAGTGCTCTTCCAGCAGTCACCAGCCAATCCTTCTCCAATGCCAGAAATACAGCTTAATGGTGTAACATTAGGAAATGTTGATCATTTCTGCTACCTTGGGGGCCACCTCTCCAAAAAAGTCAACATTGACACTGAAATACAACACCGCCTGAGCTCTGTGAGTGCAGCTTTTTTCCGAACGAAGCAGAGAGTGTTTGAGGACCAGGACATCCGTAGGGATACCAAGGTGCTTGTTTATAAAGCTATTGTCCTCCCAACCCTGCTATATGCCTGTGAAATGTGGACTGTCTACAGACGTCACATGCAACTCCGGGAACGATTCCATCAGTGCTGCCTCTGGAAAATCCTGCAAATCTCTTGGGAAGACAAGCGGAAAACGTCAGCATGCTGGAAGAAGCAAAGACCACCAGCACTGAAGTGATGGTCCTCTGCAATCAACATGTCCGAATGCCCAACCACCGTCTCCCAAAGCAGTTGCTCTACTCCGAACTCAAGAACAGAAAACGTAATGTTGGAGGACAGAAAAAGAGATTTAAAGATGGGCTCAAAGCCAACCTTAAAAACTGGCACAGACACAGAACTGGGAAGCCCTGGCCCTTGAGCGCTCCACCTGGAGGTCAGCTGTGACCAGTAGTGCTGAAGAATTTGAAGAGGCACGAATGGATGGCGAAAGAGAGAAATGTGCCAAGAGCAAGGTGCGTCAAACCAACCCCGACCAGGACCGCTTCCCACCTGGAAACCAATGCCCTCACTGTGGGAGAAAATGCAGGTCAAGAATAGGGCTCCACAGCCACCTACGAACCCACCCCCAGGATACTGAACTTGGAGGACCATCATCCTCGGACTAAGAGGGATCGCCTAAGTAATAAAGTAAGGTACTAATGTTGGAGAGTGGTCCCTGGTCAAAAAAAAGGTTGGGAACCACTGCTTTAAGGTAAAGCTCTTGTCTGGAACAACACACCAAAAAGTAGAGGTGGAATGTGCAGAGATCTCATCCAAAGCAGATAATACAAGGGACTCACCCTGGGTTGAACTCCTGTACTTTCCTGACAGAGCGGCTTAAGAGCAGCGGGCCCCTTGCAGCGCGAAGCATTTGCCTGCCGCCTCCGCGCGCCGAGAAAAGCGTACAGCCCTTAATAGGCTGCCACCTTCCCCATAGGGTGTCTCTCAAGTGAAAGGGCATGGGAGGTACTACATACAGAGAGAGAGAGAGAGTTGTCCCCATGTGCTTCTGCCGCAAGGGATGCTGGGGAGAGTAGTTCTCAATGGCTGAGGTGTGAGCCGGTTGGTCCTTTGGCGTCACGTGGCAAGAGAAAGCGCGCCCCGTGATTGGCTGGAGGGAGGAAGAGGAGGCGGGGAATGTGGCGGCGGAGGAGGGCTTCCGGTGTGGGCCGGCTTGTTTTGGCTCCTGCCGTCACAGTATGGCGGCGCGCGGCGGAGAGGCTCCTCAGGACCTGCCAGAGGGAGGGAGGCGCAGCGGGGAGGCGGAGGCGGCCTTGGCCTCGGACGGAGCCCGCGGAGGTCCTGAGGTAAGAGCCCGGCGGGTTTGTCTTCGCGGCTGGGCGAGGGAAGGATGGAGGGGAGAGGAGGCTCCGCTCCACTCCACGCGGCCGCGAGGGAAGCGGGCTCCGGCGCCTGAGGCCATTCCGTCCCGCCGCCTCCTCCTCTTCCTCGTCCCATCGTGGTCCTTAATACCACCATCCAACCTATATGTCGTTTTGCAGGAACACCACGAAACACAGCAAGGATGCCTCTAGCTCACGCATGAGCAAACTTCGGCCCTCCAGGTGTTTTGGACTTCAACTCCCACAATTCGGCTGTTAGGAATTGTGGGAGTTGGAGTCCAAAACACCTGGAGGGCCGAAGTTTGCCCATGTAAGGCACAAATGTAACTTGTGTTGCATTGCAAGCCCTACTGGCCGCATAAAATGACATGCCTTTGACGTGCACGATCTAAAATATCATTGTAGAGGCCTACAGACACAAAGGGAAGGAGGAAGAATAAGTCGCTATTGCACAAAAGCTGTGCTATAGTTGTGATAACTTGCAAAAAAGGAGAAAAAACCCACAGTGTAATACAAAACAACAGCCAAGGATATCGCAACTCATTTTCACAACAGAATCATAGAGTTGAAAGAGAGCATGTGGGCCATCTAGTCCAACCCCCTGCCATACAGGAAAAGCACAAAATATCCCCGACAGATGGTCATCCAGTCTCTGTTTAAAGGTTTCCAAGGAAGGAGTTCCCACCTCATTCTGAGGCAGAGAGTTCCACTGTTGAACAGCATATACAGCAAGGAAGTTCTGCCTAATGTTCAGGTGGAATCTCATTTTCTGTAATTTGAACCCTAGTTCCACTTTCAAGGGCAGCAGAAAACAGGCCTGCACCCTCTTATGACACCCTTTCACATATTTACACATGGCTATTGTCTCCTCTCAACCTTCTCTTCTGCAGGCTGAACATACCCAGTTCTTTAAGACACTCCTCATAGGTTTCCAGAACTTTTATCATTTTAGTCGCCTCCTCTGGACACCTTCCAGCTTGTCAATATCTCATTTGAATGGTGGTGCCCAGAATTGGATACAGTATTCCAGGTGAAGTCTATCCAAAGCAGAATAGAAGGTACCATGACTTCCCTCAATCTAGACCAATGGTTCTCAACCTGTGGGTCCCCAGATGTTTTGGTCTTCAACTCCCAGAAATCCTAACAGATAGTAAACTGACTAGGATTTCTGGGAGGCCAAAACACATCACTGATCTAGACACTATACTCCTTTTGATGCAGCCTAAAATCCATTTGGTGTTTTTAGCTGCTGCATCACACTGTTGGCTCATGTTCAACTTGTTGTCCAGGAAGACTCCAAGATCTTTTTCACCTTGACTGTTGTTGAGCCAGGCATCACCCATCCAGTATCTTTGCATTCCATTTTTTCTGCCAAAGTGTAGTATCTTACATTTGACCTTGTCGAAAACAATAATCAAAATAAGAAGGCCGCAAAACAAAAATAAAGTGCTATCATTTTACCAACCAAAGCCAGGCCTGCCATTCTTTTGGAACAGGGACTAAGAGTGCATCTACACTGTAACATTAATGCAGTTTGGTACTATTTAAACTGCCATGCTGTAGAATCCCAGGAGTTATAGTTATTGCAAGGTTTGCTGCTTTCTCCGCCATAGAATACTGGTGCCTCACCAAACTGTAATTCCCAGGACTCCATAGCATTGAGCCTTGGTAGTTAAAGTGATTTCATACTACGCTAACGTGACAGTGCAGATACACTCAAGAGTGTTTTAATGCATGAGCAAATGAGGAATGCCAAATCCTACTCTGCAGCAGAACCTAGAAAAGAAGGGAAAGGACATAGCTGTCTGTCCTTATGCCAGAAAGCTCCTTAGAATATGGCTGGCAACACTGTGCTGCTTTTGGGGGTTCCTCATAGTTCTTTTCCAGTTCCTAATTAAATTACCTGGGAAGGGTTAAAATGATGTTTATTGTTTATTCTTTGTATGGAATAATTGGGCTAAGAGGCTCCCTTTCCTCCTAACTGTTAAGTGTTAAGTACAGCCAGCTTTGGGATTTGGGGCACAGGACTCCCTTGAAAGTGAAAAACTACACACACACACACACAAAGAAGTAAGAAAGGCGCATGAAAGGATTTAGAATTGTTAGTGAATCTTGCTAGATTTCTAAAAAAAATATGAGTCTCAGGTTCTGCTCATTTTGATCTCTCTGTACAGTGGTCAGAATGCCCACAGGTACCACTCCAACTCCACAACATTTTCTGTAGAGAAAGCAGGCAGCATGCGCCTACTGGGAAAGCCATGGAAGTAGTGTCCTGGTATGTTCAAGCACAAAGTGTTTCTATGTGCACATGGTCAAGGAATGTGCCTATCAAGGTCTTCCAGCATCAAAAGAAGTTGAGGAGCACATCTGCTCAGATGCTGATAACACAGTAGCTGCCTCCTTGAAAACACTTCCAGATCTGGAGGAAAAAAGGATTGGCCGTGCCATGCTCCTTTGGCTCATATGATGTCCAAAGGTCTCTGAGCAGGTTGCTTAGGCAATTGCAAAACTCCAGACTTTTTCTTAACATCTGAGGTTAACTACTAAGCAAATCCTCACTTAGCTTTATTATAAAAGTGGGCCCTTGATATCCCTGGGGTTTGGTTCCAGGACACAAACACCATTTGAAGGGACCCAAAATCCATGGGTTCTCAAGTCCCTTTAAATACAAAGGCATAGTAAAATGGTGGCCCTTTTATGGCAAAATGTAAGATTTGCTTTTTGTAATGTCTTTTTTAAAATATTCAAGACATGGGTGGTGAACACATGACTAGAGAATCCATGGATACAGTGAGCCAACTGTACAGAAAAGGGAACACTGATTCATCATGATCATTATAAGACTATTTTGCTCATCAGTGTGAACAGAAACATTAATTACATGCTCAAATGTATTACAAGTTTTGGGAAAGTTAAGTACTAGGGCTGGGCGGTTTCGTTTCGTTAATTTGTAATTCGTTAATAATTCGTTATTTTTTTTAATTACAAAACGATAACGAACCATTCTGGAGCAATTTTTTTAAAAAACGAATTTTTAAACACGTTTTGTAAATGCTTTGTATTTCGTTATTGTATTCGTTTCGTTATTGTTCTGAGGTCGTTTCGTTATTATTTCCGCATGTCTGGGGCAAGTTTTTTGTTTAATTAGTGAAAAAAAATTATAATATCACACCAACAGTCAACAACAGAGGGAGAGGGAAGCTTCAGAAGTTTTTGGAGGTTTTTTAGCGTATTTCGCGGTCGCGTCCGCCATTAACGAATCGATTCGGTATTGTTTCGGAAATCGATTTCGTTAATTTTTTACCATTTACGAAATTTCGTAAATATCGAACTTTTTAAAAGGAAAATTTTGTAATTATTTTAAATATCGAACCCAAAACCCCCCCAAAACGAATTGATTTTAGAAACAAATTTTTCCGTTGTTACCCAGGCCTATTAAGTACCATTGAAAATTAATAAATGTGAAACTCAAATGCCTGGCATTTTAGGTACAGAAGATATAAAGATGTGGAATCAGTAGGGACTCCAGTCTCTTACTACTTTTAAATGCTTGCTTTTTGTTTAAGGTATTTACATTCCATGTACTCCAAGCAGTAGCTTATGACACTTTACTATATATAGAAATACAAATTAAGTAACCAAGTAATAATAATTTATTAATACCATATTATAGTCAGATGTGATCTTACGTAATAACAATAGATTAACACTTGCAAGAGTTTGGAAAATAGCCAAGAAATTTTGAAGGAACTCAGAAGAAGTGCTATCATAGAAATATTACCTCATCTGTAGTAAACATATACCATAGTTTAGCAAACAGGCCATCAAGAGTAAGGCCTCCAATAAATCCAAACAGGCAAGCTCCTGTGGAAGCAGGTTGGCAAAGTATGGTGAGATTCTATTACTGCTGAATTTATACACGTTCTGCATTTAATTGCAATAAAGTTTTCTGTAGTTTTGGGTTCAGAGATAAGAAGTCAATGACAGTTTCAGAGGAAGTCTTTGATCTTATAGTTGAGTTCTCTGGTGAATACATTTCTTTAGCTAGCTATAATAAGAGAAGTCCACAAGGCTATGGTTGTCAAAAAAAGTTCTTTATGTATCTGATTAATAGTGGTGCAGAAGAAACAAAGCACTCCTGTAATCTCTTCTAGTCTTCTGTCAGTTGGGCCAACATAGCACAAAATTGTTTTATGTGTGTGCTGACAAGTCACTTATTGACTTATGATGAGCCCATTAATTCATTAGGGTTTTCTTTGGCAACAAATATTCAGAGGTGATTTTGTCAGTTTCTTCCCCTTTCACCTACACCACCTAGTATTTATTGGCAGTCTCCCGTCCAAGTAGAGATTGGGTTGTCCATGCTTAGCTTTCAATATCATGAGAGATCTGGTGCCTTTAAGCTGCACATAATATTTAATTGGGCAAAAACAGTGCAAAACTTTATCAAGAAATAATCTTCATGCTAGAATATTGAATAAAAGCACAGTTTTCACCCTTAACATTAATCAAAATAAATTAAAGGAAAGTTTGACATCAAGTAATTGCAATGATTAAAAAGAAAATAATGTGTTCGTTTGTATAATCTTAGAAATGAATTGCTAGTGTAAAGACATTTCAAGCTTTCCAACTTTTTCTTTTATTAAATTGTAACAGTATGACTTATTTTTAAGAAAGCTGATGGAACTTATAAATGTGAGCATTAAACATTAGAAGCTATGAATATTGAGGCTAATGACTATGAAAAAAAGTTTGTATTATGTGCTACTTCATAATACAACCCCACATTAGAGGTGCTTAAGAGAAAGCACTAGTTTGATATCTCAATGTAACTACTATGTTCAGGTCATTGTGATTATTTGGAAATGTTAATTACAAATATATAAACACAAACACATTTGTGCTTGATATTCAGTGTTACATAGCTGCTGATTCTGCACCACAAAATTCCAGTCTCCTTTAGGAACATTTAAGCTTGAACCTCACCTTGAGTTGTCTATTATTATTATTTATTATTATTTACTGTGCTTATATACCGCTGTTCTCAGCCCAGGGGCGACTCACAGCGGTGTACAACATAGAGAGGATAAGGTGCAAATTACAAGACACAATCTAAAATCAAACTAGCAATATCAAAAAACATCGTCATCAACAACATCAATATCTCAGTTCTTGTGGGTTTTTTCGGGCTATATGGCCATGTTCTAGAGGCATTTCTCCTGACGTTTCGCCTGCATCTATGGCAAGCTTCCTCAGAGGTCTGACCTCTGAGGAAGCTTGCCATAGATGCAGGCGAAACGTCAGGAGAAATGCCTCTAGAACATGGCCATATAGCCCGAAAAAACCCACAAGAACTGAGTGATTCCGGCCATGAAAGCCTTCGACAATACATTGAACATCAATATCAATAATACAAAAAGTCATTCGCGTTGTCTCATCGTTAAACCACAATCCAATATCATTTTCCGTTGTTCCATTCCTGTCGTCATTACCAATTATTGCACTTCTTGTTCGAACGCCTTCTCAAACAGCCAAGTCTTTAGTTTCCTGCGGAATATCATCAGGGAAGGAGCCAGTCTGATGTCCACGGGAAGGGTGTTCCACAGCCAAGGAGCCACCACCGAGAAGGCCCTGTCTCTCGTCCCCACCAGGCGTGCCTGTGAGGCAGGCGGGATCGAGAGCAGGGCCTCCCCGGACGATCTCAAAGTCCTCGTGGGCTCATAGGCAGAGATGCGGTCAGATAGGTATCTTGGGCCGGAACCGTTTAGGGCTTTATAGGCCAATGCCAGCACCTTGAATTGAGCCTGGTAGCAAATCGGCAGCCAATGGAGCTGGTACAACAAGGGCGTTGTATGCTCCCTGCGTCCCGCTCCTGTTAGTAACATGGCTGCCACACGCTGGACCAGTTGAAACTTCCAGGCCGTCTTCAAGGGCAACCCCACGTAGAGAGCGTTGCAGTAGTTTAAGCGGGATGTAACCAGAGCGTGGACTACCGTGGCCAAGTCAGACTTCCCAAGGTACGCTTGATTCCAAGGTGTGCTTGATTCCACACATTTTATATTCCTTAAAACATATGTACTGCCTGGATAACACTGATAGTGTAAAATCATAAGCAGAAAAGAGATGCAGTGAAAATGTACTTGGCAGGAAGTTGGACTAGATGGCTCATGAGGTCTCTTCCAACTCTATGATTCTATGTAAGCTGAAGCAATCAGTACACAGTGTCAAAGTGTGTATCTGAGCCAAGGTATGGACTGCACAAGTTACAATAAATATGGTGCTGCTGAAACCAGGTGGTAGTATTCAGATTAAATGCACTGAACTATAGGTCTATCTCATCCAAAGATGTGGACTTTATTCTTCAGCTGTGATATTAGTGACTATGGTTATAAAATACTTGTGGTTCTTTAAAGTACTCTCTACTATCTGTTCATTTGTTATCATTTTGAATTTTCAGGTTAGCCAATACAACTTGTGCGTTATATAGAAAACTTGTTAAGTAACACAAAAAGTTAGCATACAGATTAATGTAAAACATTTTTATATCTGCATAAATTGTAGTGGTTTTTAGAGTTGGGTTCATATTCCACTTCTCAAAGCCCCAGCCTTTGACTTTAGCAATTTCTCTGTGTTCACAGCAGTGACCAGGTGTGTCTATGTTGTGGAATTAAATGCAGACTGATACATCAACTGCTATGGCTCAATAACATAGAGTCCTGGACGTTGTGGTTTGAGAAGGCACCGACACTCTTTGGCAGAAGAGGTTATGCTACAACTCCCATCATCTCATAGCACTGAGGGTCCTTCCACGCAGCCATATAACCCAGAATATCAAGGCAGAAAATCCCACAATGTTCTGCTTTGAACTGGGTTATCTGAATCCACACTGCCATATAGGCCAGTTCAAAGCAGATAATGTGGGATTTTATTCAGCTGTGTGAAAGGGGCCTGAGATATGGCAGTTCAAGTGGTATCAGACTGCATTCATTCTACATTCTGGATGCACCCCAAGTCTTCCTACAGGGGAGAAAAAGCAAGAGAAGGGTTGTTCAAAAGGAGAGGAGCGGCGGGGGGAGTTGCCCAGGAGTCAAAAGTTGGGTGGATAAAGCAGGAAGCCCCAAGCAACGGGAAAGCGGCTCCTCCTTGCAGGCGAGGGACGTTTCATGCAGCCAACGCTTTCAGGCCCTTTTCAGGCGCAGGTGCCAGTTCTTTACCAGAGTCGGGTGGCTGTCCTCTGAGAGAGAGAGAGAGAGAGGCTTCGGTGCTGCTTGGCCGTTGCTTCCGCCGCAAAGAGCGGACGTGACGACAAGCTTTGGCGGGAGGGGGCGGGACTTTCTCTTGCGCGCGTCCCGGGGCGACCTCCGGCGCGCGCGTCACGCAGGTAATCGCCTCGGCAACAACCGGGGATTAGGTCAGCGAGGGGCGGAAGTCCCGCCCCCCAGCGCTGGGCTCCTTTTTGGCAGAAGCTTCCGGTGTTTAGTGAAGGAGTCAGCAGTGGCGGGGCTTTGAAGAGCAGGTAGCAGTGGGTCGCTTTTCCTGGCCCGGTTGCTTGTGTTTTCATTGAGACGAGTTGGGAAGGGGTTTGGACAGAAAAGAACGGGGTTTTCTTCCAAGTTTCCTTTAAAAGCTTTCAGATCCATGGGCAATAATGGGTCTCCCTTCACCTTCTTCCCTCCTCAGCGTTTTAGGAGAGGCCAAAAGTTCATCTACACCAGACCTGGGCAAACTTGGGCCCTCCAGGTGTTTTGGACTGTAACTCCCACCATTCCTAACAGCCTCAGGCCCCTTCCTTTTCCCCCTCAGCCGCTTAAGTGTTTTAGGAGAGGCCAAAAGTTCATCTACACCAGACCTGGGCAAACTTGGACCCTCCAGATGTTTTGGACTTCAACTTAAGTGGCTGAGGGGGAAAAGGAAGGGGCCTGAGGCTGTTAGGAATGGTGGGAGTTGAAATCCAAAACATCTGGAGGGTCCAAGTTTGCCCAGGTCTGGTGTAGATGAACTTTTGGCCTCTCCTAAAACGCTTAAGCGGCTGAGGGGGAAAAGGAAAGGGCCTGAGGCTCTTAGGAATGGTGTGAGTTGAAGTCCAAAACACCTGGAGGAGCCCATGTTTGCTCATGGCTGATCTACACTGTAGAATTGTTAGATGGATAAAGGATACTTTGATTTAAATTGCCTCTTTTGTTTCCTTCTAGTGTATGTTGCTTACAATGGAAGAATCCCAAATGTGTGAGTTTGGCAAAAGCAGCAATCCAGAAGCGCTGAGAAACAGTGAGTGCCCTGCCTTGAACCCCTCTCTGCCACTTCCAGGAACAAATTGTGAGAGCGGAGAAAGAGCAGGGGCCTTGAGTGAGGTGGACGAGTACATGGTCAGGAACAGAAAGCTGTTGAAAACAGCATTCTGTGCTCAAGAGCTGCGAGAGGAGACTCCTGGTCGAGAAGAAGCCCGAACGGACCCACCGGATGGCCAGCAAGACCCAGAAAATGAGAAGAGCAAAGAGAAAAACTTAGGTATTGTACTAAAAAAAGTCTTATATAGATTTGTATTCTAGCTTTAGAAGGAGATTACTTGTTCTCTAATGGGATTTGGGCTTGGTGTTGTTTTTAATTTAATTTTTAATTCTTAATGTTTTACCTAATGTCAATTTGCTTTGTAAGGTGATTGTTATTTGTTGTTGACATCTAATAGTTTCCTCATATTTCACTTCTCCCCACCTTATTGAAAGTCTTAATTCCATTGTTCAGTCTCCTACGAGCTCCCCCCCCCCCACACACACACAAATAAACCTTTTTCATTGCTATCTCATCAAGAGTTTTATCATTTTATTCCGTGCATTAGGCCTGCCCACTGTGTTTGACTTTCCATTATGTTATTTTGCATTGTTTATTTTACCTGATTGGTTTATTTATATTATTGTGATGTTATTTTGTTGTTTATATTTTATTTTGCTGTAATGTATCGCTGGGCTTGGCCTCATGTAAGCCGTTCCGAGTTTCCTTTGGGGAGATGGTGGCAGGGTATATATAAAGTTTATTATTAATATTAATATTATTAATGGCTGCCATTTGTAAGCTGCCCTGAGTCCCACCTCAGGGGTTGAGAAGGACGGGATATAAATGTTTGAAGTAAATGAAATAAATACTCCTTTCCTTTATTTTCCACAAAACAGTTTATCATAATGGTTTTTGGAAAGGAGTTTAAACATACAATAACTAATCATATTTTGAGTTGTTGTAAGTTTTTCGGGCTGTATGGCCATGTTCATATTTTACTTTTGTTTCATAGAATTCTTGACTGATCTCTTATTTTGTTAATAGAATTGAAACTAATAACCCTCCTGGGTCAAACAGTTATACTGTGTTTTTCTGTAGCATGGTAGGGTATATGTCCTTGTGTTGTGTGAAAGGGGTGTTCATTTTTTGTAGATAATTGCCTGACATTAAAAAAAATTAAAAGTACTCTAGTTGTTTTACTGTCTTCAAAACTCAAACTGCTGTGGTAATATTTCTACAACATTTCCTCTTCTTGACCCGTAGGAAAAGAAGTGCTGTTATTGATGCAAGCATTAAATACTCTTGCTACACCTGAAGAAAAGTTAGCTGCACTCTGCAAGAAATATGCTGATCTGGTAATTCGTACCACCTTTAATGTCACAGGTTTGGGGGGCAGTTGTAAATTAATCCACTTGTACATAAGTGTGTTATCTAAAGAAATGCATTCCTTTAAACAACAGTCAGTAGAAATAAAGGGAAATACTTCTACTGAGTCATCCCCTAAGCACAGTTAAGTTAGCAAGTGCATTTCAGACATGGATCTTTCAAAAGATGTTTTACTTTTCTGTGTTGAGCTTTGTTTCCGTTCTTGCTACTCCTTCAGTCAACAATGCTTAACAGCAGCATGTATCCATATGAAAAAAATGTCTGTACTTGTTTTGGCTATGTTGTATACTAGGGGCATATCTTCAATTAATGCATGATGGACTGCATTTTTGGCTAACTGGAGACTCTTATTTCCTTCACTTTTATCTTTCTAGGAGAGCCCTATATCCCTTAAGCATGTTGTATATAGAGAATATTTAAATTCGGAGAATGCTTGAAGTATGGCAAATTTGAGATCAGAGTTTGTAGCTAGAGGCTAGAGAAGGAATTTCTTTGTTCATGTATTGCCTAGCCATCATGCTTGTGATTTGCTAATATATGCCTCTTAATTCATAGGGGGGCACTAGGGATAAATTAAGATTTATAGTGTCGTAAATTCTTTGCTGAGAAACGAGCTATGTGAACTTTATTTGGAAGCTGATTCAGGCCTCCAGCTGGGTTAACATGTCCTCATCAACTTATTCTTTCAACTTGTTTTTACATGATCATTTGCACAAAAAAACTTCAGATTGTCCCCACAAAGCATAATTTACCAGACGTTTTAAGTATATGCAAAGTTGGTGATATTAGAACACTGACCACTGCTTCATTCTGGGCCTTAAATATCCAGAGAATGCATACTGAATCCTGACAATCCTGTTTCATTTCATCTGGGGTTCAGGTATGCTGTAATCTAACTAAGGAACACCTGGGTCACAGTTTTAAGGCCAAGGCCTGTTTCTACTGGATATATTCTCACTTTATGATTTATAATGAGGGCATTCCCTGTTACAGTCCATAATTACAAAGATACCTAAAGTGTTACTCTGAAAAGAACAATTTTTCTACCCTTGTTCATTTCTCTCATTAGTTGGAGGAGAGCCGGAACGTTCAAAGACAGATGAAGATGCTTCAGAAAAAACAAGCACAGGTTGTTAAGGAGAAGGTCCACCTGCAGAGTGAGCATAGTAAAGCCATTCTTGCACGAAGCAAACTGGAATCTCTCTGTCGTGAACTTCAACGTCACAATAAGACATTGAAGGTCAGTCGAGATAGTTGTGCCTGAGGCAACATTTGAGTGTTATAGTTTCTTTTTTGAAAATGGAATGGCTGCATGAAAAACGTTTGAAAGTTTAGAGTAATAGCAAAATGGAGAACAAAAGGTAATTGTGAACACATAGAAATAAAGACTGCATGATTTATTCTTTGATGGCATTTGATAATGAAGAAGACTCTCGATTACTTGGTATTCCTAGCAAATCTCTGTGTGTATCAGTACATTTATTTGTTTTATACTGAGCCTCAACCTTAAGATCCTGGAAATAAAAGTGGACTTCTCTCAACTACTAGTTTGTTTATCCAACTATAAACCAGTGTGGTGCAGTTTGTTTTCCCAGATGCAGTGTTATAAGAAACAAATATATTGCTATTGGCTCTGCATACTAGAAAAATGGTATGGTATAGATGCTGACAAGGAAATAGTGGTCTGCAATGGTTGTGGTTTAATAGTTAATTTCAGGATTGCTGTTGGAAATCAAGGAGGCAAATAACCCTCAAGATGATCAGAAGGACTACCTTTCTTGGCCAAGAAGCTTCTGAGAAAAGTTGGAAAAGATGCTATGAAACTATATAACTGTCTTTCCTAAGTTGTGTAAGTTGAACAGCAATGTTGTTGTTTGGCTGTTTTTTTACTATATAGTATGGGCCCTGAGCTTGGGTCTTGTCTGGAGTGATATTTATAGATGAGAGCCTCAAGTTCAGTCTGAATCAGTTTTCCTTTTTCAGTACATGCCAAAGAAGTAGATGTGTTGATGCATATTCTTTCCCTGTTGCCTTTGCTTTTAGAGCTATTATAATTATGTAAGGCAAATAAAGTAAGATGAGTGAAAACCTCCTTTTGAGGTAATGATAGAAGAGCTTAAGATAATATTTTCTGCTGGTGTCTTTAAAAGGCAATACTAGTTTAATATTGCACTGCCTCTTAGCACATTGCTGCTTTTGCCTTGATCAAGCTGCTGCAAACAATCAAAGGAAATCAGGGAAGGGGAGGCAGACTTGTGTTAGCTCCCTCCCCTTATGCTTGACCATACTTAAGTAGCAGCTGAAATTGTGATGTCACAATAGGCTTGTCATTCACTTGGTTTTATTACATAGGTTGTTTTCAAAATGCAGGTGCTTTTGTATATTTCGCAGGCATAGATTTTAATGTAGGAAGGAAACATTTTTACTAATTTGGACAACAAGCTGGAATGCGTCCAGAGAAAGGCAACCAAAATGGTCAAATTTGAAGGCCAAGCCTTGAAGAATGGCTTAGGAAGCTGGGTATGTTTAACTCTGAGAAAAGAAGATGGAGGAGTGACATGATTTCCATGTTTAAACATTTGAAAGAATTTCACATTGAGAAGGGGACAAGCTTATTTTTTGCTTCTCTGGAGACTGGGACGTGGATTCTGGAGACTGGGACGTGCATTCAAATTTCAGGAAAAGAGATTCCATCTGAACATTAGGAAGAACTTCCTGACAGTAAAAGTTGTTCAGCAGGAAAGTATTGCTATCTTCTTTAGAGCTTTTGAAGCAAAAACTTGATGGCCATCAGTCAGGAATGCTTTTGATTGTATATGCCTGATTGGCAGGGGGTTGGACTGAATGGCTCTTGTGGTCTCTTCCAACTTTAATTCTATATTTCTGTGTACATATTGGTCAGTTTTGGAATATTGTGTGGTAGTTTTACTGTGTTGAAGCGCTATAGCAGACTAACATTGGGATTCACTTATCTGAGGAATACTACTGCTGCTTGCCAAAACGTTATTCAGTGAAGTGGTTTGGGTTAGTTAGGGACAGAATAAGGTGCTCCCTACACTGCCTTCTGCAAAACTTGTGCAGTTCCTGGTCTCCCAAAGATACACTTTACTGGGTTTTGTTAGAAATAAGCCTAATTTGCAAAAGAGCTTATTATAAGCAGCTTTTGTTTTCAAGTTCAAAAACACAACTACCATTTCTGTAGGTCAGAAGCTGCAGTTTGGTAAACATGTGCAACAGAAGCCTCTGAGAAGTTTCTATGGTCTAGTGGAGAAATCAGATCAAAGTATGTATGCATGTCTGACAGGTGAATTGTTGCCAGGATTTGGGAGCCAGTTTGTCCCAGGTTTCTAAACCATTAAGATGGCATTGATCTGACTTCAGATACTAGTGACTGAATACTAAATGTAAAAGCACTTTAGTGAAACCATATTGCTTCATCTCTTTGCTTGAAAGGAAGAGAACATGCAACAAGCCCGTGAAGAAGAGGAGAGGCGTAAAGAAGCAACTGCACACTTCCAAATCACGCTAAATGAAATTCAAGCTCAGCTTGAGCAGCATGGCATACACAATGCAAAGCTTCGCCAGGAAAATATTGAATTAGGGGAGAAGTTGAAGAAACTTGTAGAGCAGTATGCACTGCGAGAAGAAGTGAGTAAACCTTTCACATTTCCTCGCTATCTTTATTTAAATGTATGGCTTTGTCCAAAATCCCATGAACAAACTTCCTCTCAAGTAACCCATTATGTCCCTTTTGTGTACTCACTGAGCAAAGTTTGGGTGGGTAGGGGAGAGCTACTAAAAATGGAATAAAATCAGTTTTAGTGCCACAGTATGCCAAAGAATTCAACCCACTTTTCCCTTTCAGGACTTTTAAATTGTGCTTCTACAAAAATGTGTCCCCTTGTCAATACTTACTATGGAGCCATATTCAATTTTTCTTACTCCGTAAATCAAAAGTAATAGAATTTCATTTTAGAATTAGAATATTGATCTTCTTGCTTTAATGTATTTATGGAGAGTAACATAATAGTTCTTGGGTGCAGGAAGTTTGCTTCCAAAAATGATCAAGAATCAAATACTTACCCAGTTAAAAGTAATTCAAAGACTTCTGGGACTTTGTATCCACTTGAAAAAGTATTCTCTTGTGTCAGTTTAGTACAGATGTTTCCTTTATATTAATCTTTTCTCTAAGGGTTAGAGATGCACCTTTAGAGGGGTGATGCACCTTTATTTCTGCCCTTATCAACCCTCTGAGGTAGTCGAGGCAGGCAGGGAATACAGATTGAATGTTACACTCTTGAGTTTTCTTATTAAAAGAAGAGATTTGCATCCAGGTCTTTCCAGTCATGGTTTCATATTAACCTCTTTGTTAATCTTCGAAATAGTGATGTGCTGTTTTGTTGTTGCTGTTTTCCTTCTAGTGAGTTTTGGAGAAAAATTCACATGTCATGCAGCATATCTTTTTCAGACATTATCTTTAGTCTTTCATTCTCTCCAACTGCAGTGCCTCTTCCCTATTTAGAGCTGAATGGAGTGTTAGGGGCAACTGCAAGAACACAGGATGCAGTTCAGTCTCCGTACCAATGAACCATAGCATCCCTAATGCCTAGTTCTACAATATTTTGCCTTATCTTCCATTTTCTCTCTCATAATTTATATCAGGGGAAACACATTTCCCCAAAATGTCTCAATATCATTTTTTTTTATTTTTTTCATGAGATGTTAACATACACTTTTCCCAGAGCTAATAGCTCTCCCGTAACCTTTTGGAAGTGTTATTGACCTAATAAACAAAACCTTCATGGTGCTTACCTCTGAAAACACTATTTTCATCAGGAAGAAGTTGTGCATTTCTCCTTTATGAGGCTATAGGTGCTTCCAAAACAACTGGTTTGCAATGAAACCATGGCATAAGTTTTCATCATTCATTGTTTTTATTTTATAAAATCCAGGGCTTCAAGAAATGTAGAGGTCATGGTATGCATGTAGTCCATGGACTGTGTCTTGTCCAGCCCTGCTTTATTCATTCATTCATACCTATATTTTCAACTATTTCAAACTAATGATTTATGCAAAAATTACTCTCCAGTGCTGATGTTTCATTGTCGTAGGCCTGGGCACTTTGGATCTACAGGTGAAGTCCCAGCCTCTGTTCAACGTATCCTTGTCATGCTGTTTCTCTGCCATACCAGAATCTGCAGGACCTTTTAAGATTTCTGTGTGCAGGGATCATGTTGATTCTGTGAAGTATCTATTCAATACTTGTGCGGTATTTTATTCAGAAATAGGTCCTGTTCTGTTTATTATTATTATTATTATTATTATTATTATTATTATTATTTTATTTCTTACCCACCTTTTACTCTCCTTACAGCTTGAGGCGGGTTACAACATTACTAAAACACATAATCATTTAAAAACACTCTGTAGAATACACATATTAAAACATAGTTTCATAGAATACATAAATACACAAAACAAAAGTTAGATATAGAGTCGAAGTTTAAAATTCATTGTTAAAACTGTCTGGGTAGGCCTGCCGGAAGAGATAGGTTTTTACTTGTGTCTTAAATGGGCAGCTCACTTGTATATCTGTTAAGCATTGTAGCTGGCATGTGATCATTTCATTTGAAGTAGCTTCTGGTTGTCCTGAGATTCCTTTGATGTGTTCCCCTAGTACACACCTCAATGAAAAGGAGGTCAGGGACAATTTGAGACAAAAGTAATCCATGAAATATCATGTACAGTGTAAAAACTTTCTTGCTAGATATTTATGCTATGAATATTAATGCTTTTCTCTAGCATATGGACAAAGTTTTCAAGCATAAAGAATTGCAACAGCAGCTGGTGGATGCCAAGCTTCAGCAAACAACACAGCTAATAAAAGAAGCTGAAGAAAAGCATCAGCGAGAGAGGGAGTTTGTAAGTGTTTCATATTCATAAGAAATAGATGCAACTACTGGTAGGTTTCCTTGTTTAGTAAGCACATATTTCTCCTGAGTAGTTTGAAACCCATATTTCTGCCCCTCTTATACAAAATGGAACATGCTAAATCTGATGGGTTTATATTCATGTGCACTGTCAATTTGCACTGTTTATATTCATTTGCACTGTCAATATGAAATATTTGGGTTTTGAATATCTCTACAGCTGGCCACAAGACATTACAGTGTAAACCAAAAATAGTTAAGAAAGTTAGCTTCAAAAATTGTTCTTAATTTGAATTGTCAAAAATAAGACTGTCCTTTCATAAATATATTAGCTGCAAACATGATTTTATATAGTGGGGTGAATGAAACTCGAAACGAGTATTCTATGTAGAATTCGTATTCTTTACTGATTCTAAGGTATTATATAGACAATCAGTGTTCTTTCTTTTTTAGCTGCTAAAAGAGGCTACTGAGTCCAGACACAAATGTGAACAGATGAAACAACAAGAAGCCCAGTTAAAACAGCAGGTAAAGTAATTTAGAGTCTGACTGTACCTATTCTATGATATTAAAAATGCAATAACTCGGTTTATTCCAAAAAAAAGTAGCACCCTGTTCTTCCATGTGCTTATTTCAGCCAGTCTTACCTCAACAGTCTAGGTACACTTCTCTGTAATGTATAATGTAGATCATCGTGAGGAAGGAAGTTGCTTCTCTTAAAATGTTTTGTATGGGACAGAGTTGTAGGGAGGATTTATTTGCACGGGGGATTCTGGGTATAGAGGTATCATTAATGTTCCAAGCCAAGCAGGTTTCTCTCTACCTTGTTTCACTGGTTCTTTCCTCTGACTCCATTCTTCAACTTCCTTTGAGAGGAAAGGGTATACTAAGTACTTTCAGCAATACAAGTGAGATTGGATTTCAAATCACACTGTATACACAAAGCTATTTTAAGAAAAGGAAAGTTCTTTTGCTTATATATTGTGTTAAAATATTTCCATAACATATTGTAAATAGACAACAACAATTTAAAACAGCAAATATCAATATAAATTATTCAAAGTGGTTTAAAATATAAATTGCTACATATTGCCAAAACATCTAAGAAAAGGAAATCAAATGCAGGAACTGCTGGACACTTCCAAGAGAGTTGGATACCTGTTTTTTTTTCCGGGGAAAAGGAGTATCACGATATAATGGGCTGTAAGAAGAGCTATACTTTGCTTTAAAAATTATTTGTCCTGATGTTTTTTGTTGATCTTAGTGTGTACTTGGTGTTCTTTCAATACAGATGTAACATGGTTAACTGTCAATATTGAGAGGAGTTCACATTGAGTTCCTCTTTTGTCAAAAATGCATCTTTAGTTATTGTAAGATTTTAAGGCATTTCAGGAAACCTTCAATGCTTTATGTAAAGTAAAATGCTCCGTTTCTTGTATTGTTTTCTTCAGCTTTCTCTCTATATGGATAAATTTGAAGAATTTCAGACAACAATGGCAAAAAGTAATGAGCTTTTTACAACATTCAGACAAGAGATGGAAAAGGTACTTTGCTTACAAGTGTTTTTAATCATTAAAAGATTGTTAAAGTGGGGAGAAGATGCTTAAGGAAAAATAGCAATTCTAAGTTTAGTAAATTAATATTGGAGTAAATTCCTCTGAACTTAATGGGCCTTCTGAGCAGTCTGCTATAGACCTGAACTATAAATGACCTGTCTAATTACGTATGTCACATTTTAATTGTTTCATTTTTTAAAAAGGTGATTGATGTTAAGTGGGAGATATAACTAGCACTATTTTGAAATATGTCCTGTAAAATACTTTTCCTTCAATTTAATAAATCTCATTTTAAGTAACAGTTAAGACAAAAATGTACAAAGAGATTTTTTTTTCTGGGAGCTTGCTAAAACTTGCTGTTTTAAACATTACTATCAAACTGAATTTTAGATGACCAAGAAGATTAAAAAACTGGAAAAAGAAATAATCGTTTGGCGTACAAAATGGGAAAACAATAACAAGGCCCTTCTACAAATGGCTGAAGATGTGAGTATTATAATTTAGATCCCCTTCTTGCAACAGAAAAAAAACTTGGCAACAATAAAATTAAAATGAAAGAAATTCAGCTGGAACAGATGTTGTAAGAAGTGTGTTTTATGTTTCCTATAACTGGCCTTGGTCAGTAGCCTAGCATTTTGAACCCTCTGTGAAGCTGTGAAAACGTCTTCTGTATTAGTATTCATTATAGAAATTCAAACTGTTACATTATGCAGATATCTTGTTATATAAAGTTATACAGAAGCCCCAGGCAGAGCTGAGCTATTTAAAAATATAAACTGTTCACATCTCCCAGAGCAGTGTTTAATCCGTATTAGTAAATGGAAAGGCTGTAGCTCAACTGGAACTCTTATCTAGAAAAAACGATCCACCAAGGCTCTGTAACCAGATAAGAAGGCAACCAAGGGACCAGTCCTGATCCTGAAGTTCCTGGATGAAGTTCCTGGATGTGCATCCACAGATGCACATCCACAGACAAAGATCACCTAGACACTTCAGAAATATTTGCTTCATGGAAAAGCAGCAAGAGGAAAGCCAAGTGGTCAGGATTGAGGATATCAGCCTAGGATGGGGTGGGGGTCACCTTTAAAGTGGTACACTTACCCTAAACATATATATTTAATATATTAATTGTTGCATTTTGTGCTGCCTTTCTCCCAAAATCAGACCCATAGCTAAATTGACACAAGTGTTTTCAGAACAAGAACCTGCATGTCTTAGAATAGCAAAACAAGCTGCTCTTAGCAAATGATCCCCATCTATTTTGACAGTGTTGGAGTAATTTTGATCAGAAGAGAAGAGCAGGCAAAAATTACAAGGCCCAAATATGCAAAGATGATAAAAGATATGCAGCTGTAATTGCTGTCAAAAGTGCTTTTGCCAAGTGTAGAATTGTGTTTGTGTATGTGTGCACATATGAGTAAATATTCCAGCCATCAAGAACTAGTTTTGTTTACTTTTTTGTCACAATACAAATACTTTGCACTGCAGGGTTAATTAAGTACAGTATCTTCTACTGTTAATAATTACAGTTAAATCCATTTTTATTGCAGTACAACAAAATGTGGGAAAGCCTGGGAGGAGTGAATATTTATTCAAGACACAATAGATGTTTTTAACAGATAAGATTTTAAAAGTTGTATTCTATTCTGAGAAAATCCAGCCTGAGTACATTCATTTCTGCTGTCTTGAGAAATGTATTAGGCTTGGGCAATCCATGGTTCTAAATGGTTCTAAAGTACTTACAAAACTAAAGTTCTGGTGGTGAAAATTTCAGAACTCTAACAAAACTCTCAAAATTTCATAATAAATGGCAGTTCCTAATTGGTTCTGTCATTAAAATCACCAATAATGAAATAATAATTAAATTTTGAAAGTTTTGTTAGAGTTCTGAAATTTTCACCACCAGAACTTTAGTTTTGTAAGTAGTTTAGAACCATTTAGAACCATGGATTGCCCAAGCCTAAAATGTATTATACTTGTTGTTTGAATCACTATCTTCAGTTGCCCTGTAGATTATTGTGTAAATTTGTTACTACTTTTCAAAGGTTAATTGAAAATGGGTAGGGATTCTTTCTACACAAACTACACAAATTATCTCCTCGGGGGCACTCAAGGCGGATTACAGGACACATATATGGCAAACATTAAATGGAGTTTTACAATTAACAAAGGCAGACGATACATAAACAGAGGTATAGGTTTCCCGTTTTTCCATCTCTGTCATCTGGAGGCTGTGCTTGACTCCGGCCACTGAGGATGCTGTTGCTCTATCTTCCATGCCGAGGAGCTTTGTTGCCTTTAGATGCTCTCCTGATTGAATCGCCAGCATATCTCCATGAGCGCCTTTTATTACCTCCCCCCCAAAGTGGTACCTATTTATGTACTCATGTTGCTGTTTTTGAACTGCTATGTGAGCAGAAGCTGGGCTGATGGTTGGGAGCTCACCCTAACCCAGGCTTGGACTGTCAACCTTTTGATTGGCAAGATTTTCTGCAGCTGGCAGTTTAACCTATTGGTCATATTGGTTGTAGACTAATTGAGGAACTACTCTGTGTGTGAAAGGATATAACAAGTTGTTCATGCAAGTCTGTCATTTGTCATCATAATGTTTCTAACCATGTTTCACAAGTGTCTCATACAATCTTTTGTTGACTACAGAAAACCGTTAAGGACAAAGAATATAAAGGCTTCCAAATAAAACTGGAGCGTTTGGAAAAGCTGTGCAGAGCTCTTCAAACTGAAAGGAACGAGCTGAACGAGAAAGTGGAAGTCCTTAAGGAACAGCTTTCCGTAAGAGAAACCAGTGTTGATCTCGCTGTCCCTGGGCCACCGCCTTGTGCACTCAACTGTCATGGGCAGCTGGGTGTCTCTTCCAATGGAGCGCAAGAAGGCATCCAGCCAGACCCTGAACTGGCAAATGAGGGCTCTCAAAAAACTGTCTGTCACGATTCCATTCCAACCACAGATTTTGTTGGCTAAAGTGTAAACACTGTATTGAGAGATATATTTTGTGTATAACTTTAACTGGTGGTGGTAACTTAGTTTTGTGGTGAAAATTTTCTTACTTTTTCTACCATATCTGTATTTTCTTAGAACAGAACAGAATTTGCCTGGTACAGGAAGCTGCATAGCGGCTATTGAATAGCTTATCTATAAAATTTCCACAAACTGTGTTGCACATCTGCCTCGTTTTTCTAAACAAAAAACAACTGTCAAAGGATGCATGCAAATTCCTTTCTTCTAACCCCATAACACACCCATGTACAGATTTGGCATGATGTTAGGGGAACAGTTGTGACCCATGCTGTCACAGGTGTGATTTGGAAGAAAGAAAACCTACACTTTTATTAACTAAATTAAGGTTTAGCAATGATTTGTATTTACCAAATGCTGCAGTAAACTCGAACTGGGCACGTGTTGACCAGTGGAAGCTACTGATTGGCTTCTTAGATCCATGTTTGTATGAACAAAGCTGAACAATCTTACAGGGTTTAGTGTAGCTGCAGTTTTGCCTGTAGCTGTGAAATTTTGCAACTGGAAAAACAGGGTGCACAATTCATATTTCTCAGGATCGACCTGCACGATCAATTCATAAATGCAGTGACTGTTGCCCTACCTGTTAAAATGAAGGAACAGGGGCCAAAGCCAGGCAAATGTTGTCCAAACAACCACCAACTAAAGTCTAGATGCATTTCAAGTGTGCTGCTACTGCCTCCCTTCGGGGGGATATTTTTTTAAAGCTGAAATGTAAATCCCACTGTCTGCAAATCCATGTGTATAGTTGCCGCTTATTTGCAATGGGATTTTAGTTAGTGGTTGCTAAGCAGAAGTGTACTATTACGTTTGTTCTGCCATAATTACTTCACCAGGTTTGATGCCTAGTGTAGTGTGTACAAATGCGTTCATCACTGAACATGGCCATTTAATTATCAGTAACACTCTGTGTTGGTCCATTTTGGACAGTATTATAAATCATCCTACATATATGTGGCAGGACACATGCTTTCATGAAGAGGGATCTGCCCTTAATAAATATGCAGGTGGGAATATAGATGAGTACTCTTAAATCAGACCTGGAGATGGAGGAAGAATAGTTTGGTATTTTTGCTCCATTAATGCTTAAATTATAGTGTCTTACTAGGTGAAACACACCTGTAAGTTAAAAGTGCCTTCTGGTATCTATAGATTACCTGGTACACATGGCACTTCAGGGGGATGCTTCATTTTCTTCCTATGGTGTTGCACTTAGTTGTAAGTTCAGTTGAAAAGGTTCAGAACCCCTCTACCATCCCCAAAATAATTTGATTTATGTAAAAATACAGGGACCAAGAGTATTTCCTTTGTTAATATAAGCAGAGTGCTACTAGGTCACCAGCAGCTGTTAACTCTGCCTACCTACCAGTGTTAGTTTTCTACTTGTCTTCATTGTGGAAAGGCTAATAATCCCAGCATCTAGTTTAATCTCTGTTTTGATGGATTCTTAACTAAGCACACAACTGTCAGGAGGCTGTCTCTTTGCCTCCTTGTAGCCTTTTACAGATAAGTAACAGATTTCTCAAATATTCAGGCTATACTGATGCACTCCCTCTACTTGTACAATGTGCATAGTGAAAGAGATGCAATGGAAGAAAATAAAAGGTTGGAAGAAAACCTTTGGCTCATACAACAGCAGAATCAAAATGATACTTGTAATAATTTATATTGGAAACTTCTAATTGCATTTGCACTCTGAATGTATTCCAAACACAGCAAAAAGTAAACATAGTTGGCATGTGTTCAGGAGTCATAGATTTAGCTTTCCAGATGTAATAATTTGATAGTAACAGGTACTGGAGAGATAATGTTTTGTTGTACAAATCTAGCTGATATTTTCAAGGGGTTAGGTAGAAGAAAGATGGGGGGGAACCTTTTTTTGCTTGAGAAGTTCAACAAATGGGCCCTGAAAGGATTGTAAATTAAGTGCAAGTTTGGAACGTAATTGCAGAGCTTATGGAGTTTTCCCCAAACCCACATTCTTCATTGATCAGTCTTAATTGCAGACCCAACTGGTGTGATGTTTCCTCTACCTGTCGGCCAAAATAGATCTTGACTTTCAGTCAACAACAGAGATAAACAGTGTATTTTGATGAATGATACCAAAAGGTATTTAAATGGTGACCATCTTAATGTTTCTACATGCCATCCTTTCTCCATTCATTGTTTCCTGAAGCTTCAAGGCATTCCATATCTTGGCCAACAAGAGGACCAGTATAGGAAATATTCAGCACTTGCTTGATTTGCTCTACGCTGGGGGATTGCACTGCCGTTTTGTAGCTGATTTATTTAGCATATATCACATAAAAAGCTTAGGTTTACCAAGACTGTGAATCAGTAATCATGTGCTTTTAAAAAAATTAAGTGTTTTGTTTATGCCATCTGTTTATACAAATTGCAATCCATTTGCATCAGAGGTGCTCAGTAAAGGAGTGCATTCAGTTCATAATTGGTGCTTAAAAATTCAGTTAACAGCCACGTCCTAGAGTCAAAAAGTAATCCTCCCTTTAAGCCAACACACACCCAATCCCCTTTCATTTTTAACAGAGGTGTATTTGCATACACGTGTTAGGGCTGTATCTTTCCAATCCATGGTCCACTTTATTATGCCTGGTTAATTTGCAGTTCAATTCTCAGGTGTTGCAGAAAATCTACCTCTTCAGATTGTAGATGGAAATAACTGTGAAAAGTGATGCAGAAATTTAGTTCGTGCTGAACACATTGCTTTATTTTTACAACCATATTTGCTTTCATGAATAAAAATGCTGAATAAATAGGCAGTCTTTGTTTTTGCTTTTCGGGAACATTTTGTAGAGATTTTTCACTAATGTGAATCTGAATTTTTATCTACCCGGTTCTGTATAGATTCAGTAAATTTGTGTGCTTAAAGACTAGACTCTTGTGCTTTTTCTTCTTAAGAGCCCCCATGTAGACTTCACTTTTCTGGTTGGGTTTTTCCTTAAATATGTATGCTCATTGCTTCATTGTAGCATTAAATAATACTGGTATATCAGCTTGTGCTGAAACTTGAATATTTGAATTTCTGAAAATAGTAACTATTGTTATTTTTATCTTTAGAGGGATACATAGGGCATGACAAATCTGCAGGACTTTGGAGCATCCCAGTACTTTGGAACATGCAGCATTTAATCTATGGAAACAGCTGAACCATTTTCAGGTGCAGAAAATTGCCCTTTATTTGTATGTCAGGCCCACATCTTTCCATTTAAATCAGACATGGAGATGCTAAGAAGCAGGGACATACAAGATGGTCTAGTGCAGTGATATCTCACCTTTGGTCCTCCAGACTAAATTCTGGCTCCCAGAATTCTTGAGTATTTGACAAGCCAGGGCTTCTGACAGTTGGGAGTCCCAAACACCTGGAGGAACAAAGGTCTAGTTCTGATAAGAGGGAGTTTCCATTTGTGTTCATTGGTTGCCACATCGGTATCAACACATTGTTTTTTATTGTCGTAGCTTGAATAATGGTGGGGTTGTTGAAATTGTCAGGATGATTGGCAGCTCCTCTGGCATGCCAAACCATTTTGAAGTTTGGTTTATGTTAGGAGGGCTTAGCATGGTGGGGAAAATAGAGCTCTCCAGATGTTGGTGATCAGCTTTATCTAGCAGAAACAATGAAGGAATGTAACCAGTTGCTGTCTGATGGAAAACTACACATTGTCCATGTCTTTAATGCTAAGCAAATATGACAATATCAAGGGAACTGAGGAAGGTCTGGGTGGTGCTATCTCTGAAACAACTGTCTAATATTTTTCCAAGGTTTCATTTTTCTAACTAGGCTTCCCTCACCCCATTTTTTTTTTTTACTACAGACAGTATTTTTTACTTTCTTTCCAGACAGTATCCATGTTTTTTTTCCTCCAGAGTTTGGTTCCTCTCTCAATTGCTAGTGCAAGTCTGTCCTCCATTCTTCAGAGAAGTTCCTCCAGATGCATTTTCACATGCTGATAGACTTCCTCTATCAGCTGTACTCTAATTTTTTATATTAGCAGTTCATGGTCTGTTCCAAAATCTGCTCGTTTTGTTTTTATTTTATTTTTTTGTTTGTTTGTTTTGCAGAGAATCAAACTTCTTCATGTTATGCTTCCAATTATCTAATCTTATTTAATTTCTGTATTGGCCATCTGGTTGATGTCTGAGTGTACACTCATCTCTTTGGTTTCCTGAAGAACAGATTTACAGTGAACCATCTGTTGGCCTCAGAACATTGAATCAGTCACTCTCATGCTTCATTTCTTGATCTTAGGCCAAATTCTACAAGGTTTGATTCTGTGCTGTTACATACCTGTGCATTCCCTTTACCAATAACAACATGTTCTTTGGTGTGTGATCAATTCTATCTTGGATTCCAGCATAGCATTTTCTATTTCTACTTCTTCCCTTGTAGTTAAAGCATTAATGTGGATCCAGACTAGCATCCAACTTCTTTTTTAAAATTTTCATTTCCAAAATAGTACATTGAATAATTATCCAATTGAAAATGTTCAGGTTCTGTCCACTTTAGCTCACTCGCATTGTATGACTTTTTGGGAATTTTTGATCTTCATGGGAACTCCAGTGTATTTGAGGGAACAAAAATGTCCCTTGTCCTCAGAAGCGCTTTTAGAATAAAGAGAATTCCACAATGCCTAAAAGTTAGCAAACTTGTCTGTGTGAAGTGGGATATTTGAGGATCTTACTGACTCCTTTTCAGAAAGAAAGAACCTATCATAATTTCTGTGTTCTACTGTTGTTTCAAAATAAAAGCTAAAGTTTGTGAAGCCATAAAGCAGGAAACAGAAAAAAAAACCTGGAAAGAGAACATTGTTTTACTTGTAGAAATACTACACTGAGCTATTTTCTGCCTCATCAAAATAGTTACTGCAGATTGAAGGATGCTCCGTGTGTCGACAACTGCAGACAGCGAGAGAAATTTGGATTTTCCACATGGTAGTGCTGCCTTGTGACAAAGCTGGGAAGAGACTTTCTCTGTAGGATTATGCCCAATATATGTTACATTTTGGGGTAGCAGTTCTGCTAATTTCTTCTAATGTGGAAACACCACCAAGTTGGTATATCAGGCTGCCTGTCCAGTTTGATGTCCAAAACCTCAGGGACTGTTTTCCAGAGTGCTGGCTCCGATCATTTTCAATAGAGACATGCAGAGATTGAGGGCAGAAATAGAGATTGTTTGTTGCCCCGTTAGCCAAAGAATGGTGCCAGGGCAATAATAATAATAATAATATAACGTTATTTTTATATCCCACCACCATCTCCCTGAAGGAACTTGAGGTGGCTTAGACACAGCACACGGTGCCTAAAAACAGAACATAAAATAGACACTGTATAAAATAATAAGTAAAACACATACACATATAAAACACCAACTAAAACTCAATAAAACAATGAATTCCCAAATCCAACATTACCCACAGTTGTCCAACCCAAAGCCTCAAAGTAGAGCTGTGGTCTTTGGGGGGGGGGGGGGGGGGAGAAAGGGATTTGTATCCCCATGTCCAGTTTTACACCAGAAACAGCCTTAGACACAGTGAAAGTAAATAAAAAGGCTTTAATTCGGCCAAAATAAATATAATGCGATCAGAGATACAGAAAGTACAGTCCTGATGGTAATGCACAAAAACAAAAGCCTTCACATCAGACAGAAACTAGAGTCTTTGATTAACAAGCTTACAGGTTGCAGAAACAATTGTCAATAGTCAAGAGCCTTCAGCAAGGACCAATGCTGGAACGGAGACACCCTACTTGGAACAAGAACTCCCCCGAAGTAGGTCAGTTACCGTCAGCACTGGGCCCCTCTGACTTTACTGCTGATTTATAGCCCTGTCCTCCCAACACAGCTGTCTCTAGGGCGGGGTCTGATTGTTCAGTGTTTACCCTCCTAACCTAGCTGATCTCCTTCTGACTTCTTTCTCCCTTCATCGTTCCTGAAATGTGGGGATTTGCGATATATCTGCCACCTCTTCTTCCTCACGACTTAGCCCCAAATCCCCAAGTGCTGCTTCTTCATCCACCTGTCCTTCTCCCACATGGAAGAGACCGGTTTGAGCCTAATGGGAATAGGCTTGTTTGAAGTCCCGTTACCCCCCCCCCCCAGTCACATGATGAGGGGCAGCAGGCTACTATAAATTGTGGCTGCCTCTCATACTGGCACCTCTTTTCTATTTCACTGTGACCAACCCACTCTCAGGTCACTGCAAGATTAAGACTGATCACCTCTGGGCTGGATATGATTTTTCCTCCTAAGGAATCTTCTATGGGGTTTTTCCCCATCTACCTCATACTGTCACTGTTGGGTTGTGGTAACTAGTATTTGGTGGTGTGACTTGACATGATAGAAACCTTTAAAGTAGATTTAGTAAGGACCAGAACCTCCCTTGTGGGAGAACTTATGGAATGGGGATGCAAACAGCCATGTACATTATATTTATAGACATTTGAAAGAATAAATATTTGCTGTGATTAGTAAACCCTTTCATTGGAGGAATTTGGAGCCAATTCTGCTCCAAATCGGGATTACTTTACGGGGAACAATGTTGGTTGGTTGATATGAGCTGGCAGAGAAAAATGTGTCATTGACTGAAAAATGGACAGCTATTCCAAGATGATGTTCCTGATTTTCTTGGAGAAGAGTCCATTGTGACATGTGACAGACTGGGGTGCTCCCAGTGCATATCTACATAATGTTTTAAAATTTTTAATCTTTGAATTTGGCCCTGCCCACGCTGATTATTTTGGTGTCTTGATGTTTCGATGTAATATTGCTGTGGTGCTTATTTACATTGGTTTTGTATTTTAGGTTATTTTATTTTCTGATTTTCTGTTGCGTTTTTGTGTTATTCTATGTTTACTGCATTGATGGGCGTGGCCTCATGTAAGCCACCTTGAGTCCCCTTGGGGAGATGGTGGCGGGGTATAAATAAAGTTGTATTATTTATTTATTATTTATTTATTTATGTGTTGTCAGGGGCTTTGGCTGCACCCATCTATGAATTCATCAGGTGGTGGGAAAGTAAGGAGGGTTGTCAGTGCTACTCAGATGAGGGTCCTTTTCCAGCTTCCAAAACCAGGCGGTGGTAACTACAGGTCATTCTTGAAACTCAATATTTGTGGGTCCCAACTTCAGACATCAAGGTAACCATATAGGAATAAACCATGGACTGCATGCATCACCTGATGTTGATGCTGTGCTTTCTTAGTTTACTTGGCATAAACTGTTGAAAAGAACACTTACCTCTGAACTCAATCAGCGGTATGTTAATGATTAAATCCATCTATGATGTGTATCATGCTCAAAGCTGCTCATTTATCAGTTAGTCAATATATTACTCTTAGTTCCTGCTGTTGAACCTCATGTAAGTCTTCAAGCTCATCTTTGTTCTGAATTGGCAGTACCTTGCATTTGGATAACAATGTTCCTCCAAGGCTAAAGACATGGTTACAACGCTGCCAAGAGAAGTAGACCAAGGTGTTCTTTCAGCTTAGTGTCAAGGCCGTTTCATACCATTCCTGAAATGCACAATTGTATCTATTTGATTCCTAGATAACAAGGCAAAGAATGATTTCTGTAAATGTTGTTTCATTTGCAGCAAAGTTCCCAATGCTTGGACTATACAAATGGAAAACTCTAAAAGAAAACTCTCTTGGTCAGTGGTTCTCAACCATGGGTTTCCTCATCTTTTGCACTATTACTCTCAGCATCACAATGACTGGATCTACACGGCCGTATAATCCAGATTATCATACAGATAATCCACATTATCTGCTTTGAACTAGATTGTATGGGTCTACACTGCCATATGATCCAATTCAAAGCAGATAATCTGGCTTTATATGGCAATGTAGATGGGAGTCTTAGAGTAAAGGATTCA